CCTCTCTCTCCCCCCTCTCTTTCCACCCTCTCCTCTCCACCCTCTCCTCTCCACCCTCTCCTCTCCACCCTCTCCTCTCCACCCTCTCTCTCCACCCTCTCCTCTCCACCCTCTCCTCTCCACCCTCTCTCTCCACCCTCTCCTCTCCACCCTCTCTCTCCACCCTCTCCTCTCCACCCTCTCCTCTCCACCCTCTCTCTCCACCCTCTCCTCTCCACCCTCTCTCTCCACCCTCTCTCCCCACCCTCTCTCCCCACCCTCTCTCTCCACCCTCTCTCTCCACCCTCTCTCCCCACCCTCTCTCCCCACCCTCTCTCTCCACCCTCTCTCTCCACCCTCTCTCCCCACCCTCTCTCTCCACCCTCTCTCCCCACCCTCTCTCCCCACCCTCTCTCTCCACCCTCTCTCTCCACCCTCCTTCCCCACCCTCTCTCTCCACCCTCTCTCCCCACCCTCTCTCCCCACCCTCTCTCCCCCCCCTCTCTCTCCACCCTCTCCTCTCCACCCTCTCCTCTCCACCCTCTCTCTCCACCCTCTCTCTCCACCCTCTCTCCCCCCCCTCTCTCTCCACCCTCTCCTCTCCACCCTCTCCTCTCCACCCTCTCCTCTCCACCCTCTCCTCTCCACCCTCTCTCTCCACCCTCTCTCTCCACCCTCTCTCTCCACCCTCTCCTCTCCACCCTCTCTCCCCACCCTCTCTCCCCACCCTCTCTCCCCACCCTCTCTCTCCACCCTCTCTCCCCACCCTCTCTCTCCACCCTCTCTCCCCACCCTCTCTCCCCACCCTCTCTCTCCACCCTCTCTCCCCACCCTCACTCCCCACCCTCTCTCTCCACCCTCTCTCCCCACCCTCTCTCCCCACCCTCTCTCTCCACCCTCTCTCCCCACCCTCTCTCTCCACCCTCTCTCCCCACCCTCTCTCCCCACCCTCTCTCTCCACCCTCTCTCCCCACCCTCTCTCCCCACCCTCTCTCCCCACCCTCTCTCTCCACCCTCTCTCCCCACCCTCTCTCTCCACCCTCTCTCCCCACCCTCCTTCCCCACCCTCTCTCTCCACCCTCTCTCCCCACCCTCTCTCCCCCCCCTCTCTCCCCCCCCTCTCTCTCCACCCTCTCTCTCCACCCTCTCCTCTCCACCCTCTCCTCTCCACCCTCTCCTCTCCACCCTCTCCTCTCCACCCTCTCTCTCCACCCTCTCCTCTCCACCCTCTCTCTCCACCCTCTCCTCTCCACCCTCTCTCCCCACCCTCTCTCTCCACCCTCTCTCCCCACCCTCTCTCCCCACCCTCTCTCTCCACCCTCTCTCCCCACCCTCCTTCCCCACCCTCTCTCTCCACCCTCTCTCCCCACCCTCTCTCCCCCCCCTCTCTCCCCCCCCTCTCTCTCCACCCTCTCCTCTCCACCCTCTCCTCTCCACCCTTTCTCTCCACCCTCTCCTCTCCACCCTCTCCTCTCCACCCTCTCTCTCCACCCTCTCCTCTCCACCCTCTCCTCTCCACCCTCTCTCTCCACCCTCTCCTCTCCACCCTCTCTCTCCACCCTTTCCTCTCCACCCTCTCTCCCCACTCTCTCTCTCCACCCTCTCTCCGCACCCTCTCTCCCCACCCTCTCTCTCCACCCTCTCTCCCCACCCTCACTCCCCACCCTCTCTCTCCACCCTCTCTCCCCACCCTCTCTCCCCACCCTCTCTCCCCACCCTCCTTCCCCACCCTCTCTCTCCACCCTCTCTCCCCCCCCTCTCTCCCCCCCCTCTCTCCCCCCCCTCTCTCTCCACCCTCTCCTCTCCACCCTCTCCTCTCCACCCTCTCCTCTCCACCCTCTCCTCTCCACCCTCTCTCTCCACCCTCTCCTCTCCACCCTCTCCTCTCCACCCTCTCTCTCCACCCTCTCCTCTCCACCCTCTCTCTCCACCCTTTCCTCTCCACCCTCTCTCCCCACCCTCTCTCTCCACCCTCTCTCCCCACCCTCTCTCTCCACCCTCTCTCCCCACCCTCTCTCCCCACCCTCTCTCTCCACCCTCTCTCCCCACCCTCACTCCCCACCCTCTCTCTCCACCCTCTCTCCCCACCCTCTCTCCCCACCCTCTCTCTCCACCCTCTCTCCCCACCCTCTCTCTCCACCCTCTCTCCCCACCCTCTCTCCCCACCCTCTCTCTCCACCCTCTCTCCCCACCCTCACTCCCCACCCTCTCTCTCCACCCTCTCTCCCCACCCTCTCTCCCCACCCTCTCTCTCCACCCTCTCTCCCCACCCTCTCTCTCCACCCTCTCTCCCCACCCTCTCTCCCCACCCTCTCTCTCCACCCTCTCTCCCCACCCTCTCTCCCCACCCTCTCTCCCCACCCTCTCTCTCCACCCTCTCTCCCCACCCTCTCTCTCCACCCTCTCTCCCCACCCTCCTTCCCCACCCTCTCTCTCCACCCTCTCTCCCCACCCTCTCTCCCCCCCCTCTCTCCCCCCCCTCTCTCTCCACCCTCTCTCTCCACCCTCTCCTCTCCACCCTCTCCTCTCCACCCTCTCCTCTCCACCCTCTCCTCTCCACCCTCTCTCTCCACCCTCTCCTCTCCACCCTCTCTCTCCACCCTCTCCTCTCCACCCTCTCTCCCCACCCTCTCTCTCCACCCTCTCTCCCCACCCTCTCTCCCCACCCTCTCTCTCCACCCTCTCTCCCCACCCTCCTTCCCCACCCTCTCTCTCCACCCTCTCTCCCCACCCTCTCTCCCCCCCCTCTCTCCCCCCCCTCTCTCTCCACCCTCTCCTCTCCACCCTCTCCTCTCCACCCTTTCTCTCCACCCTCTCCTCTCCACCCTCTCCTCTCCACCCTCTCTCTCCACCCTCTCCTCTCCACCCTCTCCTCTCCACCCTCTCTCTCCACCCTCTCCTCTCCACCCTCTCTCTCCACCCTTTCCTCTCCACCCTCTCTCCCCACTCTCTCTCTCCACCCTCTCTCCGCACCCTCTCTCCCCACCCTCTCTCTCCACCCTCTCTCCCCACCCTCACTCCCCACCCTCTCTCTCCACCCTCTCTCCCCACCCTCTCTCCCCACCCTCTCTCCCCACCCTCCTTCCCCACCCTCTCTCTCCACCCTCTCTCCCCCCCCTCTCTCCCCCCCCTCTCTCCCCCCCCTCTCTCTCCACCCTCTCCTCTCCACCCTCTCCTCTCCACCCTCTCCTCTCCACCCTCTCCTCTCCACCCTCTCTCTCCACCCTCTCCTCTCCACCCTCTCCTCTCCACCCTCTCTCTCCACCCTCTCCTCTCCACCCTCTCTCTCCACCCTTTCCTCTCCACCCTCTCTCCCCACCCTCTCTCTCCACCCTCTCTCCCCACCCTCTCTCCCCACCCTCTCTCTCCACCCTCTCTCCCCACCCTCTCTCCCCACCCTCTCTCCCCACCCTCTCTCCCCACCCTCTCTCCCCACCCTCTCTCCCCACCCTCTCTCCGCACCCTCTCTCCCCACCCTCTCTCTCCACCCTCTCTCCCCACCCTCTCTCCCCACCCTCTCTCTCCACCCTCTCTCCCCACCTTCTCTCTCCACCCTCTCTCTCCACCCTCTCTCTTCACCCTCTCTCCCCACCCTCTCTCCCCACCCTCCTTCCCCACCCTCCTTCCCCACCCTCTCTCCCCACCCTCTCTCCCCACCCTCTCTCCCCCCCCTCTCTCCCCGCCCTCTCTCCCCCCCCTCTCTCTCCACCCTCTCTCTCCACCCTCTCCTCTCCACCCTCTCCTCTCCACCCTCTCCTCTCCACCCTCTCCTCTCCACCCTCTCTCTCCACCCTCTCCTCTCCACCCTCTCTCTCCACCCTCTCCTCTCCACCCTCTCTCCCCACCCTCTCTCTCCACCCTCTCTCCCCACCCTCCTTCCCCACCCTCTCTCCCCACCCTCTCTCCCCACCCTCTCTCTCCACCCTCTCTCCCCACCCTCCTTCCCCACCCTCTCTCTCCACCCTCTCTCCCCACCCTCTCTCCCCCCCCTCTTTCCCCCCCCTCTCTCTCCCCCCTCTCTCTCCACCCTCTCCTCTCCACCCTCTCCTCTCCACCCTCTCCTCTCCACCCTCTCCTCTCCACCCTCTCTCTCCACCCTCTCCTCTCCACCCTCTCTCTCCACCCTCTCCTCTCCACCCTCTCTCCCCACCGTCTCTCTCCACCCTCTCTCCGCACCCTCTCTCCCCACCCTCTCTCCCCACCCTCTCTCCCCACCCTCTCTCCCCACCCTCTCTCTCCACCCTCTCTCCCCACCCTCTCTCCCCACCCTCTCTCTCCACCCTCTCTCCCCCCCCTCTCTCCCCCCCTCTCTCCCCCCCCTCTCTCTCCACCCTCTCCTCTCCACCCTCTCCTCTCCACCCTCTCCTCTCCACCCTCTCTCTCCACCCTCTCTCCGCACCCTCTCTCCCCACCCTCTCTCTCCACCCTCTCCTCTCCACCCTCTCTCTCCACCCTCTCCTCTCCACCCTCTCTCTCCACCCTCTCCTCTCCACCCTCTCTCTCCACCCTCTCTCTCCACCCTCTCTCTCCACCCTCTCTCCCCCCCCCTCTCTCCCCCCCCTCTCTCTCCACCCTCTCCTCTCCACCCTCTCCTCTCCACCCTCTCTCTCCACCCTCTCTCTCCACCCTCTCTCCCCACCCTCTCTCCCCACCCTCTCTCTCCACCCTCTCTCCCCACCCTCTCTCCCCACCCTCTCTCTCCACCCGCTCTCCCCACCCTCTCTCCCCACCCTCTCTCTCCACCCTCTCTCCCCACCCTCTCTCCCCACCCTATCTCCCCACCCTCTCTCCCCACCCTCTCTCCCCACCCTCTCTCCCCACCCTCTCTCTCCACCCTCTCCTCTCCGCCCTCTCTTCCTCCCCAACATGCCATGCCATGCCATGCCATACCATGCCATACCATGCCATGCCATGCCATGCCATACCATCCCAACCCATCCCAACCATCCCGTCCCATTCCATCCCACCCCACGTTACATCGTCCCCTCCCTCCCTACCCCTCCTTCCCCACCAACCCACAGGCGCATAGCAGAGATGGGCCTCTCTGGCCCGCTGCTCCATGCCATCACCGCCCTCTCCTCCCTTAATTTGCTGTAATGCATGTCTCCTTTTACTGCACTACGTATAATCCACGACTCTCTTCCCTGCACTACGTGTATCGCTCGCCTCCCTTCCACTGCACTACATGTAGTGCTTTGATGCAGTTGACTGTAAGTTGACTGTAAGTTGACTGTAAGTTGACTGCAAGTGGACTGCTTTCTTTCGTATCCTCTTGTGGCTTGCTTGCAATGGCATCACAGCACTTGCCTCCTCACACTCCCTCTCATTGTGTGGGTATGCCGCGCTGCTTGCACATGCCTACTGTTCCTTGTATGTCGTATGTGCATGCTTGCGTGCTTGCGTGCTGCACTGGCGCCATCAGCTATGCGTCAGGCAATGCTTGTGTCGCCTGTGCGAATTCTCAAAAGTGACTTTCACATGTCCATTGTATGTGCGTGCTTGTGTGCGGCACGGGCACCATCAGCGATGCATCGGGCAACAACATCTCAGGAAGCATTCCGGCCACCATTTCTGCCCTCTCCAGCCTTGAATACCTGTTAGTTGCACACACAACCCCTCCTCTTTCTTCTTTTGTTTATGGTGTTTTTATATTCTTCTTCTTCTAGATAAGAAGAAACAATCATACATGTCTCCTCTAATGCATCTCGTCCCTCTCTCTCTTGCTTGTCTGCGCCCCTCTGCTGTTCTGCTGTCCTAAACCCTTCTCTTGGTCTTGCGACTATGGTGCGGATGGAGAGGGCTGAATGCAATTTCAAGAGGGCTGAATGCGGTTTCAAGAGGGCTGAATGCGGTTTCAAGAGGGCTGAATGCGGTTTCAAGAGGGCTGGATGCGGTTTCAAGAGGGCTGAATGCGGTTTCAAGAGGTCTGAATGCGATTCCAGGAGGTCTGAAGGCAAATGCAAGAGCACGGATAAAAAAGGACAAGACGACAAAAAACTCCCAATGATTATTCCTCCGACCGACCCCTTCCATCCCCCCTCCCCACCCCTGGCCTTCCCGTCCCACCCCACACATGCACGGCAGGATGCTGGGTCAGAACAGCCACCTCTCAGGCTCTCTGCCCAGCACCCTCTCTCGCCTCACCACCCTCAAAGAGCTGTCAGCCCAACCCCCCCCACTCGCTCCTCCTTATCATCCACACCTGTCCGCTCCTCCTCCCACACACCTGTCCTCTCCTCTCCCCCGCTCCTCCCCTTTGCCCCCATGCTTCGATTCGACTCTTCACTTCGCCCCTCTGCACCACCTCTCACCACTCTGCCTGCCTTGCACCGCCTCCTGTAGCACCTGTTGTCTCCCCTCTCATGCACCCCACCATCTCCCCCCACACCCTCGCCTGCCTCTCTCTCGTCCTTCTCTGCTGCTGCCCTGCCCCCCCGTTCTCCTCTTCTCCTCTCCTCTCCTTCTCCTTCTCTTCCTCCCTCCACTCCTCCTCCTTTCCCTCCCTCCTCTTTTTCTCCTCCTCTTCCTCCCTCCACTCCTTTTCCTCCTCTTCCTCTCTCTACTCTTTCACGATCAACACTCTCTGCCTCTCCCCCTCTCCCCGCTCTCTCTCCGCTCACTAGCTCATGTCCCAACCCATGCCACTGCCTATGCTGCTACAATGCCTTCTGACTCCCTGCTTTGCTTGCCATCCCTCATCTCCCTCCTCTCCTCGTACCTCATCTCACTTCCCCGCTCCTCGTTTCATCTTCTCCCCTCCTCAACCCATCGTCTCCCCTCCCTTATCCTCCTCCCCCTCCCCACCCCCCCTTGCAGCACACTGGGGGACACGGCTATTTCAGGCGAGCTGCCTCGCTTCCTCACTGCCCTCACCCGACTCGTCTCATTGTGCGCCCCTCCCCACCTGCTGCGCTCCTCCCCACCCTCTGCGCCCCTCCCCACCTGCTGCGCTCCTCCCCACCCTCTGCGCTCCTCCCCACCCTCTGCGTCCCTCCCCACTCTTTGCGCCCCTCCCCACCCTCCGCGCTCCTCTCTCTGTCCCTCCCTGCACCGCTCTCCGCCCCTCTGCAACCGTTGCATCTCCAGTCGGTGTCATCTCAACCGCATACCATCGCTTCCAACCCATTCACCCCTCAACTCACACCTTGCCTCCTGTTCTGCCATTACCTTTCCTCCCATCCCCCCACCCCCCCCCCCCCCCCTCCCTTCCTACCCCCCCTCTCTGTCTCTGTTTTTGAGACGTCTCAATAGTCCCTCCTCCCTTCCCCCCCTCTCTGTCTCCGTTTCCCAACCCTCATCCCTTTCAGTAACGTGCTCGACACCAAGATCAACGGAACCATGCCCGCCACTTATGGAGCCTTGAAGCTTAGCTCCTTGTGTGATTGCCTCCCCTTACGATTATTCCCATGCAACCCTCTATTTCTCCTTAACCCCCTCGCAACTGTCTCATTCCATTATCGTCTCGTTTGTTAAGATATAGACATAAAGATACCTCTATTCATATCCCTCTCTTGAAGGACGCTTCAAATGAGCTGGTTTAGAGAAGCGCACTGTTGGATATCACTTATGGTTATGCATTTGTATGAAGTATTCCACACCTCGTCACTTTTTCCCCATCTTGCCCCGCATATCCTCCACCTGCCCTTGCTCTCTATCAGTGGTTTTTCAGGGCTAACTTGCCCAATGGACAACACCAGCTGCGGAATCAATCAGAACCGTTCATCCAAGTTTTGCAACTTCTGCTCAACATTCTGCTCCACGTGTATCCCAATCAACGGTCTGGATTGCTCCGATCATGCACCTAGCACTACACTGCTACGATCACGTTACCATGCACGTGCCCCTGTCATGCCCCTGCCATGCTCCTCCGACTTAGTCGAATCAACAATGCTTCGATCGTACCTCTCACGTTTTCGCTCCGCAAATTCCCTCTCCACCATTCCCTGCCGTTCCCTCCCAACTTTCCCTTCCATTCTCAAATTCCATCACATCCCATCCGCCCACCATCCCCTGTTTTCCCCGTCCCATCCAACCCCACCTGTCCCCTGCCAGTACCAATCCCCAGTCCGCCTCCCCCTTCCCCTCCTCCCCCTCCGCCAACCCCCTCCCCCCCGCCTCCTCCCCCCATCGTCACCGTCCTCCTCGCTCCTCCTCCCCCTCCGCCCTACTCCCTCCCACCGTCTGCGATTGCGGGGATTGTAGTGGGTGCAGTGGTGGTGGTGCTGCTGCTGCTGCTGGCGGTGGGGTGGGGGGTGTGGAGGTGGAGGAAGGGGAGGGAGCAGACGGGGGAGGATTCGAGTGAGTGGGAAGGGGAGAGGAAGGGGAGATTTTGAGTGCACATGGCATGAATATATGATTGCATGATGGCATGGTGGTTAAAGCTCTCAATGCAACGTGTCGGCATGCGGTGTGCATAGTTGGGAACGTTGTGTGAGTGTGTGGGCCGTTTTCCTCTCTTCCTCACTCCCCTACCCTCTTCCCCTCTCGTCAGCACCCCTTTATCAACAAGTTTTCAAGGAAAACACAGAAACAAAATAACAAAGTTGCGAAGCAAGAAACAAAACTTTCCTCTGCCCCTTTCTCACTCATCCACCCTTATTCCCCCCCCTGCTTTCCTTCCTCCCACCCTTTCCCCTTTCCCCTTCCAGCCACACCTCTGCTAAAGCGCACACCCGCCTGCCCTCACATCCCCCTGGCTGACATTCTCCGGGCCACTGATGGGTGGGCGGAGGAACGGAGGGTGGGGGGAGGCAGGTGGGGTGACGTGTACCGGGGGGTATGGGTGGAGGAGGAGGAAGCAGGGGATGAGGAGAAGCATGGGGGGAAGGATGGGGGGAAGGATGGGAAGCAGCAAGGGGGAGAGGTGCAGGGGGGGTCTCAGGTGAAGCGGGAGGGGAGCAGCAAGGGGGGAGGTTCACAGGGGAAGCGGGACGGGAGCAGCAGGGGGGAAGTTGCACAGGGGAAGCAGGTGTCTGGGTCAGGGACAAAAAAGCTTTCATGGAGGCGGGGGGAAAAGTGGGCAGTGAAGCGCATGAGGGGAGGGATGCATGGGGCAGAGAGCGCGGAGCTTGAGGCTCATGTGGCAGGCTTGGCTTCCCTTGTGCACCCCAACGTGCTTGGGCTTGTGGCCTGGTGCTGCTTCCCTGTAGCGGGGGAGGGGGCAGGGGAGGGGGAGCGGGAGGGGGAGGAGGAGGAGGCGGTGGGGGGGGAGGGGGGGAATCAGCTGGTGTTGGTGTATAAGTGGATGGAGCGGGGCAGCCTGCAGGCAGCACTGCAGCCAGGTGCGCTCCATAGGGCTTGTGATGCCAATTAGCGTCAAGTCAAACTCACCACTCGCCCTCACCACTCCTCACCATTCGTCCTCGCCACTCGACCCCGCCACTCGTGCTGCGCCCAACCCATCCCCTCCGCTTTTATGGGAGCGCGTTACGCTTGCCCCATCGCACCGACCTCGTGCCATGCCCCTCCATCCTCATACTCCACTACCTTGCCCCTCCATCCTCATACTCCACTACCTTGCCCCTCCATCCCCACTGTAGAAATATGTTGTTAGTCAGGAAGATGCTGAGATCAGAACACTCGGCCTCTAAGACTAGAGGTGAGGAACTACGTCTTGGGACATAACTGGTGCACAAAACCCACACTCCCCCAACCATCCCCACACTCCATTGCCATGGCCACCCATCCCCACACCCACCGCCAGGCGGCACGCCCTTGTCGCTGCAGCAGCGGGTGGACGTGGCAGTGGGCGTGCTACTGGCACTCAAGGCGGTGCAGAGCCATGGGCAGGTGCATGGCGACCTCAAGCCCAGCAACGTGCTGCTTAGCCCTGCCTTTGAGGTACATTCTTTTTCGGTATTCTTAAAAGTGACTCTTGGATAGGTGCGTGGGTTTTGAGAGTTCTCAAGAGTGAGTTAGATATAGCTGGGTGCATTTTTTTAGGATTCTCAAAAGTGGCTTGGGTATAGGTGCGTGCCTTTTGAGAATTCTCAAAAGTGACTCAGATATCGCCGCTGCTTGATGAAATATATAAATGTGACTTAAATATAGGTGCGTTCCTTTTGAGAAGTGAATACGCCCTCACCTCATTTCACTCCCCCTCCTCCCCCTCCCTGCCTTACCTCCATGTATTCCCCGCCCTTCTCCCAGGCGCGAGTGGTTGACTGGAGTGTGGTGTGCATGGGGCAGCGCGTGCATGTGGACATGGGCAACAGTGGCTCAGAAGGGCAGCGGAAAGGCGTTGGCAAGAAAGGCTTGGCAAGGATAGTGTCCCTGCCAAGTGGAGACAGAGGCACCAGCAGCAGCAATGGCAAGGATGGTGGCAACAGTGGGTATTCATGGGGGGCCGGTAGGAGTGGCAGCAGCATCAGCAGCAGCAGCAGAGACGAGCAGAAGGTGTATTTGCTGCGGTGCACGGAAGGACACGTCGATCCGGCTGTTGTGCACACCGGCATTGCCACTCCCACCAGTGACATGTACAGGTGGGGCTTTAATCATGTGACATATACATCAGCATGTTGCCATCGCTCCACATCAGCATGTTGCCATCGCTCCACATCAGCATGTTGCCATCGCTCCACATCAGCATGTTGCCATCGCTCCACATCAGCATGTTGCCATCGTTTATATTGGTGTGCTGGCTGCCTGGCTCGCCTGCACAAACTACCACCTTCCCACTCCCTCTTTTCCACCCTGTCTCCTCCACCTCTCCACCTGCCGTCTCCCCTCCCTCTCCCCATCTCCGCCCCTTCTGACCCTCCCCATTCGATTCTGCCCTGCATTGGCCAGTGTGGGAGTGCTCCTACTGCAGATGCTCACAGGCTGGGAAGGTCCCTTCAGGGATGTGGATGGCCAGAGCACACACATCTATGACTGGGTGCGTGATGCTCTTGAAATCAGGGCATGGTATGGCAAGGCATGGCATGGCATTGTATGGCAGGGCTGGGCAGGGCAGGGCAGGGTAAGGCAGGGCAGGTATGGCAAGGTGTGGCATTGGGATGGTATGGCCCACCTCTCCCACTTCCCACTCCCCCTTTCCCCCTCCCGGCCTCCCCCTCTTCCCACTCCCCCCTTCTCCCTGCCTACCTCCCCATCCTCTTCCCCTACCGTCCCCCCTCCCGCCCTCCCCCCCTCCCCCACCCGCAGGCCCGGCAGCACGCAGACTCGGACGACGTCTCTCCTCTCGTCGACCCTCTGCTGCCACACCCCCTGCCCCCTCCCGCCACCCTCCTCCCCCTCTTCCGCCTCGCCCTCGCCTGCTCGTCCCCCTCACAGTCCGCTCGCCCCATGCCCGTATATGCTCTTGAAGTTGTCAGGAACTTCCGCACCTCCCTGCTGGAGGCGTTGCGGCCTGGAAGGGGACTTGGGGGTGCAAATGGGGAAAAGGGAAAGGGGGACGGGGGAGAAAAGGGTGAAAAGGGAGTGGGGGAAGAGGGAGGAAAGAGAGATGATGGGGGGAAGAATGAAGAGGGGGGGAAGGGGAAGAGTGGGGAGGAATGGAGTGGGGTGTCCATTGGAGAAAGTCCTGAGGGAGCGGCGGAACAGAGTAATGACTATACAAGGCTGCCATTAGTGGGTGCAGCAGAGGATGGTAGCGAGTCTATGGTGTAGACAGGGAGGTGTTATCTGTAAGGTTCTTGTCGTGTAGACCGGAGCAGGTGATATCTGTCGGTGTAGTTTAGGGAAGTTATTATCTATAACACATTTTGTAGAGGTACTCTACTGTATTTCTGTAGTAATATTTGTCATTTCTCTATAATATGTACTCTTTTTCATATCAACCAAGTGCACTGAGGGCAAGGGTCCTGACTCCTGCACTGGCCAGGATAGTTGTAGCTTGTGTTACTGGTACTTCCCTCCAATCAGAGACTAGCCAACCGACGACTGCAAGTTGATCATTTCATTTACAGAGAATACCTTGCCTTGCATGCACCATGTTCACCACCTGTCTCTCCACTAGCAACAACGATCACAGCACAACCAGCAGCAGGCTATGTGTGGGTGGGCCACTGTTCACTCTGCTGGCAAAATGCAGAGACATGGGCTTTAAGAGCGGGTTGGGCTTTAAGCGCTGGTGACGGTGACCTCGACTTCGACCCCCGGCTCGATGCTGATGGACGTGATCTGCTTCACCACCTCCGATGGGCTCACCAGGTCGATCACGCGCTTGTGCACGCGCAGCTCAAACGTGTCCCACGTGTTCGTACCTGGACGCGGGCGGTTAGGAGAGGGGAAAATGGGAGGAAGAGAAATAACAGAGGGTGTTCAGGCCAATAAGGCTCACCAGGTCGATCACGCGCTTGTGCACACGCAGCTCAAACGTGTCCCACGTGTTGGTACCTGCAAAGGGGAGGGGTGGTTGGGGGGAAGAGAGAGAGGGGAACAGGGGGTGTTGGAGGGTGTTGAGGGGCACTGAGGCACTGGCGCTTGCGCACGCGAGCTCGAACGTGTCTCACGAGTTCGTTCCTGGAAAGAAAGGGAGAACCAAGCGGGGTAGTTTGACCGAGACGGCGGGAGCTGGAGGCGGAAGAGGAGTGGCGGGAAGTGGGGGGAAGCTTCACGCCGAGCTTGGGGGCACGGGATGACAGCAGCAGCTTGCTGCGGTGGGGCAGAGTCGCACCACCGCTGCCGCGCACAAGCGCGTCAACTCGGCACGCCGACGCGATCTCGCCTTGTCGCACCAGCGTGTGCGAGGCACCAATCAGCGCTTCTATTCGCTAGGGACTCAAACCGCTGCAGCGCCAGGACACCATGCGCCCGTCGCACAGCCCCTTCCTTCATACACCGCGGCCGTGCCGTGCCTCGCCACTCACCCTAACTACTGCAGCACAAGAGTTCTCAAAGTGACTCAGCTACTCCCCCCCCCCCCCCCCCCTCGTTCTTCCCTCAACTCACCGTTGCCGCAAGGGGACTTGCGCGTGGTATGGCGGAGCACCTTGGTGGGCATGCGCACGGGGCCCTTCACCTTGAGACGCTTCTCCTTGGCTCCGCGCACCAGGTCCGCGCACACTGCGCGGGGAAACGTCAGGGATTGGGAGGGGGGAAGATGGGGGAGGCGAAGAGACGGAAACGAGAAAGGAAAACGAAAGAAGAGAAAGTGGGAGAAAGGAAAGAGAACAGAAACGGAGCAGGTAAGCAGGTGAGCAGGTGATATAAACGCGCGAAAGAACAGAGCTTGAAAACAGTCGCAGCTATGAAACGTCGACACGCTCATGACCGTGGCGCACCGCCGCGGCTACTGTGGCGCGAACAGCCAATTGCGAAGGGCTAAACCCGAAACCGCGTCAATAGCAAAATCAGGCTTGCCAACGACAAGATATCGAGTCGATGAAATACAAAGCACTCAGCGCAAAAAAGACAGACGAGCGCTTCTGGTCGAACACAGGGACGACTGCACTCGCGCAATTCCCGCAACAGCACATCTAGCGGCCGCAACAGCACATCTAGCAAGCACGAATTCACAAGTTTTGGTGAGAACTAACCCTTCTCGAGGCTCTTGACGTTGTTCATGCAGCTGAGCGTGATGCGGATGTTCTGCACCTGCTGCTCCACCGGGGTCTCCTCCAACCCCGCTTTGGCGGACTTCACGGGCGGCGGCACGCCTGCCATGATGCCTTGCTTTGCTGACCTGGACGAAACGACAAAAGAGACAGCATGGTTTCGCTGGTCCGCGCGCTAATCTTCGCCGTCGATCGGCATCTGCTGCCGGGCTTTAAGCAGTCGATCACATAGCGGAAAATCGCACTACTTGGATTGAAGGCTTGCATGCTACTAGAGAATCACGCGAGCGTTCTTACTTGTCTTAATTTGACGAATGAGCGCTCCCCCGAGACAGACGCCGGAGAACCGACCGCTTGCTGAGGGGTTTAGCGATGAGAACGAAAGAACGCAAGAGGAGGAATGAGGGAGGGTGTGTGGCTCTTATGCTGGGATGGGTGAGGAGTGGGTTTGCAGGGAAGAGATGGTTTGACACTGCATACTTGATATACGCGTACTCTGATAATAGAAACAAGAAATTCTTCGAACACTTCTCCATTCTCAGTCATATAATTCTGTTCGAGGACTTCATACGAGTCATAAAGTGATTATGTTCTCCATCCTCTATACAGTCTGTTCACCTTCCTAGTTTCGCTGCTGTGGCTGGTCGGGAACGTCAGCAGGGGGAGTCAGAGATTCATTTTCGGCTTTTCCGCGCTGGAACCCTGCACGTGAGCGATTATGATGCCGTTGGATGACGGACAGGTATCTTTCAAAAGCATTCTGACGTGGACCGGCAAACCTGCCCATTCCTCTCTCCTTGGATACCCAGCAAATTTTTTGAAGGCGGATTCGGCCACCTTGGCCACGTAGGCTCCTGGCTGCCTAGCTGGAGGCCGCGCGCACCCAAATCCCGTAACAAGGTCCCTTGCCACGCCCAAGAGCCGCGCTCATTACAAGCACATCCTCGTCAACCTCAAAGAATGATAAGATGCATGCCCTTCCTCTCATAACTCCTTTTCTGTTGTCCCACTTCTGTTTGCGTTACGTACAACCCTCATCTGCCATAACTAAGACGGCAGTTATCTTCGCAGCTGCTTGCCTCCACGGATAAGTCGGGAAAACGTTTCTAAACTCAAACCCTGAACAAACCCCCCGTTAGGATCTTCTTGTCTGCCGTTCCCTGAGTAAGCGAGCATGGCTGCCTTGGAGTTGTCTGCCGTGTCGTCGCGTTTGACCACCGTGGAGGCTACCGGCATCGTCCAGAAGAACACTCCCGCTAACACCAAAGCCGCATTCTTCGGCGCTTCCATTCGCCACACTTCCAACGCGGCATCTCGACGCCGCTCGCAAGCCGTGCGCGCGGAGGCGCCCGCGGAAGGTGCCAAGGCGAACGTCGCGAGCCGCCCCGCCGTGTCGCAGGATGCGGACTTGGCGCTGCAGAGCCAGCGCGTGAGCAGCGGCAAGTCGCTCGTGCCGCCCACGCCTAAAAACTTTGTGTCGCGCTACGGCGACAACGAGCCGCGCAAGGGCTGCGACATTCTCGTGGAGGCCCTCGAGAGGGAGGGCGTGCGGACTCTCTTCGCTTACCCTGGCGGCGCGTCCCTCGAGATTCATCAGGTATCGTTTGAAGCGAGACCTGAATCTGTCAAAACCATTACTTTTGCGACAAAAGTCGCCGAATTCCTAGTTACCGCTCTTCACCGGCGAACGTTAACCCGGTCGCGCAACATCCAGTTCTGAGGCGTCTGAAAAGTCGTCTTTCTAACCACCGTTCACCTCTTCCCCCCCACCCGGAAACCCCCACCGCGACAGGCGCTGACGCGGTCGCCGAACATCCGCACGATCCTGTGCCGACACGAGCAGGGCGAGGTGTTCGCCGCCGAGGGATACGCCAAGGTCTCGGGCCGCGTCGGCGTGTGCATCGCGACGTCTGGGCCCGGCGCGACGAACCTCGTGACGGGATTGGCCGACGCGATGCTCGACTCCGTGCCGCTCGTCGCGATTACCGGCCAGGTGCCTCGGCCGTTTATCGGGACGGACGCGTTCCAGGAGACGCCGATCGTGGAGGTGACGCGGTCCATCACGAAGCACAACTACCTCGTCATGGACGTCGATGATATCCCGCGCATCGGTGAGTGTCGCACGCCCGTGAGTCAACACGAGTCAACGTGAGTAATCGCAATTACGTTGATCGTGGACGTAACGCGGTCATTTACAAAGCACAACTATCTTGTTGCTCGCACGCCCGCGTTCCGCATCGAACTAAACGCGTGTGTTGCTCGCGCATTCGTACTTGGATACGGATTCGGTGCAAGAACCACATATTTCCAAGAACCGCGCGTCGTTAACGCCATGCTTGTTTCCCAAATCGACCTGAAAGTTACGCTAGAATCAACGAGCAGCCCGCATTCATGCTACATCCGCCTGCCCCAACTCCAACGACCTTCCGTCTCACCCAGTTCCCGTATCCCTCCTCCCCCCGTGTCCCCGCGTCTCTCTTTCCTCCCCCCCTCTTTCCCCCTTTACGCCTCCTTACAGTGCGTGAGGCGTTCTTCCTGGCGGCGTCCGGCCGGCCCGGCCCCGTGCTGATCGACGTGCCCAAGGACGTGCAGCAGACGCTCGCCGTGCCGTCCTGGAACCAGCCCATGCGCCTCAACGCCTACCTCTCGCGCCTGCCGCCGCCGCCGCAGCGCGCGCAGGTGGACCAGATCATCCGCCTGCTGCGCTCCGCCAAGCGCCCCGTCGTCTACCTCGGCGGCGGCTGCCTGCACGCCGCGGACGAGATCCGCGAATTCGCGCGCCTCGCGGGAGTCCCGGTGGTTTCCACCCTCATGGGGCTCGGCGTGTACGATCAGTCAGCGCCGGATGCGCTGCACATGCTGGGCATGCACGGCACGGTGTACGCCAACTATGCTGTCGACGCGTCGGACCTGCTGCTCGCCTTCGGCGTGCGCTTCGACGACCGCGTCACCGGCAAGCTCGATGTGAGTGGTCTCCTGGCTCCTGAATCACGCCGCACTTCATCCCTTTCCACTCCACTTTCTTCTCTTCCCTCCATGGGATTCCCTCCTCTGGATCGTTCTACTTGGGGTTGTGGAGTGGATCACTCCACTTCCACGTGAGGGCTGTCGTACCAGAATTCGTCGCGCATACCCTTCCCCACTCACTCTCTCCCCCTAAGGGAAGCGAACTTGGTTCTTTTTCACCTCCTCCTCCTCTTCTTCCGAGCTCATTCCCCCCTCCCTCTCGCTCCGCCCTTGCCCCCCTTCCCTCATGCATTCGCGGCGCGCGCGAGCATAGTGCACATCGACATCGACCCACCGGAGATCACTGCCCCTTTCCCCCCCACCTTATTTCCGCTCCCATCTTCCGCCCCCTCGCCTCCCCCCCCCTCCCCCCCCCCCACCACAGGCGTTCGCAGCGCGCGCGAGTATAGTGCACATCGACATCGACCCGGCGGAGATCGGGAAGAACAAGGAGGCGCACGTGAGCATGCACGCGGACACGCGCCCCGCGCTCGCGCTGCTCAACGCCGCCATCAAGGAGGAGGTGGCGGACGGCCGCCCGCTGCCGTCGTACGCGGAGTGGCGCGACGAGTGCATGGCGCAGAAGGAGAAGTGGCCGCTCAAGTACCCCCAGGTGAGCTGCGGCTGTGGAAATGCGTTGTACAAGATGTGACCGTGCGTTAAACAGTGGGGAAGGATGTGGCATGGGTTGAAAAGGCACAGACGGGGAAGAAGCCGCTAGATTTCCCGCAGTGTAGTTGAGCGGCTTCCCGAAACACAGTGGCAACGGCAGTATGGCAATGGCAGTGGTGGAATGTAAGGGTCTACCACTGCACCGGCAGTGGCTGGCTACCAATCGTGATTGAAGATGTAACTCACAGCTCTCACGCCCATGTGCATGCATGCATGCGGGCATGGGTGCACGAGAGCACGAGAACGCGTGGTGACTGCACCATAGTAAGGCGTGATGTCAATCTGCCTTGGATGCTACGCAATGGGGAAAAACACTGCACTCTGCACCGCATTCCTGAGTGGGAATCGCTGCTCTGCCTCACCGTCAAGGCCTGTGCTGCTGGCCCCCGCCTTCTCACCCTTCTCCCCGTCCGTCTCCCTCCTTTCCCTCGCCCCCCTCGTCCCCCTCATCGTCCCCGTGTCCTTGTCATCTCCCCCGTCTCCCCGACCCCCATTCCATGCCGTCACCACCACCTTCATCAGGTGGAGGAGGCCATTCTCCCCCAGGAGGCGATTGAGATGCTGTACGAGATCATGCAGTGTGTGTGCTGAGTCGATTTTTGAGTCGACTCAAAAATCATCATGCAGGGTGACATCTCTGTGTCCCACTCTTACCCCTTCCTCCCTCTCCCTTCCCTGTTCCCTTCTCCCTCGCTGGCATACCACGATCATCCCCATCAGGTGGAGGAGGCGATTCTTCCCCAGGAGGCGATTGAGATGCTGTACGACATCACCAAGGGCGAGATAGCGATGACCACCCCACCGCTTCACACCCCTCCTGTCCCCTCTCTCTCCCTTGTCCTCCTGCCGTACCATGATCATCCCCATCAGGTGGAGGAGGCGATTCTTCCCCAGGAGGCGATTGAGATGCTGTACGAGATCACCAAGGGCGAGGCCGTGATCGCCACAGGAGTCGGGCAGCACCAGATGTGGGCGGCGCAGTTCTTCAAGTACCAGCAGCCGCGCCGCTGGATCACCTCGGGCGGGCTGGGCTCCATGGGCTTCGGCCTGCCCTCCGCCCTGGGCGCTATTGCCAGCGAGCCGGGGCTCCCCGTGATTGATATTGATGGCGATGGGTCGTTTATCATGAATGTTCAGGAGCTTGCGACGATTACTGCCGAGAAGCTGCCGGTGAAGATCATGATTTTGAATAACCAGCACCTGGGGATGGTGGTGCAGTGGGAGGATCGGTTCTACAAGGTGAGGAGCGGTGGGGACGGGTGGGGGCATTGTCAGACTTTCAAGGAATGGTTCGTGAGGGAGCCAACAACGGAAGGGATTTCATTCAAGGAATGGCATGGGAGGGATGTGATGGTGGGTGAATGCTGGTTCATCTGAATGCACGACTGAGAATCACTTACACACGCACTAGTAGGTATTTCCCTCACCTTCCTGGGCCTGCTTCACCACGAGAGATCTTTCCCCAAGTAGGTATTTCCCGAAGTGAGGGGTCCCTCAGTCAGTATCCCATTCTCTTGTATCCCTGTTGTCCCCTTCCCCCCAGGCCAACCGAGCGCACACCTTCCTGAGTCTGCCAGACATCGAGGACAAGAGCACTTTTTTATCTTTTTCCCCACAACACCCCCCCCACCCGCTCCCCCCCCCACCCTCACACTTCCATCCCGCTGCCACCAGGCCAACCGCGCGCACACCTTCCTGGGTCTCCCAGACAACGAGGACGAGATCTTCCCCGACTTCACCAAATTCGCTGCCGCCTGCAAGGTGCCTTCGGAGCGCGTCACACGCAAGGCGGACCTGCGAGGAGCCATTGAGAGGATGCTGGCAGCTGAAGGGCCGTACCTGCTGGATATTATTGTGCCGCACCAAGAGCACGTGCTGCCCATGATTCCGGGCGGCAGGACTTTCAAGGATATTATCACGGACGGCGATGGCCGGCAAGCGTATTGATGAAGGGATGGAGAGGCAGGGTTGGGGGATGGCGGGCTCGGGTTCAGAGTATGGTATCGGTAGTAGGATACATGGGAGGGGTGCAAATCCAAAATGTATGACTGACATTGTTTGGAGTGGTTGTAGGGCTTGGGCCAGGGCCTCGGATTCGTTTTGGGTGACCCTGAGCACTCAGGGTCCTTTGGGGCTGTAACACTGATCATCAGGGTTGTAAATGGAGAAACACTGATTTCTCAGGGTTAGAAAAAAAAAAACCCTGACACATCAGCGTGAGTTTTAAAAAAACACTGGCGGTGAGAATCCACAACAACTACCGGTATCACAAGTATAATAAGTTAAGAAAAGTTCAAATATGGTTCTAATGAGCTTCTAATCTAACTACAGGCACAGACCACTTGGCGCTCACACCGCACACACAATTCACATCACACACATGTCTTCATCTTCGTCACTGCCACCACCATCGCTCATAGAACCGTGCCTGTGCACGGGGGTCTCTGTCCCCCACCCAGAGCCAGCACCACCAGCATCATCCTCGTCCACCTTCTCTTTCCCCTTAGCACTAGGTTGCTTCTTTGGTGCTGCCACTGTTGTGATGGGCTTGCGCTTCTTGTACGCCCTCCAGATCTTCACCACCTCCGCCCAGTCGGGCTCGTACGGCAGCAATGCCATGCACATGAGGTCCGACAGCCGCGCATCCCAGCCTGAGCTAGCATCTGCTTCTGGTGATTGATGGCCAACTGGTGCTTGTTCGTCGCGGCATGCCGCTTGAAGGCTTGGGTCTGAAGATCGGTTGCACCGTGCCCACTCTTGCCACAATTGCCACCGTCACCTGCAAAGTCGATGCACAATCTGCACTTGAACGCAGGCATGCCAGCAGTGTTTTTTATGAGGATGAGCCATGGGTAGTCGGTCGACCACGTCGACTTGAACGTTTCAAGGGCCTCTTCGTAAATCAGGGTGGTTAGTGACGGTTTTTTAGAGTTAGATGGCGTGGGCGTAACGTGGTTTACCGACTCGCCGGCATCAGCGAGAGGACGTCCAGGATCTGTAGGATCGGCCCAACGGAGCACGGCCTGCTTGTAACGAGGCGGAGGCTTCGACGACGACGCACGAGATGGCAAGCGGACGCTCGGTCCGGCTGCTGACGGCACGGCCGGCTTAGCAGTATGCGCGGGCTGGGGACGATCGTCTCCGCGGCAGAGGCCAGACGCTTCACCAGTGTTTGCTACTGAGGCGACGGGACCTGGCTTCTCTTTTTCATGGGAGAGCGCGGAAACTAGAAAATCTAGCCCCGTTCTGGCCTCCAGCATCTCGGTGGCGGCGTAAAGTGCATCGTCGTCATCATCACCGCAGCTGTTCTCACCGGTGATCGCCATGGCGCGTTCACGTCACCTTCCTGAATCGGTGAGTAGTAACGAGAAACCCTTGGAGAGAGAGAGCCTGCCGAGCAGGCTTCAGGGAGACTGCAGAGATTGATGTTTCGGAAAGGGATGGAGTCTGGAGAGCTGGAATGGCAGAATCACGAGACCCCCTGCGTGGGGTGCCTGAGCGGGCCGCCCCAGCACGCCCTGCCTTGGTGGAAAGAACAAGGCAGACCACCGGCCCACTGGGCCACTAGGCTTGGTTGTTTGTGCACATCAATGGAAAGTAATGACAAGTGTAGGTTATCCAACGTGACAACGGTACATTGCTTCAGCTGGGACAGCCAATCTCTTTACGCCGTTTTGTCAACACAGCCCGAAATTAACCCGTTAAACTGTATCTGGGCGCGCCGCAGGGTGGCGTCGGTGCAGGGTGGGTTCATGCATGATGACGGCGCGCAAAACTGCGAGAATCACGGAGTTTTCGGTTTCAGGGTCGTCTCCGATACAACACTGACTCGTCAGTGTCGACAAACTAGAAACACTGGAAAATCAGGATTAGGAAAAGAAAAACACTGATTCATCAGGGTTGTAAAAACAAAAAGGCTGATTGATCAGGGTTACAATAAAAAACCGAGGTCAAACATCAGGAAATTAGGGTAAAATTCCTGGAATCTGAGGCCCTGGCTTGGGCGCTTGTATGTATGAGTCCCTTTTGGATCGGTCAGTTATTGTTTATGAATATTCGTTTTCAACATTCTGCCAGATCATGTGGGCACTGGCCTGCCACGTGTTTGCTCCCTATGGGTTTCTCAGCTGTTATGCACAACAGACAAGGTGTTGTGTTTCACATCAAGGATGAGGAGTGCTCTCCCCTCTACGGTGCCTGGAAACAGTTCTAATGTAAGGACACACTTGGAGTACCGTAATTGTCCAAACGCACTTCTGTTTAGCGGGACTGGCGAGAGGGGCGAAATTCAAGGGTAGCGAGAAAGGTGTTGACCAGTCACCGCATGTCGGTGGTTACACGAGAAACTCCCCTTCTACCCTGGAGCGTGGGAAAGAACCATTGCCATAAGGCAAGCGACCGAGCAGGAACGAAGCCGTGCCAGCTGTGTTCGCGACGCATTTTTCTTTGCCGCGATTGGTTTGGACTGTTCGCTAGCTGTAAATTGCGAACATGCGACGACCTCTACCCACGGGCCACGATACGAACAGGTGCACTTTCTTTGACGGCGCTGTTCCACGCGCGTCGCTCGATGGGGCAGACAGCGGTGTGAGGGGGAGGGGCTGGTCTGGCTTGGAGTTTGTCCGCTTGTTTGCCCGATCAGGTCTGGTTTTGGCGCATGGCGTCTTTAGTTTCCAGTTTATGGTGATAACAAGCGACATGCATGTTTCCGGGGGTATGAAGTTGCTTCAAAGTCGAGCAAAAATCTTAGAGTACATTGTTGTAATACCGCCTGGCAAAACCCGCTGAATTTTCTAAAAGCCTACGGAAGGATTTCGATCAGCCCAAATCCTGGCTCATATCCGCCTGCACTTGCACCGTCCACCAAATCCTACCAAACCGAAATCACACACCCATCTCGCCGCCACAAATCCCCTTGCGCCTCCCCCCCAATCTCGCCCCTGCGGCTCGTCCGAACCGAAAAGCGAAAGTTCTTTCTGCTCCTCCTCATCCCACCATCCCACGTCATGGCCGATTCCTCCCTTCCCCCTCCCCAGGGTAGTTCACCACCAGCATGAGCGATGACTGGTAAACGTAAGTGGTGATCTCTCATCTCATCTCAGTCTTGCGCATTAGTTGATACCCTCGTGCTCGCCTCGCATTCCCAATCGCGCCCGCTGGGACCACTTCTTGTTGCAAAGTCTGCACCCCTTACATTAAATGCATAAAGCCAGGAGTCTGCCATCCAATTGCCCACAAGAAACCCGACGTAGTCAACAAAAGATCCTCCGACCGCTCGCGTAACTCGCAGATTCTTCTGACATATCTCAGCTTCTCGGACCAAAAAAATAATCAGGAGACAATTCAATACTCACATCTTCTCAATGACCGATAGACTCCGATACTTGGCGCTGTTACTCGGAATTCTATGGATCCCCCAATCTCACTCTGTTCAAGGTATAGTCATGATAGTTAGGGCCCACTACAATAGAAACGTTCGCAGCGCCGTTCACAACGCGTGCCGTCATCGCCGCCCTCTTACGTCGCACGTGCGATCGTTCGCGCGTCGCCCTCATGAGCGGCTATGCGCGTCGAAAGTTTGATCCACACCCCTCCCCCCACCCCCCCACCCCACCTTCTCCCCCCTTCCACCTCTCCCCATTCACTCCCCGCCCTCTCTTTCTGCTTTCCCCTGCAGTGGCCTCCGCCAAGAACCCGCTTTTCATCGTCCGCCTCCGCTCCGCGCCTCCGCTCACCGCTTATCACGGCGGGATTCCCGGATACCCCGCGACCGCCGTGTGGGCCGATGACCCCGACGACGACGGCGACGACAACGGCTCGTCTGACGGGCTTATCGCCACGTCCGCCAATGCCGCCGTCGCTGCCGCCGCGACTGCCGCTGAAACTGTCGCCGCGACTGCCGCCGCAACCGCCGCTGCCACCATCGCTAGCGTTAACGTTTCCAGCGGACCCTTCGCCACCGCAGCGTCCGCTGGCGTCTCCGCGGCCACCGCCGCCGCGGGGGGGAACCAGCGTCCGCGCATCAACATGCGCGCGGCGCACGTGACGGCATTCGCGCAGCTGTTGCAGCGGCAGCAGGCGCAAGTCGCGGCGGAGGCGGAGATCGCGGCGAGCCAGGTCCTCTACAACTTCCGCCAGACCACCAACGGGTTCGCGGCGCCGCTCACGCCCGCGCAGCTGCGGAGATTAAGGCGCCACCCGTCCGTCGCGTCTGTTCGCCGCAGCCGCGTGTTCCGCAAGCTGACGACCTCGTCCGCGACGTTCTTGGGATTGCCGAGCACCGTGTGGCCCGCCGTGGGCGGGCGGAGCCAAGCGGGCGCGGGGATGGTGATTGGAATCGTGGACACGGGCGTGTGGCCGGAACACGCGTCGTTCAGCGGAGCTGTACGTGGGAGGGGGAAAGAGATCACGTTGGTGGTGGTGAGAGTGATGGGATGGGACCAGCAAGTCTTGCCAGTGCGCTCAATCCGTATCCGACGATCATCCTTTCCCATCATCCGTATTCATTGCCCAACTCCTAGTTACTCACTCAACCCCTCCTCCTTGCCCCCACCTTTCCCCCTTCCTCCCTCCCTTCCCTCCATCCTCCTCTCATCCCTCCCCCATCCCTTTCCGCCTCTCCCCCGCCCGTTCAACCCCCCCATTCCCCTCACTGCAGGGCGTCAAAAGCAGCACGCCTGGCACGGTGTGCCGGCAAGGGCCTGACCTAGTCCGACTTCCCCTTTTGCAGCAACAAGCTCATCTTCCCCCATCCCCCTCCTTCCCCCTTTCCCCCCTTTACCCCCCCCCCTGCAGGGCTTTAAAGCAGCACGCCCAGCAGGGTGGGCGGGCAAGTGCCAGAGGACGGCGGACTTCCCATCGTGCAACAACAAGCTCATCTTTCCCCTCTTCCCCTTTCCCCCTCTTTCTCCCCCACCGCAGGGCTTCAAAGCAGCACGCCCGGCAGGGTGGGCAGGCAAGTGCCAGAAGACGGCGGACTTCCCATCGTGCAACAACAAGCTCATAGGCGCGCGCTACTTTGTGGCGGGCTTCCAGAGCGAGAACGGCCGCCCGGACCTCACGTACGACTGGCTGTCTCCCCGTGATGCTGCTGGCCACGGCACCTGGTGTGCGGGGTGAGTCAAGCTGTCCCAAGTCACCTCTGCGGCTGCCTCTGCCCTGCCTCTGCACTTTACCAGCTTCTCCGCCTTTTCCCATCGCCCCTCTCCCTCCCTCCCCTTCCCCAAGCACTTCATCCCTCCCCACTGACCCTGCGGACCCCACCACTTGCCTATGCCCGCCCACTCCATGCAGAGCCGCAGCAGGCAACAGCGGAGTGTCATTCGGCCAAGCAGGCACGGCCTCGGGCATGGCGCCAGCAGCACGCCTGGCAGTCTACAAGGTCTTCTGGGTCAGCGGTGGCGACCAGTTCGCTACGGAAGCTGACATCATCGCGGCCACCAACCAGGCTGTAGCGGACGGGGTGGACGTGCTCTCGCTCTCTCTGGGCGGCAGCAGCGCCGACGCGACTTACTTTGACGATATTCCATTTCTGAATGCCAACACTGCGGGCGTGTTTGTGGCGTTTGCGGCGGGGAATTCGGGGAGGCCGAGCGGGAGTAGCGGCTTCAGCACGTATCGAAAAATCAGCAACTTCTCTCCTTTCTACCTCACTGTGGGGGCCAGGTATGTTATGTGGCAGCCCCACCTTCGCTCTCTTTCCTGTCCCTCGCGATGACCTACTTTTTCACTTCTGCAGCAGCTTTTCTCACTTTTACCGCATGGTCAGGGCTAGGTATGCTATTCTGCTTCCTCTGGTCCCCACCAACCACCTGCTTCCTGTCACCAATTATAAGAAACACCTTGCCTGATCATGGTTGCTCTCTTCCCCGCCCCCCCTTGCATCTGCAGCACCATTCAACGAGGAGGAGTGTCTCTCGCCAGGCGGGCACCGACCAGAAAGGCTGCTTCTGCGGGCAAACCTGCTGTGGCCGCTTCAAACCACTCCAGGTACACTGCCTTGCACAGCGGTGGGAGTGTACTCCACGCCACCTCACAGCACCTCACACCACCTCACATCACCTTACATCGTCTCACATCACCTGTGCCGCTCTCACCTCATGCATTGTCCTGCAATAACACCCACAATGCTTCTACCCCCACCCTTCAGCTTTCGTCTAGCTGACCCCTCATGCCTTCCCTTTTCTCCCCCCATCCTCCCTCCCTTTCCCTCCACCAGCACACCGCAATCCGTCTCATCAACAGCACCCTCTTCCACCACCAAACCCTCCGCCACACAAAGCAAGCCCACCACAACCGCCACATCTCCCCGCCGCACCGCCGCTGCCGCCGCCCCCGTCGTCGCCTCCTTCTCCTCCTCCGGCCCTCTCGTCCGCCCCTGGACCGCCTCCCAAGGCGCCCAGGCCACCAACGCCATCTTAAAGCCTGACATCATCGGCCCGGGGGTTGCTCTCTTCTCCGCGTGGGTCGGCTCTGACGTAGGCGACAAAGGGAGCTACGCGCAGCTGTCGGGGACGTCGATGGCGACGCCTCACTTGGCGGGCATTGCTGCTCTCATCATGCAAAAATACCCTAAGTGGAGCCCCGCGCAGGTCATGTCCGCCATTATGACCACCGCCATAACCACCAATATGGCTGGTACTGCTATCAAGAACGCGTATGGATCGGTAGCAACGCCATGGGAAATCGGTGCAGGGCATGTGTTCCCGCCAAAGGTTCTCGACCCGGGGCTTACATACGACGCCAGGCAGGCCCATTACCGGAATTTTCTCGCTGGGATGAGCCTTTCAACGGCTCAGATGGAGTTTCCCGGGGCTAATTTGTCGCCAATTGCTCCCCGGAATCTGAACCGGGCGAGCATCTCGGTTGCGCGGTTGCGAGGGTCTGTGGTGGTTAAGCGGACAGTTACGAATGTCGCAGCTTCTGCTTCGACGTATACGGCCACGGTTGTGGCTCCTGCTGGGGTGTCTGTGACTGTGACTCCCCAGAGCTTCTCTATACAACCGGGAGCAAGGGTGGCGTATAGACTAAATTTGAAGGTTACTAGAGTGTACGAGAACTTCCAATTTGGAAGCATTACATGGACGGACGGTAAGGGGCACTCGGTAAGGTCTATGCTTGCTGTACAGCCGTCAGTCTTATCATAGACTAAGAAAGGAACAAAAGTTTGTAATATACATTGTAACTGAACAGTTTAATATCTGTTAGGGCACGGCAATGTCCAAGTCTCAGTTAATTATTGCGCATGTATATGTCGAGTATAAGGGCCAGGCAATTTTGTTCGATCCAGCACCGCAGGCGGAAATCCTGGATTTCGAGGGACCACGCTGAAATAAATTACGGTGGCAATGCAGCCACAGTCAGCCCGGCGGGAGACAAAAAGACCAAGGCGAGGTTGCGTGGTCTTTCCCCGCGGGGTGGAACAAAAGTCTGAGAGGGAAGGGGAGGGGAGGGGAGGAGGAAAGTGGTGGGAGGGTGGGAGATACCATGCCTCGTCATGATGTAGGAAAGCACTTTTGCCACCCGATATTTCTGAACGAACATTTTTTTTCGGGACAACTTCAGCTGCAATCCAATTAGGCCAGCGCGGTTTGCAAATGCGATCCCCAGTGGAAGAAGCTGAGGGGTCGTTATCTGCCCGCGGTCAGAAAAAAATAAACCCCATCTGGTTGGCATGCGGTAAGGGGAGCCCCAAGCCTAAACACGGGGAGCCCCGACCCTAACCACGGGCAGCCGCATGGTTCTTCCCGAAAAGATCGCATTTGCAAACACGCACTGCGAAAATTGGATCGCATTTCAAATTGACCGTTTTTTTTCCCACCAAGTTCTGTACGACCCACATGTTCAGGGTTTGTTGTTGGGTCCCACGGTTCTCCGACTTCCCTTCGAACCAGTTGTCTTTCTCCACCACCGACCACCACAGGTGACATCACAGGTCCCGGACCAACCCGCTCCTTCTTACAACAAACAATCGCATACCCTTTTGCGTGCCCCGCCATTGGGCAAAACAGAATTCCCGCTCGTTCTGCCGTGGTTTCCGCATCCGCGTGCATCCAGTCCCCCTTTTTCCTCCCCCTACCCCCCCTTCCCGCCCCTTCTCCCATCCCCCCTTCACCCCCCCTCCAACCAATCCAAGATTGTCCTCGCCCCTCTCCGCCCCAGGGGAAAGACCAGGTCAAACCCATTCCACGAGATACGCGCCACGCCACGCCGGGCTGCGAAGCTCCGCTTGATGGTTTCGAGAGTTACCAGGCGGGTTCGCTTCAGTCAAACGCCTCTCACCGAGGATTTGCGAATTCCATGAAAGGTCTTCGAACGCCGCCTCGCGCCTCGACTGCTTTCCGGGTTTCAATGCTGCTCCAGCTGTCTGTCATGCTGTAAAAGAAGAAACGCGTTCGGCAGTTGAGCAAATCATGTCAGTTCATCTCTTTCATTGCCAACCAAACCAACTCTGTCCCACCACATTCAGAATCCGTATCGTTCAAATTGCATCCCGCAGCCGATTGCCTCACGTCGCCTCTCTTCTTTACCCCACACTTGACTAACTTTCAAAGCGTCTTTTCTGGCCTTCTCTGCGCGTTCGCTCGTCACTGTTGAATCTCCTTCGCTTTCAGTCCCTCGCCAGCCAACCTAAACCGTTCATCAGTAACTGAAGAAACTTGTTCGATATCGTTACCTGTAAGAACCCTCCAATACGCTAACTGCGTCTTCGGGACTCCTCAGCCTCGAGATCGACATCCGCAGCTACCGCTCCGAGTTGACACGCCACAATGACCACAACTACCACAATGACCATAATGACCATAATGACGGGCCGCGGCAGATTCCTCCTCGTCATCGCGCTTCTCCTCTCGTCCACGTGTCAATGCGCCCTCGCCGTGCGACGAGGTAATCCACGTCTCTTGGTCCTCTTCTCTCGTGCCTAACCCCAGATTTTGACCTAGCTTTGAGTCAGCCGGTCGCATTCATCTCTGAAGACCACTCCTCTTCGTCCCACAGCCCTCGTCCCGTCTTCTCCTGTATCTTGATATCCTTTCCCGTTGTTCCCTTCCGCGTTCCAACCTTCCCCCCTCCGCCCCCCCACACATCCTTGCTGCGCCAACCGCAGCGCCCAACCCCAAATCCACGTCACTATATATCGTGCGCCTGCGCTCCGCGCTTCCCCTCGCCGCGTATCGCGGCGGAATCGCGAGCTTCTCGGGATGGACGGACGACGGCGACGATGCTACCGGTCCGTCAGGTCTGCGCGCGACGGCGGCGACGGTAGCGCACGAGGAGGCGACGTTGGCCGGCAGCATTCCGCGGCGCGCGCGGCTGAGCATGGAGAACCCGCAGCTCAAGGCGTACGCGCAGATGCTCGAGACGCAGCAAATCGGAGTCGCGTCTGACGTGGGCGTGAAGTCAGACCGCATTGTGTACAAGTACGTTGCGGGGACCGAAATTAGCAGCATTGTGTACAAGTACGTTGCGGGGACCGAAATTAGCAGCTCGTCGCGTTTTCTAGAGCCTTTGTTCCAGGTTTCTCCGAGCAGCGGAATTCCAGCAGCAGTGCATTCTCAGCCCCATGCCATGGCTCCCCACATCACCCACCGCTCCCAAACCCCCCATACCGCACCCCAAACCCTCCTTCCCCCCACATACCCATCCCTTCCCCTCACCCATCGTGCACCCCACTCGCTGCCACTCCTCCTTCCCCCTCTTCCTCTCCCCCAGCTATATGCACGCAAACTAAGAGCTTGCAGCAGCGCTCACCTACACCGCCTACAACCCTTCTCGACCTCTCCATTCCCATCCCTTCCCTCAACTCCCACTCAACCTCTCTCCTCTCCCCCCCCACTTTCCCCCCTTCCCGCTCCCCTGCACCACTCCCCCACTCCCACACCCCCGCTCCCACCCCGCTTCCCCATCCCCCAGCTACATGCACGCGAGCAACGGGTTCGCAGCGTCCCTCTCCCCGCAGCAGGCTTGGCTGCTGCAGCGGCACCCGGCAGTGGCGGCAGTGACGCGCAGCCGCAGAGTCACACCACTCACCATCGACTCGCCCACCTTCCTGGGCATGCGCGCCCCCGGGTCGCTGTGGCCCGCCAATGGCGGGCAGGCGAGCGCGGGGAAGGGCATGGTGATAGGCGTGGTGGACACGGGCATCTGGCCGGAACACCCCTCCTTCAGCGATAAGGGATTCTCCTCCTCGAAACCCGCCGGCTGGTCGGGGAAATGCGACACCACGAGCGAGTTCAAGTGCAATAATAAGCTCGTCGGCGCACGGGCGTTTTACAAGGGCTTTAAGGCGGACAATGGCGGGCCGGACCTGACGACCGATTGGCTGTCGCCTCGGGATTCGTACGGCCATGGCACGTGGTGTGCAGGGTACGTGGCTTGGGCTCCCACCGCATGGGTTTCGAGATGCCTGAGAGGCTCAGTGGCTTGGGCTGAGATGCCTCAGCCCACTATGGTGACTCACCCTGCCTCCACGTATCCCTCTCTCATCTCCCCTCCCCCTTCCCACCTCCCCTCCCCCTTCCCACCTCCTCTCCCCCTTCCCACCTCCCCACCCCTGCCTCCCTTCTCTCTCCTCGCCCTGTGCCCCATCCCTCCCCCCCTCTTCCAGTGCAGCAGTGGGCAACAAAGACGTGCCCATGGAAGCCGATTATGGAGGACGATTGTGGAGGACGATTATGGAGGACGATTTTGACATGTCATTGTGGGGTGACTCCTCCCACTCTCTATCCTTCAATCCATCCCTCCCCCCGGTCCCATCCCCCCCTATCTCCAGTGCCGCGGCAGGCAACAAGGATGTGCCCATGGCGGGCGGCAAGGCGAGCGGCATGGCGCCAGCAGCGCGCCTGGCAATGTACAAAGTCTTCTGGTTCTCCGAAGGCTCCCTCTTTGCCGTATCAGCCGACATCGAAGCGGCAGTCAACCAGGCGGTGGCGGACGGTGTGGATGTGCTCTCACTCTCGCTGGGCGGCAACGATCCAACGGACACCTACTTCTCCCACATGCCGTACCTCGCGGCGAATCTCGCGGGGGTGTTTGTGTCGTATGCGGCGGGCAATGCAGGCCCGTACAGCTCCTTCTCGGGCCGCACACTCGACAACTTCTCGCCGTTCTACCTCACCGTGGGGGCCAGGTGAGAATCGCAGATTCTCTACCCTTCTACCCTCTCTGCTTGGTACCCACTCGTGCCACCTCTCCTGCTTGCACTGTTTCTTGCTGCTCACTCACATTTTCCTCGTCCTCCTCACCCTCTCCCTCTCACCCTCCCTCTTCCCTCTTCCTCCTCCCACGTGCCTCTTCCTCCCCACAGCACCATAGGCCGAGGCGGTCTAACCCTCAAGGCTGCCACAACAGCAGCGGCAGCTCTCAGCAACTCAACATCCTCAGCCACCCCAGCAGCCACGGCCTACCCATCCATCGCCGAATTCTCCTCCACAGGCCCCCTCACAGACCCTTCCTTCGACGTCACCGGCGCTCTCCCCACCAACAGCATCTTAAAGCCCGACATTGCCGGCCCGGGCGTGGATCTCTATGCTGCTTGGCCCGCTGAGAAGGTCGGGAAACCGGGGACTTATTCCCAGCTGTCGGGGACGTCGATGGCGACGCCTCACTTGGCGGGCATTGCTGCTCTCATCATGCAGAAGCGCCCCAAGTGGAGCCCCGCGCAGGTCATGTCCGCCATTATGACAACCGCCAAGACCACTGACACTTCTAGTGCTGCTATCAAGAGTGCGTATGGCGAGGTTGCTACTCCTTGGGACATGGGCGCTGGTCAGGTGTTTCCAGCCAAGGTGCTGGATCCTGGGCTCACGTTTGACGCTCGGGCAGGTGCGTATCGGAATTTCCTTGCCGGGCAGAGTATGAAGCGGGCGCAGAAGGAATTTCCGGGCGCTAATCTCACCGCGATTCCTCCCCGCGAGTTGAATCGGCCGAGCATCTCTATCTCGCGCTTGAAAGGTACGCTGACAGCTACGAGGACCGTGACAAGCGTTGCCGACTCGTCAGCCACATACACAGCTACCATCAAGCCTCCTAAAGGAGTGGATGTTACAGTTTCGCCCAACAAATTTACAATTGCGAAAGATGGGAAGGCCACCTTCACGGTGACCTTCGAGGTGACTAAGACTGCTGAGGACTTTCAGTTTGGAAGCCTAATATGGGCCGATGGTAAAGGGCACTCCGTGAGGATGGTGCTTGCTGTTCAACCCACCAAGTTGTGACCAAGAGCATACTCTTCTACGTTATAAGACAGGAGGGATGTGCCCCGTGCGCCAGGGTTACCTTTGAGTTTATACATTACGTAGAATGGGTGTACTGCTGCTGCTGGTCCTTTGTGTGGTGCCATGCTTGTGAATGCTTCACTAGCACAATGGCTGACTGCATTGTATAGTGTTGTAGTGTGACTAGGACCAGAATTATATGGTGAAATACTTAATTTCTACATTTTTTAGGTCATTTTATTTAGTAGTAAAAGGTAGACTGATCACGAAGCTCGAAGGCATTTTTACCTGGATGCAAATCTTGAAGGGTGATCCTGGATTTGAGGGTGTAGCTACATTGAGCCAGGGAAGTTGTAAGGAATTTTCCTGAATTCCTTATCGGGGTTGACTGCTTCGCGTACAACCCGATTTTCGGAGTTGCACGTTCGGCCGATTTCAACGCTGCCGAGGCTCCTCGCGTCGCCTTCGGCATTTCCATCGCCCAACCTGCACCCAACCTCGCTTGTCCGAGGTTTCCTCCTAACTAGGCTAGCCCTACATTAGTCTGTGCATTCATTGTATTCGCAGTTGATTCAGTCACAGCCTCGTTATTCGTTTACCTGCGCACTCTCTTTTACAACTCATAACACCTGGTATCAGAGCTACTTTCCTAGTTCACCCCGCTTTTCGAGGGTAGTTTGGTGGCACGGGTGTGGTTGGTTTAGTGACTACACGACGGTTGGTTGCAGGGATTGTTAATTCAATCCTGCCCGACTCCGATAGTTCGTGTTTTCACTTGCCGGGAGGCCACGGGTACCCGACTGCCCACCAGACGTAGTGCTAGGCACATGGATCAGGAGGCTGTTAACCGGCTGATGGCGCAAGTGGCAGAAATGAAGCAGGGCATGGAATCATTAATGGCGGAAGTGACAACGTTACGGGAGGAAAACGCCGAGCTACGCCAGACGCGAGGTGAAGCGCGTCAGGAGTCGCCTGTGGACGAAGGCGAGGGCAACAGTCAAGCGATGAGCAATCCGCTGGATGCGCTCACACGTGACTTCGAAGAAGAAGATAGGCAGCGAGCGGCAGCAGCGCCAGTTGCAGTGACGACGATCAAGATAAAGCCCGCCAACCCGCCCCCGTTTAATCCTACGGACAAGACGGTTACGGTAAAAGGGTGGCTGTTCGGGGTCGAAGTCTTTTTTACTGCAGCCGGAGTTAATGACGACGCCACGCGTAATAATTACGCGATTTCGCTTCTTCGAGGTGCAGCGCTTGAATGGTGGCGCCGGACCTTGGAAACAGGGACGCCGACAGGTGTGACACATGCGGCAGACGGGACCTCTACAGTGGTTAATCAAGTGGCAGAACCAATCTTCGGTGTGACCAAGATACGCACGTGGAAGGAGTGGGGCGCAGCCTTACGAGATCGCTTCGAGCACATATCCGCCTCGGAGCAAGCTCGCATGAAGCTGCGTGCATGGTCGCAGATGGCTTCTGTCCAAGACTACACAGCGTCATTTATGGGCTTCGCCGACCAAATTGACGACATGTCGGAAGCAGAGCGGTTGGATAAGTACGTCAGCGGCCTTAAATATGAAATACAGTTTGAGGTCCGCAGAAGCCGCCCGACATCGTTCCTCGAAGCAGTACGAGTGGCGGAGTCAACTGATGCGCTGATGCAGTACGCGAGAGCAGCTTCCAGGGATGGGAGAAGCTTTCGTGGCCAGACCCATCGGGCCACGATCAACGCCGTCCATACACCCGACCGCCCTCCTAAGGTCAGTGTTTTCGGTGTGGGAAGGTGGGTCACTACAGGAAAGACTGCCAGGAGAAAATGCCGCTGACAGGGGACGACAGGAAGGAGCAGGGAAATGGGAAGAGTCAGTAATTAGCGGGCCCTTTACTGACTGTGCTCCGTCGCCCGAACACCATCATCCCCACCGAGGCGTGGTTCCGATTCATGCAATCGATCTCACTCGGCCGAATAACGGGGATAATCATGTGGATCACCCTGTGCTGGTCGCTGGCAAGGTGTTAAAAAATAATTTGAAAATGTTCGTCGATGGAGGGGCCAGCCATAGCCTCTTCAATTTGGCGAGCGCAAAAAGATGCAAGCTGCAACTTGACAGGTGTCTGCCCGAAATCGACGCACGCCTCGTGGATGGGACGCCTCTGGCGATAACGGAAGAAACACGGACGGTCAGGATCGAATGCGGCGACGATTTCGGCTTCAGCATGAAGTTTCTCGCGACAACATTGGACGGCTGCAACGTGTTGCTGGGACGCGATTGGCTGCGACGACACAACCCCGTCATCGACTGGACAATGGGATCGTGCAGCATCAGCAAGCACGAGGGGCTAATTCGGCTGCCTGCATGGACACCTGACTACATCCAAGCCCCGTGCGTCAAAGCCATCACCATAGCTCGCCACTTCAACAAGGGCGCGCAGCTGTTCGCTGTCTGCTTACGCGAGTTGGCAGTCGACACCGACGGAAAGGACATTGAGAAGCTGTGTGCAGCTGTACCTCCGGATTTAGCGGAGCTGATTCGACAGTACCCCGACATTTTCCCGGACGACCTGCCACCTGGGCTGCCACCCGAGAGACCAGAAGACCATAAAATCCAGCTGGAGCCTGGCGCGCAACCGACGGTTCGAACACAGTGGCGGTTGACCCAGCCGGAACTCGAGGAGCTGCGCCGACAAATTGACGCACTGTTGGAGAAAGGGTTCATTCGGGCGAGCACCTCCCCGTTCGCGGCACCGATCCTGTTCACTCCGAAGAAGGACGGTGGGCTTCGCATGTGCATCGATTATCGCGCGTTGAACCGGGTGACCATCAAGTCTCGCTACCCAATCCCACGCACCGACGACCTTCTTGACCAGCTTCGCGGCGCTCGTTACTTCTCGAAAATCGACTTACGCGGCGGTTACCACCAGATTCGGGTCTTCGCCGACGATTGTCACAAGACCGCGTTTCGCACACGCTACGGGAGTTACGAATTCACGGTGATGCCTTTCGGCCTCACGAACGCGCCTTCAACATTCCAACTGACCATGAACAGGGTTTTTTCGGGATCTTCTAGACCGATGCGTCATCGTCTATTTGGACGATATCCTCATTTTTAGCAAGACACGAGAGCAGCACCTCCGTGACCTGGATGCAGTGTTTAAGCGGCTGCAGGAGAACCGACTCATCACCAAGGGCTCTAAGTGCGAGTTTTTTAAGCAGGAGTTGGAGTTTTTGGGGCACGTCATCTCACGCGACGGCATTAAAATCGACCCGGCGAAAATCAAGACCATACAGGAGTGGAAGTCAACGACGAATGTCACGGAAATCCAGAGTTTTCTCGGATTCATGAATTACGTCAGGCGGTTTATCCCGAATATGGCGGGGATAACCGGCCCGCTGACCGACCTGCTGCACAAGGACAGGAATTTTGTGTGGGGGGAGGAGGCAGAAGCGGCTTTCCAGGAACTCAAGAACTTTCTAGTTTCCCCTCCTGTGCTGCGCATCGCCGACCCATCGAAGCCGTTCGAAGTCGTCACCGACGCCTCAGATTTCGCCATCGGAGCTGTGCTACTCCAAGATTTCGGGAACGGGTTGCAGCCGATAGCCTACGAATCACGCAAGCTGCAGGCGGCTGAACGCAACTACCCGATCCACGACAAGGAGATGCTCGCCATCATACACGCGTTTAAATTATGGCGATGCTACCTGGTGGGCGCCGACGTTACTGTTCGCACGGACCACAAGTCCCTCCAGTACCTGCGAGCCCAACCCAATCTCAACCCACGACAGATTCGGTGGCTGGACTACATGGAGAGCCACTTCACCTACCGCATCACGTACAAAAAGGGGGCGAATAACATCGCAGACGCCCTGACCCGACCGACAGTACAATCCGCTGCAGTACTCATCACCCATTCGAACCCGTTACTTACCGGACTATTTACCCACGGCTACACTACGGACCCATTCTTCACGATGGGAAATCATCGGCAGGCTACGACGCAGAAAGGGGACTATTATCTAAAGGCCGGAACCGACCGGATTTGGGTCCCCGCTTACAGGCTGCTGCGTGAACTCCTTATCCAAGAGGTCCACGATTCGAACTTCTCCGGACACTTCGGGGTTGACAAAACCCAGAAACTACTGCAGCGTCAATACTATTGGCCTGATTCCTCTAACGACGTGCAGCGCTATGTGTCCTCATGCAGGGTGTGCCAAGCAATGTAATCGACACGTCAGCGGCCAGCTGGACTGCTGCAACCCCTCGAGCCACCCGAATGACCGTGGCAGCAAGTGACGATGGATTTCGTCACGGGGATGCCAGTTGGGCCGTCCGGCAACGACGCCGTTCTCGTCGTCGTCGATCGCTTCACGAAAATGGCGCACTTCGCACCATGCCGAACGACAATCACAGCCGAAGAAACTGCGCGCCTCTTCATCTCAACGGTCGTGCGACTGCACGGCATCCCTTCGGCGATCATCAGCGACCGAGACCCGAAGTTCACATCAAAGTTCTGGAAGGAGACGTGGGCGCAGTACGGCACGAAGCTACAGTTCTCATCGGCATATCACCCACAGACGGACGGTCAAACTGAGCGGACCAACCAGACCATGGAGCAGCTGATCAGGACAAACTGCCCCGACCCTGCCCGCTGGGAAGACTCCCTCGCAATGTTGGAGTTCGCCTTCAACAACGCACCGTCCAGCACGACTAATCACTCCCCGTTTTTTCTAAATTGCGGGATGGACCCGACAGTTCCTACGGCAACCACTCTCGACAACCCGGTCCCGAGGTCACAGACTTTCGTGACGGAACTTCAGGAAGTCCGAGAAAAAGCCGCCGACGCAATCCGCAAGGCGAATATTACTTCCCGAAAATACACCGATCTTCTACGCCGGGAACTCGTCTTGACCACTGGGCAACTAGTGCTACTTGACACGAAGAACCTGCACCTGCCCGGCCCGTCGAAACTACGGCCACGATTTTGTGGACCTTTCAAGATTCTCAAGATGGTGACACCTGTCACCGCGAAGCTGTTGCTACCGGACGACTGGCGCATTCACGACGCCTTCCACGTCAGCCTTCTTCGCAAGTTCGTGCCAGCCACGACCGATATCGCACGTCAGCAAGCTGCCCCGACAGCACGACCTGTGCCGGAGCCGACTCTCGACCCATCGAAGATTTTGGCACATAGGGTCCGCCTTGACGCAGCTGGACGACACGTGGATTTTCTAATCCGCTGGACTGACCGCACCAGTGAGGACGACACGTGGGTGCCATCCGCCTCGCTCGACGCCTCGCCACTTGTTGGGGATTACCTGGCGCGCCGGCGTGTTTCTGATATTGACCGCCTTTCTTAAAGGGGGGGGTGGTGTAAGGAATTTTCCTGAATTCCTTATCGGGGTTGACTGCTTCGCGTACAACCCGATTTTCGGAGTTGCACGTTCGGCCGATTTCAACGCTGCCGAGGCTCCTCGCGTCGCCTTCGGCATTTCCATCGCCCAACCTGCACCCAACCTCGCTTGTCCGAGGTTTCCTCCTAACTAGGCTAGCCCTACATTAGTCTGTGCATTCATTGTATTCGCAGTTGATTCAGTCACAGCCTCGTTATTCGTTTACCTGCGCACTCTCTTTTACAACTCATAACAGAAGTCATGCAAACTTGCTGGGTGGGTTGTTACGAAGCGCGGTTCACTCGAAGTCCGATTCGGTTGGCTGATTGACGGTGTCGCACATGTCACCATCACTCACTAGCGGGGAATTCGCCGCATACACATCCATGATCCCAATTACCCAACAGTTTAGGGCGGCTGCGATTTTCGCTACAACACAATTAGCGGCTGACGACGCACAACGACTGGTTAGCGCGATAAACGAACACCGCCACCCTAGTTACAAAGATAACGAAACTCGAATCTCATCTCGTCAATGAGAAATGCGGGCCGGCCTCCCCAAAGCGCCCCTTCTCAAATTTATCGCGCGCCGTCGTTTACTCTCCCTGAGCCAACCCCACCCATTCCCACAAACCCTGGAATTCCTTTCTCCACTTGATTCGAGTAGAGCAAGATCTAGCCACACTTTCGCGCCACGCCCAAGCACACTCACTCCACACCACAAACAGCAAGCAAGCTAGTGATGCCACAGACCACTGACAGCAAAGTACAGCTAAGTGCACGCACGTGCGATATGCGTACGAACGGGCATGTCATATGCTCGCGCAGTACGGTAGTAGGCACGAAGATCACTTACCTATGCTTGGCCGGCCCATCTGCGATTGACCTTACATGGAATTCTCGCACAAACGATACCTGACGCCGTTATTACTGTAGGTAGTGGCGAGCGACGTTAGCAAATCTGCCGGATTCAGCGCCGGACTCAGCGCCGGACTCTGCGCCGGACTCAGCGCCGGACTCTGCGCAATGGGTTTTCTAGCCGTCCTCGTATCGTCGCTGCTCCTCCTCGGAGAGCTACCGACGCCCACGCGGTCCCACGGATCTGACGAGCCGCGGATTGAGCCCCCTGGGGGATCTCGCGACGCGGGCGCCAGTATGTACATCGTGCGCCTGGGCTCCGCGCCTCCGCTCGCCGCGTACCGCGGCGAGATCGTCGGCTATCCCGCCATAGTAACTACCAACAACGGCGACGATGCAGATGAGGGGGAAGATGACTCATGGCCGACGTTGCAGCGGCCCGTTGGCGCGACGTCGGACTCTCTGGGAAATTCCGCGGCTGGGCGGGCGCGGATGAGCATGCGCGCGCATCACGTGCGCGCGTACGCGGAGCTGCTGGCGCGGATGCAGGCGGAGGTTGCTTCGGAAGTCGGTATCGCGGCGGATAATATCGCGTACAGGTAAGACGCATGTCTCACGCAGCACCGTTATTATAAGACTGATCACACACACACACACACACACACACACACACACACACACACACACACACACACACACACACACACACACACACACACACACACACACACACACACACACACAAGTTGCTCCTTTTTCAAAATTGCATGTCTTTTAATACGCATCCGCGCACACCAGCATAGAATTCAAAGCGGACTTAACGAACCAGCCCTCCCTCCTCTCACCATCCACTACGCGCACCTATCAGCTACAAGCACGTCACCAACGGATTCGCCGCGCTGCTCTCACCCGCGCAGCTCCGCCGCCTCGCGCGCCACCCCGCCGTCGCCTCCGCGCGCCCCAGCCGCCCCTTCCACCCCGACACCATCGACTCCCCCGCGTTCCTGGGGCTCGCGGGACGCGCAGGCGCGCAAAACTCCGCCAACAGCGGAAGCGGGGGAATGTGGCGCGCGCTTGGCGGGCAGCAGAGGGCGGGGGAAGGGATGGTGGTGGGGGTCATAGACTCGGGGATTTGGCCCGAGCATCCGTCGTTTGGCGACAAGAATTTCAGCGCGACCCGGCCAAACGGATGGTCAGGATCGTGCGATGCCACGTCAGACTTCCGGTGCAACAACAAGATCATCGGGGCGAGGGTCTTCAACGCGGCATTCCGCGCGAAGCACGGGAAACCGGACCTTAGTACTGATTGGCTGTCGCCGCGAGATGGATTCGGCCACGGCACCTGGTGTGCTGGGTAAGTCGGTAGCATATCCCTTGCTCGGTCATTCCCCTTCCCCTTGCTCCTTTTTCATTGCCGTCTCACCCTTTTTGCGCTGCCTCAAAGATAGATTCGCCCGTCGCACCTGGTGTGCAGGGTATGCCAGCATTCCTCCTGCTCCCTTCCCATCCCCCCCTGCCCATCCTTTTCCTCACCTTCCCTAATCCACAGGACCACGCATGAACTTCTGCTTTCTCGTAACTAGCAAGCACCACCCCAGTGCCACCATCCACACCCACTCCACCCCCATCCACCCACCCATACCCTCACTGTCCCTCGCTAACCCTATCCCCGCCACTCATCTCATAGATCCTCCCCTTTTCGCCTCCCTTCCCCCGTCACTCCAGCGCCGCAGCGGGCAACAGCGGCGTGCCCATGGCGGGCGGCAAGGAGCCGTGGTGACTAAGCTCACCCTCTATTTATCCATCTCCGTCCGTCCCGTCCACACCCCCCTCCTCTGCAGCGCCGCAGCGGGCAACAGCGGCGTGCCCATGGCGGGCGGCAGGGCGAGCGGCATGGCGCCAGCAGCGCGCCTCGCGGCCTACAAGGTCTTCTGGTACTCCCAAGGCGACCGCCCAGAGATGCGCGCTCTGGGCGGCGAGTCTGCGGATCTTCTGGCGGCGGTGAATCAGGCTGTAGCGGACGGCGTGCATGTGCTGTCCATATCCCTCTCGGCCGACGACCCCGATGCCACGTACTTTGATGACGTGGCGTACATGAACGCGAATCTGGTGCGTTGACTTGAGTTGACTCACACGGGCATGGGGGTGGCCTTTTGCCTGGAGATGGGGGGGGTGTGGGGGAGGGGAGGGAGGGGGAGAATGCGGCAGGTACAAGGCCGCAACATGGGGGTGGAAAGTGAATCAGGCTGTGGCGGACGGCGTGCATGTGCGCTCCATCTCCGCTCTCATCCGACGCCCCCGATGCCACGTATTTTGAGACGTGGCATACATGAATGCAAATCTGGTGCATTCATGTACATATGGGTTTGAGTCAGGTCAAGGTGATGTGAGGTCGTCCCCTCATTCTCTAACCAACTCCTCCCCTCCTTCTCTCTCCTCTCCGTCCCTGTAGGCCGGAGTGACGGTGGTGATGTCAGCGGGCAACAACGGGGCGCCTCTTTCAAACCCCCTGGGCACATACCGCACCATCGCCAACTTCTCTCCCTTCTACCTCACCGTGGGGGCAAGGTGAGCCTCTTCCTCTCTCTGTCTATCTATTCCTCTCTCTCCCCATCTGCGCCTCTTTCAAACCCCCTGGGCACATACCGCACCATTGCCAACTTCTCTCCCTTCTACCTCACCGTGGGGGCAAGGTGAGCCTCTTCCTCTCTCTGTCTATCTATTCCTCTCTCTCCCCATCTGCGCCTCTTTCAAACCCCCTGGGCACATACCGCACCATCGCCAACTTCTCTCCCTTCTACCTCACTGTTGGAGCAAGGTGAGCCTCTTCCTCTCTCTGTCTATCTACTATCTCTCTCCAACTGCTGCTTCCCTTCTCAGCCCTCTGGCCCCAACTCCAATCGCACAATCGCCAGCTTGTCAGAGTAACAGGCCCTGAGCAGTGGACCCATTCCCACTCGTAGCTACATCAGAACGACTCTCTCTCTCGCCTTCAGATTCCCTCCCCATCCCTTCCATCCTTGCCTTCAGATTCCCTCCCCATCCCTTCCATCCTTTCCCCCTTAGTGTGATGATGAGTCCATGTATATGTCGACTAAAAGGTAAACTTCTTGAACGCCCCCATCCCACTGCCGCCATGGCCCCGTTCTCTCTCAATCCCTTCCCCCGTCGCTCATCCTCCCTTATACTCTCTCTATCCTCTCTAACCACCTGTTCCAGCTCCATTACACGAGGAGGCGTGTATCTTGCCTCCTCGCCTGCATCGGAGGAAGAATACGGGAGCAGTGAAGCAGAAGCTGACAGTCAGCAGGAAGCGGAAACACATCCCAGCACTGCAGCAGCCACGACCACAGTAGGGAAAAACTCAACAGACACCAGCAGCAGCAGCGGCAGCAGCAGCAGCAGCAGCACCACCACCACCACTGAGTCAAAACATGCTCCATCCATCACAGCAGCATCCCCATATGCCGCTGCCGTCGCTCCAGCCGCTCCAGTCGTGGCCGCCTTCTCCTCCTCCGGCCCTCTCCACCGCCCCTGGTCCCGCCCTCCCCCAGGCCACGCCTCCAACAGCCTCTTAAAGCCCGATGTCATCGGCCCAGGGGTCGACCTCTGGGCGGCGTGGGTCGGCCCGGAGCCAGGGAGGGCCGGGGGGAGGGGCGGGCGAGGGGGGGAGGCGTCGCAGCTGTCGGGGACGTCGATGGCGACGCCTCACTTGGCGGGCATTGCTGCTCTCATCATGCAGAAGCGCCCCAAGTGGAGCCCCGCGCAGGTCATGTCCGCCATTATGACCACCGCCATAACGAGGAACACCAAGGGGAGGCGAATTTTGAATGAGCGTGGTGTGGCTGCTACCCCTTGGGAGATTGGATCCGGGCATGTGTTTCCCCAGAGGGCTTTAAACCCTGGGCTGACGTACAATGCCCGGAGATGGGCTTATGTGAATTTTCTTGCCGGGCAGGATTATCGGGCAGCAAAGAAGGAGTTTCCAGGGGCGAAACTTTACCGGAAGAAGGCGTGGAATTTGAACCGGCCAACGATTTCGGTGGCGAGGTTGAAAGGGGCGGTGGAGGTGTTTAGAACGGTGGTGAGTGTTGCAGGGTCGAGTTGCGCGTACAAAGCAAGGGTGTCGGAGCCTCCAGGAGTTACAGTTACGGTTCAACCTGACCATTTCACAATCTCTCCTGGAAAAGTAGTTACGTATCGGGTGGTGTTAAACGTCACTAGACCGTACAAGGCCTTCCAGTTTGGAAGCCTTCTTTGGGAAGACGATAAAGGGCATGCGGTGAGGTCTCCTATTGTTGTACAGGCAATATCGTCAACAAGATAGAGTCAGCTTTGTTATATACAGTCTCTGTATTGTATTATGATATATCCATGTCGTGGTATTTATGTACACTGCATCATCCAATTAAACTACTTGCACCAAATTCTGATGTTGCTCATAGGATGCGGAGCTGGCAGGCATCTCTTCCAACAAATCAGGTCAGATGAGGTCAACACTAGCGTCCCAATTTGTTCTGGAGTCTCGAGAAAGGTCACTGATCTGATGTGTACGAATTTCGCCCTCTAGTATGAAAAGCACGAAAATGCGTTTGTGCCAGCATGGAAAGCTCACATGTCTGAGTGACGTGTAGTTCTTCCACGCGAGAGTTCGAAACACCAGCCTCCAGCATGGCAGCCAGAGATCTTGGCCACGTCTCACTGATGAATTTGATGGTCATTTTTTTATGTGGGCTTTTCTCGAGCAGCTACACTGGATTCCAATTCGCGACTCGACGGAGTTGAAGACGCATATATTGAGAGGAGCTCTTCTCATTTTCATATCAACGACCAAGCCCTCACATCTTCAGAAGCATTTTCACACACACAATCAAATTCTCCACCCGTCCCCACACACATATTGTCTATATGACTTCCTCCCTCGTTGCGCGTCAGGCCGTCGCGGCTCTCTCATTCAGCACCGCGGTAAAGGGCGCGGCTCTCTCCACCCGCAATTTAGTGGCTGTCGCGCCGATCGCCCCTCGCGGTCTAGGCGTCTCCGCCCTCCTAAACTTCAACAATTCCGCCGCTCCCTCTAAGAACGTCCCCGTGAAGAAGCAGCTACGAACAGAGGATGGCATCTTCGGCACGTCGGGTGGATTCGGCTTCACGAAGGCTAACGAGCTCTTCGTGGGGCGCGTCGCGATGCTCGGCTTCGCCGCGTCGCTCCTGGGCGAGGCCGTCACGGGGCAGGGTATTCTGTCGCAACTCAACCTCGAAACCGGCATCCCCATCACGGAAGCCGAGCCGCTCCTCCTCTTCTTCATCGCCTTCACCGTGCTCGGCGCGATCGGCGGGCTGGGCGATCGCGGGCGATTCGTGGACGACGAGCCGGCGGGGCCGGCCGCGAGCCCCGGAAGCATCAAGTCGGCGCTTGGTCTGAGCGAGGACGGGCCCTTGTTCGGATTCACCAAGGCGAATGAGCTGTTCGTGGGGCGCATGGCGCAGCTCGGCTTCGCCGCGTCGCTGATTGGCGAGGTGGTGACGGGACGGGGCGCGCTGGCGCAGTTGAATATTGAGACGGGCCTGCCGGTTTGGGAGCTGGAGCCGCTGCTGCTCGCGAGCGTCGCGTTCTTCTTCGTAGCGGCGATTAACCCCGGTACAGGGAAATTCATCAACGACGAGGAGTGAATGAATCCATGAATCTTATGTATATACACATCACGTACGATAATTTGTGCTATGCGTCATCTTGTTCATTTTGCTTCCGTTACGATATAAATAATGAGTATCGACCCTTCCCTTTCTTTGAGTCTTCAGCATAACGAATGCTACATTTTGCAAACCAGGTGTGACGGGAAAGGAATATGAATGTGAAAGGCACTCGTCGATTCCGTATGCTACGTCGAAAGTTGAACAAGCCGCCCGATCGAACAGGCGAAAGATCACACAATTTGCCACTGCTCATAAGACCTTTCGCGAAGTCGCGGGTCAATACCGTCGTCTATCGGAACAGCGCTGTCCGCCCACCGTTTAGCCGATGGGCAAATAGAACAGGGCCCTAGCACGTTCCTCCCCTCCCCTCGCCACACTATCGAACAGTGCAGCCCGAACGCACAATGGCAGGGTTTCCACGCACAGAACAGACGACGCATCTGATTGGGCACGACGTCTCCCACTTCGCGAACGAATGTGTTTCTCGCCTGCGAGTGTCGCAGTGCGTCGGATAGTGCTTGCACGATCAACCCCGAAGCGCAATTTCCCTGACCGATTTCGAAATCGTGTCGCCAGTTCAACCAGGAGGGATACAACGAATCAAGCCCAATCAAACCCGCATAGCATGGCTGATGATGACCCAAGTCACGAACGGTAGATACCCAGGCATCGTAGACGCAAAATGGTCCAGCAGGCACGAACGCACACTCCTGCAACCACGCCCTAAACCATAAATGTAGTAAAACGCCTCTGATAATGAAGCATTTAGAAGTTTTGCACTAACACAGCACCCGCAGCAGCAATCCGCCCGCTCATATGGTTCACCGTATATACAATATTACATAGTGGCTCACTTCTTAATCGGCTGAACTGCGAGCACCATTCTCACTGAGTGCCCTTTCTCATCGGCCCAGGTCAGGCTTCCAAACTGAGTGTTGTTAGACGTCTTAGTCACCTTGAAGGTCACTGTGAAAGTGACCTTCTTACCCGGAGCAATGGTAAATTTGTCGGGTGTTACCGTGACGGAGACGCCGTTAGGAGCCTTGATGTTAGCCGTATATGTGGACGGCGAATCAGCAGCGTTCGTAACCGTCCTGCTTGCTGTCACCATCCCTTTCAGTCGGGAAATTGAGATGCTTGGACGGTTCAACTCGCGCGGAGCAACCGCAGTGAGCTTGGCGTTCGGAAAGTGCCTCTGTGCCCGCTTCATACTCTGCCCGGCAAGGAAATTCCTATACGCAGTTGCCCGAGCGTCGAACGTAAGCCCAGGATCCAGCACCTTGCGTGGGAACACGTGACCAGCTCCCATATCCCACGCAGTAGCAGCCTCGCCGTTAGAATTCTTGATAGCGGCACCGCTGGTGTCAGTGGTCTTGGCGGTGGTCATGATGGCAGACATGACCTGCGCGGGGCTCCATGAGGGGTGTTTCTGCATGATGAGAGCAGCAATGCCCGCCAAGTGAGGCGTCGCCATCGACGTCCCCGACAGCTGTGCGAAGCTGCCCGGCTTGCCGATTTTTGAGCCCGGGGCAGCAGCGTAGAGATCCACGCCCGGGCCGACAATGTCGGGCTTTAAGATGCTGTTGGTGGGGAGAGCGCCGGTGGCTTCAGTGTTAGGGTCGCATAGGGGTCCCGTGGAGGAGAAATCGGCGATTGTAGGGTGGGCGGTGGCTGCTGGGACGGCTGAGGAGGAGGAGGATGAGTTGCTGATGTCTGCCGCTGCTGCTGTGGCGGCCTTGAGGGTTAGACCGCCACGGCCTATGGTGCTGTGGGGAGAAATTGGGTAGGCAGATGGAGGAGTAGGGCAAGATTGAGAGAGGGATGTAAGCAGGGAGAAAAATTTACATGAATATGAGAGAGAGCAGGAGAGAGAGGGAAAGAGAGAGAGAGAGAGAGAGAGAGAGAGAGAGAGAGAGAGAGAGAGAGAGAGAGAGAGAGAGAGAGAGAGAGAGAGAGAGAGAGAGAGAGAGAGAGAGAGAGGAGGGGGGGGGGGGGGAGGAGGAGAGGAGGGGCAGGGAGGCTTACCTAGCCCCCACGGTGAGATAGAAGGGCGAGAAGTTGTCGATTGTGCGAAAGTAGCCGGGATCCCAGTAGCCTGGCGAGCCGGCATTTCCCGCTGCATATGACACAACCACCCCGGCCTGTACCAGCAAGGAGAAGGAGAGGTAGAAAGGGAGAGGGGGGGGCGTAAACAAAGTGTGAGCGCGAGATGATGGCTGGTGTGCAGGAAACATGGAGGCCTTTGAAGATGTGATGTGGATTAGACATCATCGAGGAGAGAAAAAGGCAGCGTGGAGAGACGGGAAGGAGGGGGCAGCAGCGGGCAGCAGTAGGGGAAGCACCAGACTGGGACTGAGATACAGCATATGGCAGACGCAGTTCTGTAAGTAAACGCACCAGGTTAGCACTGAGATACGGCATGTGGTCGAAGTAGGTCTCCTTGTTATCCATGCCGCCCAGCGAGATCGAGAGCACATCCACACCGTCCGCTACAGCCTGGTTGACTGCTGCATCGATGTCGGCCCATGTCCCGGTGAGAGAGCCTTCAGAGTACCAGAGAACCTTGTACATTGCCAGGCGCGCTGCCGGCGCCATGCCGCTCGCCTTGCCGCCCGCCATGGGCACGTCCTTGTTGCCCGCTGCCGCGCTGCAGAGGGGGTGCATGGCGGGGTGGGAGGGGGGAGAGGATAGTTAGGAGGATAGATAGATAGTGAGCAGAGTCACCGTAACATCTCAAAACCCGACTGAACGGGGGGGCAATGCATGGTTAAGATTTGAAGACTAAAGCATGCCAGCTCACATGTAAAGGTCGAGCCATTGACATCTCAAGCCACGTACCTTGCACACCATGTGCCGTGGCCATCCGCATCCCGGGGAGACAACCAGTCTGAAGACAGGTCCGGGTCGCCGATGTCCTTCTTAAATCCCTTGTAGAACACGCGGCCACCTATGAGCTTATTATTGCACTTGAACTCGCTCGTGGTGTCGCATTTTCCTGACCAGCCGGCGGGTTTCGAGGAGGAGAATCCCTTATCGCTGAAGGAGGGGTGTTCCGGCCAGATGCCCGTGTCCACCACGCCTATCACCATGCCCTGGCCCGCGCTCGCCTGCCCGCCATTGGCGGGCCACAGCGACCCGGGGGCGCGCATGCCCAGGAAGGTGGGGGAGTCGGTGGTGAGAGGGGTCACTCTGCGGCTGCGCGTCACTGCCGCCACCGCCGGGTGCCGCTGCAGCCCCCACACCTGCTGCGGGGAGAGGGCCGCTGCGAACCCGTTGCTCGCGTGCATGTAGCTGGCGGATGGGGAAAAGGGGAGCAGGAGTTGGGGAGAATGGGGTCCAGGGGGATTGAGGGAAGGCATGGAAAGGAAAGCAGACCCACCCCACTCGGTGTGGGAACAGTATGGGAGGGATGCCATGGAATGGGGCTCCAAAAACAGGCTCTTAGACGTGTTTCTGCCACGTACTTGTAAACGATGTGTTCTGACATCACGCCCACGTCAGACGCGACTTGGGTCTGCTGCGTCTCGAGCATATGCGCGTATGCTCTTAGCTGCGGGTTCTCCATGCTCAGCCGCGCGCGCCGCGGAATGCTGCCGCCCAGCGTCGCGGCTTCGTGCGCCACCGTCGCCGCTGTCGCCCGCAGACCTGACGGACCGGTAGGATCATCCGAGTCATCGTCGTCGTCCGTCCATCCCGAGAAGCTCGCTATTCCGCCGCGATACGCGGCGAGGGGAAGGGCCGAACGCAGGCGCACGATATAGAGTGACATGGACTCGGGAGTGGGCGCTGCGATTGGTGCAGCAATGAGGAGTGCGGGGGGCGGAGGGCGGGGGGGAAGGGGGGAAAGGTTCAGGTGAGAATAAAATGTGGAGAAGAATGCTTCTTGAATCCAAACTTTGAGTGATGAGATTAGTGCGAACAGGGTCAAGAAATGCAGGCGATAGTTGATAGCAGGACGTAAGGTCATGGCTTACGGTGAGCTCGTCGAATCGCGAGGCATTGACACGTGGACGAAAAGAGAAGCACGATGGCGATGAGGAATCTGGCGTGGCCAGTCATTTTGCGACGCCGGGAGGGTCAAATCCTAGCGGAATCCGCGGGATTCAAGCTAGCTATAGAGGCTGGGGATATAGGGGGAGCTGCTATGGCGCAGGGCGCTACAGGGGGACTTTTTTTCAGAATCGGTTTTCGCTTTTTGGCAGGTGGGCTTGCGAGTAGATTAACATCAACACAGTTTTTGTCACGAAGAATATCTAAGGAAAAAAAAATGGCGCGCAGGAAGTCGACTCTTCGTAGTCAGGCGACGCGAGGCTGTACAATGCGGAAGGAGGTAGTTGTTGAGTGAAGGCGATTCTGATTTCAGTGCTACATTTATTGCTGTGAGAAATGCACTTGATCTTTCCTGAACGCGTTCTTCGATTTCGATTGCCGAACAGCTGGACATGATGAATTCCTGAAAGCAGCCGAGACGCGCCGGCGATCTCGATGTTCGCAAATTCTTGGCGAGACTTTTGACTGAGACGACTCCGCGTGGTTACCATTAGCGCCATTCACGGAGCTTCGCCACCCGGCGTGGCGTGGCACGTACGTGTTGAACTGAGTTGACTCTGCTTTCGCCCTGCATCGCGATATTCTTTGTTGCACCGATTAACTCGGTACTGAGAGATTCGTGAATGATGAGAAGGAGAAAATTGTGAACTATCAGCCTTCAGCAGAAATGTATAAACGCAATGTTGTTGAGCACAGGATATCCTTGAAACACTTGCATATCAAAGAGTTATTTCACAGTACAGCGGTGACTTCCTCATATCATTATCCAGATATTTATCATATTGTATATACCATATTCTCCAGCTGGTCATGCCCAAATGCTCAAGCTCATTCTCCCCAAAATGTTCATGAAGTTATAGATTGTCAAAAGAGTACAACCACATAATACATTATATACACTAGCAAATAGCTCTGTACAGTAATCATACCCTGCGTTCCTCCATAACACAATCCTGGAGTGAACAAAAACACAGGCTGCAGAGTTACAATGGGGGGATACTAGGGGAGCAGGATGCCATCGGCAAACTACTGAACCACGACCCACCATCCCCCACCGCGCCAACTCCACTAGCCACTGTAGGGGCAAAGAGGCAAGAGCGAGGAAACCACCACTTGTGGCAACACCTTTAAGAGAGGCACGCTGTGTGGCACGTGTTGCCCCCCTGCCACCCACTCCCACCTCACCCACTCCACTAGCCACACCGTAGGGACAGCAAGGCTAGCGTGATGCTGCTTGCTGGGGTGGGGTGGCAGCACGCGGAAGAGAGGCATGCCGTCTGCCACCTGCTGCCCCACCGCCCCTTCCCTCCCCCACCCACTCCTCCTCCAGGCAGTGCCCAGTGCCCACTACTGGCAGCAGCACGGCTAGGCTGATGCTGCTTGTTCTGGCGGCACCACGCGGAAGAGAGGCATCCCATCTGCCACCTGCTGCCCCACTGCCACTCTCACGTCAGCCAATACGCCTGACTGACGTGCCTTCACTGAATGCTGCTCGCGCGGAGAACAGGGGAGGCAGGTGGGATGGGTGAGGAGGTGGAGGGAGGAAGGGGGTGAAGTAATGGGGTGGGAGATTCGTGGAGTTGAGATGAGGGATGATATGACATTGTGAGAATACGGAAGTGGGCGGTTGGGTAGGGGAAGTGTAACACGCCACAGGTGAACTCATCGTGCAAAGAATGAAGACACATCAGAGTAAAGGTCTCACCTCCATCTTCAGGACTCAAGTATTACCGCACATCACCACACATCACCACACATTACCTCTCATCACCTCTCTGCGCAACTCACCTCCATCTTCATGGACTCGAGAATCACCACCACGTCCCCCTTGCGCACAGATGCGCCCTCCCCACATGCCACCCGCACCACCCTCCCCGCCATCGGCGTTACCACCACGCCCCTCCCATGTGCATGCCCATGGGCATGCTCATGGGCATGCCCATAAGTATGGGCATGATCATCATAGTCATCATGATCATCGAGGGGGAAGGGGGCGATGGAGGGGCAGGGCGAGGCGAACTGGTGGTGGTGTCCATTCACCCACACGTGGGTATGAGTGCTGTCACGCTGATGGGCGGAGGGTGGGGGTGTGGAGGGTGGGGGGTTGGAAGGGTGAGGATGGGGAAGGGGGCGATGGAAGGGCATGGAGAGGCGAACTGGTGGTGGTGACCGTTCACCCACACGTGGGTGGTGATGCTGTCCGGCTGATGGGCGGAGGGCGGGGGTATAAGGGGGTGGAAAAAGGGGAGGGATGTGGGGTTGCGCTGGCCATGAAGATAGAGTGGAAGAAGAGGAAAGGGGTGAGAATGTGGGGCCATTCAGAAGGGTAGCAGGGTAGCCATTCAGAAGGGTAGCAGGGTAGCCATTCAGAAGGGTAGCAGGGTAGCCATTCAGAAGGGTAGCAGGGTAGCCATTCAGAAGGGTAGCAGGGTAGCCATTCAGAAGGGTAGCAGGGTAGCCATTCAGAAGGGTAGCAGGGTAGCCGTTCAGAAGGGTAGCAGGGTAGCCATTCAGAAGGGTAGCAGGGTAGCCATTCAGAAGGGTAGCAGGGTAGCCATTCAGAAGGGTAGCAGGGTAGCCATTCAGAGGGTTCCCCTTCTCCCCATTCTGCCCCAACCCACCCATCTCAACATGCTCACCTCACCACCCCCTCATCTCACCGTGCTCACCTCACCACCCCCTCATCTCACCGTGCTCACCTCACCACCCCCTCATCTCACCGTGCTCACCTCCCCACCCCCTCATCTTACCGTGCTCACCTCCCCACCCCCTCATCTCACCGTGCTCACCTCCCCACCCCCTCATCTCACCGTGCTCACCTCCCCACCCCCTCATCTCACCGTGCTCACCTCCCCACCCCCTCATCTCACCGTGCTCACCTCCCCACCCCCTCATCTCACCGTGCTCACCTCCCCACCCCCTCATCTCACCATGCTCACCTCACCACCCCCTCATCTCACCGTGCTCTCTTGGAAGAACGACAAGCGGCTCCTCTCCCCCCCCACCTCCACCTCCACCCGCCGCCCCTCCCCATCCACCACCCAACCAGAGGCTGCCACGTGTCTCCCATCCGCCAGCCCAACCGTGAAGCCCCCATCCGTCTCATACCTCACCCACCCCTCCACCGCCCCTTGCCTGCCCGCTTCCTCCGCCCCCTTCTCCGCCCCCCCTTCCCCAGCCTCCGCCTCCTCCCCATCTTCCCCCTCGTCCCCCTCCCCTTCCGCGCCCTCCCCTCCCCCCAGGCAGGGGGAGAGGGCGAAGGGGCGGGAATAGAAGTAGTTGGGGCGGAACCCAGAGGCGGACGACCAGGGGGAAGGGGGGAGAGAGGGGGAAGAGGGGGAATGGGGGGAGGACGGTGAAAAGCCACCACCGCCCTGCTCCCTCCATCTCTCCACCACACATTGACACACCATTGCTGCCACTGCTGCGCCCTCTGCCCCACTTAGAGGCAACACCCCATCCCCGGCCCTCTCCGCTCCTCCCCCTGCTGCTTCTCCTGCCTTCCCTGATCCCACCACTCCCCCTGCTGCCGGTGACGTCACTGGTGACGTCATCAGCTGGTCGTGGTGGCGCTGAATGAAGTGCGTGTCCACGTCAGCACGCTCGAATCCCGCGTGGCACGCGACAGCCTGGAGCAGCGCGAGATTGGTCGGCACGCCCGCCACCTCGTACCGCCCCAGGGATTGCCGCAGCAGCTGCAGCGCCGCGCTGCGATTGGCCGCTGACACCACCAGCTTGGCTATCATTGGGTCGTAGAAGGTGCTGACGTCATCGCCCTCCTGCACCCCCGTCTCGACCCGGACTGAGAGGGGGCGAGAGGTGAAGGGGGAAAAAGGGGACAGGGGGAAACGGGAACAGGGGGATGGGGGGAGGGGATGAATGATAGCACAGTCACCTCAAATTCATTCATTACAATCAAAGTCACCACACCCCCTCGTTACAATCGTTCTCACCGCAAGCAGAGGGTTCCGGAGTGCGCAGGTGCAGCAGCGGGCCAGCAGCCGGCAGGAAGCCTCTGGGAACGTTCTCAGCGTAGACCCGCGCCTCAAAGGCATGCCCTGTTAGCTTCAGGTCCCCCTGAGCGAGCGGGAGGGGCTCCCCTCGTGCCACGCGCACCTGCCACTCCACTAGATCCTGTCCTGTCACCATCTCCGTTACTGGATGCTCCACCTGCGGTGAAGGGGAGAGCGAAGGGCAGGGTAGGGGAATGATGTGGGGTTGACACTCAAAGGCGTGGCCTGTGAGGGTGAGGCCCCCCTGGGCGAGGGGGAGGGGCTCCCCCCGCGCCACGCGCACCTGCCACTCCACGAGGTCCTGTCCTGTCACCATCTCTGTCACTGGGTGCTCCACCTGTGAGGGGAGCAGATGAGGAGGATAAGAGTGAGATGAAGGTCCCCCTGGGCAAGCGCACCTCGCGCTCCCCTCGTGCCACGCGCACCTGCCATTCTACTAGATCTTGCCCTGTTACCATCTCCGTTACTGGGTGCTCCATTTGGAGGGGGGGGATGATGGAGGATGAGAGGGGAAGAGAGCCTGTGAGAACAGGGCGACAACATGGGCTCAGCACCGAACAACATGGGCTCAGCACCGAACAACATGGGCTCAGCACCGAACAACACAACGAGGCATCTGAGCACCGGTACTGAGGCAAGCCGCGTCTGAGCCGTCCAGGCGCTGACACCACCAGCTGACCCGCGTCTGAGCGGTCCAGGAAACGAGAGGCAAGGCCAAAGAAGACAAGCTCGTCACCTGCAGAGGCGAGGGTGTGGTGGGTGCACTCACCTGCAGCCTTGTGTTCATCTCCATAAAGAAGAACTCGTTAGTGTCACAGTCGATTATGAACTCCACCGTACCTGCCCCCTCGTACCCCACCGCCTGCACACAAGCACGCACCAGGAGAGGGATGGAAGGGTGACGTAAGCGTGACAAAAGCCCAAGCACACAGCAGTGGAGCAGAACGTCTCCCCGAACTCCCTGACTCCCCCTCCCCCCTCCCCCGCCTGTCCCCTTATTCCCCCTTTCCCCGGTCCCCCACTCTTTCCCCCCCACCCCACCGTGGCATCGTCAACAGCAGCGGAGAAAAACTTCTCCCTAAACTCCCTTCTCTGTTTTGAGATAAAACCCCCCCTACCCCTTTTGCGACTTTTGAGTCGACTCAAAAGTCACCCTAAACTCCCTTCTCTGCTTATCCACCCCTACCCCTTTTGCCCCACTCTCTCCCCAAACCCCTCTCTCTGCCTCACTCTCTCCTCCACACCCCACCCCCCCCCCCCCCCCACCCCACCTTGGCAGCGTCAACAGCAGCGGAGCAGATCTTCTCCCTAAACTCCTCAGATATGCCCGGCTGGTAGGGCAGCACGTGCAATAAGGGGGGAAGGCATTGGGGAAGGGGAAGGCTTTTGAGGCGCCTCAAAAGCAGCGTCAACAGCAGCGGAGAAAATCTTCAGCTGCCCGAATAAGAACGACAAGAACCATCAGCTGCCCGAATAAGAACGACAAGAACCATTAGCTGCCCGAATAAGAACCACATGGTGTAAAACATGACCAGTCGAAGGAATGGTGCCCAAAGACTGATAGCACCTCAGTCTTTGGAGGAATGGTGCCCAAAGACTGATAGCACCTCAGTCTTTGGAGGAATGGTGCCCAAAGACTGATAGCACCTCAGTCTTTGGAGGAATGGTGCCCTCGATATTTCTCTCCAAAGACTGAGGTGCTAGGTATAGGGCGGGGAGGGGCGGATTGGGGGCGCTGAGAATCACTACTTGCAACAACGGCCTTTTGTGCACAAGACGTGCTTTGTGCTGTGAAATCCACTTCCGTGCACAAGACGTGCTTTGTGCTGTGAAATCCACTTCCGTGCACAAGACGTGCTTTGTGCTGTGAAATCCACTTCCGTGCACAAGACGTGCTTTGTGCTGTGAAATCCACTTCCGTGCACAAGACGTGCTTTGTGCTGTGAAATCCACTTCCGTGTAGAGAATTGAGTGTTTTTAGGCTTGACACAAGGCGTGCTTTGTGCAATCCACTTCCGTGCAGATTTCTAGTTTTGAGGCGCCTCAAAACCAGAGAATTGAGTGTTTTTAGGCTTGACACAAGGCGTGCTCCTGCCGTTTAAACGGCCTACCCACGAGTACAGCCCTGCTAGTATGAGAGAAGCGGATGTGTGCTTACAGCGGGCGCCTCCTCGATGATCTTCTGGTGCATCTGTTTGAGAGGGACTGCAGCACGAGGAGAGGGACTGCGCCGCTGCACGCTGCAGTCCCTCCTCGTGCTGCAGCGCAATCAAGAGCTCTTATGTGCGGGCGCGTATGTGCGTGCTGAATAGGTGAGTGCCTACACGTGTGGGTGCTGCCTGTGTGCGAGCTTACAGCGGGAGCCTCTTCGATGATCTTCTGGTGCCGCCGCTGCACGCTGCAGTCCCTCTCGAACAGATGCACCACATTGCCGTGCTTGTCTGCGAATACCTGTGGTGGTAGAGAGGGGAGGGGAGAGAGGGAGGGGAGAGAGGGGAGGGGAGAGAGGGGAGGGGAGAGAGGGGAGGGGAGAGAGGGGAGGGGAGAGAGGGGAGGGGAGAGAGGGGAGGGGAGAGAGAGATGAACGCAGAGAGAGGGAAGGCACAGAGACCACTGCAGTCCCTCTCGAACAGATGCACCACATCGCCGTGCTTGTCTGCAAACACCTGTGAGTGGAGAGGGTAGAGAGGAAGGGAAAATGGAGGGAAGGAAGGGCAACAAAACGACAAGGCATCCATATGGTCACGTGCACCAGCTGCAGTCCCTCTCACACCCGAGCACCACGCCGCCAGGCTGTCGGCAACCTGAGTCATCGAACCTGAGTCATCGAACCTGAGTCATCGAACCTGAGTCATCGAACCTGAGTCATCGAACCTGAGCCACCGTACCAGATCCACCGAACCTATCACCGTACCCACCTGCACTTCAATGTGCGTGGGCCTCTGAATGTATCGCTCCAGCAGCACCCGTCCATTGCCAAACGATGCTGCCGCCTCCCTCGCTGCACTCGCCAGGCTGGCGAGGAAGTCCTGAGGCTGACGCACTATGCGCATGCCCTTCCCCCCGCCCCCCTGAGTGGCCTTGATCAGAATGGGGTATCCGATCCGCCCCGCCTCCTCCTGCAGGAAGCGCTCTGATTGGTCCTCGCCGTGGTACCCCGGGACCACCGGCACCCCTGCTGACGTCATCAGCTCCTTGGCCGCACTGGAGGGGGTGAAGGGCGGGGGAAGGGCGGAAGGGGGGGTTTGGGGGACCCGAGCAAAAGGGAAGGAGGAGGGGGGCACGGAAGGGGGGATTTTGGAGAGTGGAGACATGGAATGGTCGCAGTAGAACTCAGTATAAGCACATTCAAGTCACACTCAGTACAAGCACATCCAATACCCCATTCACTAAAAACACACCGCTCTCTGGGAGGCTGACGATTCTTCGAGTACAAGCAAACTCACTACAGTCCTTCGTTATAGTCACCTTTTGTCCCCCATCGCCCGGATAGCACTTGGCAGCGGCCCGATGAACTCTACGCCCCTCTGTCTGCAGGCAATGGCTTACACTCATTACAAGCACGTCCTATAATCACCTTTTGTCCCCCATCGCCCGGATAGCACTTGGCGGCGGCCCGATGAACTCTACGCCCCTCTGTCTGCAGGCAATGGCTTACACGCATTACAAGCACGTCCTATGATCACCTTTTGTCCCCCATCGCCCGGATAGCACTTGGCGGCGGCCCAATGAATTCCAGTCCTCTCTGTTTGCACGCTGCAGCGAAGTCAGCATTCTCGGAGAGAAAACCATAGCCGGGGTGAATGGCCTGATAGGGGTGGGAAGAGGGGGGAGAGTAGGAGGCGGGAGAGAGGGCGGGGGAGAGTCAATGGAGTCAACGCCCCTCTGTTTGCACGCTGCAGCGAAGTCAGCATTCTCGGAGAGAAAGCCATAGCCGGGGTGAATGGCCTGATAGGGATGGGGACCGGGGGAGAGGGGGGGGGGGGGAGAGGGGGTGGGAAGAGGGGAGAGGAGCGAGGAGAGGAGAGAGGGGGGATGCATGAGGTATGGAAGGCCTTGGGGTCAGAAGCAGCAAACGCCGCGCTCACTTCCCGAGAGAAAGCCCTCACCACGAGGGGTGACTTTTGAGTCGACTCAAAAGTCACCTCGTTACAATTGCACACGACTCTTTTGAGTCGACTCAAAAGTCACCTCGTTACAATTGCACACGACTCTTTTGAGTCGACTCAAAAGTCACCTCGTTACAATTGCACACGACTCTTTTGAGTCGACTCAAAAGTCACCTCGTTACAATTGCACACGACTCTTTTGAGTCGACTCAAAAGTCACCTCGTTACAATTGCACACGACTCTTTTGAGTCGACTCAAAAGTCACCTCGTTACAATTGCACACGACTCTTTTGAGTCGACTCAAAAGTCACCTCGTTACAATTGCACACGACTCTTTTGAGTCGACTCAAAAGTCACCTCGTTACAATTGCACACGACTCTTTTGAGTCGACTCAAAAGTCACCTCGTTACAATTGCACACGACTCTTTTGAGTCGACTCAAAAGTCACCTCGTTACAATTGCACACGACTCTTTCGAGTTGACTCAAAAGTCACTTCCCGAGAGAAAGCCCTCACCACGAGGGGTATGCATGACATGGGGTGAATGGATGGCCTTGAGAGACACCCTCTCTTCCTCCCCCAAACGCACCTGAATCCCCCTCCTCTCCCCACCAACTCACATGCCCCCATCCCTCTCCCCTCTCCAACAACTCACCTGCGCCCCGCATCGCTCTGCAATCTCCAGGATCGCGTCGCCCCGCAGGTAGCTCTCTCGCGCCGCGGCGGGCCCCACGCGGAACGCCACGTCAGCGGATCGCACGTGGAGCGCGTCGCGGTCCGCATCACTGTACACGGCCACTGAGCGAATCGCGAGGCGCTTTAGAGTGCGCATCACGCGACACGCGATCTCGCCGCGATTTGCCACGAGGACCGTCGAGATGGGCACGAGGGCGGGGGGGGCGCGGGGAGCGGCGGAAGCGCCGGCGGACGAGGTGGAAGCGGGGGACGCGGAGGAAACGGCGGGGGCAGTGGCGGCGGAGGAGAATGCGTCAGCAGGCGAGAAGGCAGCGGAAGGGGCGCGAGTGACGGTGGAGAAACGGGCGGAAGCGGGGATGGCGGAGAAGGCGGCGGCGGAGGGGCATGCGCGTGAGGCGGGAGCAGCAGTGGCGGAAGCACTGCCCAACCCGGCGGCAAGGGTCGCCTGGGGCATCGCAAATCCCGCGGAGGGCGGCGACGCGGAGGCGGGCGAGTGATGGGATGCGCGGAACCGAGACGACCGCGGAAAGACTCCCGCGCCTCTGGGCGGAACCGGAACTCCGAACCATGAACGCGTCGCGAGTACGCGAGCCCGTGCGCTCGCGGCTCGAGCTTGAAGCACCCATAGAATCATGGCGCACTGGAAGCCTAGCGCTTATCGGTCTGGCAGCTGCGAATGACTTCGCACGCGTCGCCTGTAACAAACTTTGCGAATTTTCTCAATGGTGACCCGCGCGAAGAATCTGTGAAAATCTGGCAACTCCAAGTGACTCGCAAGCGCAGCGCAACCACTGGCGCATGCGAAACGGTTGAGCAGGCGAAGCGGGTCAGACGAAGCGAGGGAGGCGGAGGGAACGAGACGGAATGTAATACTGCGGATACAGATGCCCAGCGCGGAGCTTTTGGTCTCATGGTGGGGATTGTTTCCCAGATGCATGCTACAAGAATCAACTGACAGGCGAAAAGTTGAGGATGTTGGGCGAGAAGATCGCAAATGGGGATACAATGGTGCACTGCCTTGCTTGTGAATTCGCGAATATTGCTGCACATAGGAAACAAGTTACACGAGGCTGGTTCGCGAAGTTCAAACGAAGGAGTAAATTCTTACGACATACATAGCTAACCTCGAAGTTTGACCTCTTCCTCCGAAGCGCTTTGTTTTAGGGGAAGCTTGGATCCAGCATGGCCTGACTAGGATGTGACGTCTGCGCGAGAAGTTGACACGTCAGTGATGCTGGCCTGACCGCTTGATTTCCCCCTTGCGATTTCGTTGGAGGTCGAAAATGGAGAGAACCGTGTAGAGTGTTCGCTATAGGGGAATTGCCTTTGGATACACGCATCAACAAGTCTTCGTCCACAGCATGTATAGAAACTGTGTAAAAACAAATTAATGAAATCATCAGTAAACAAACAAACGAATATATGGTACAGGAGTCAGGATATCAAAGCAGCTGCATCTCTTGTGTGCAGCCGCCAAAAAGGTATAGGAACCATGACCTTTGTCACGCTTCCTGAGCTTTTATTCACAAACCGCCTTCCTGGTCGAAGTCATACGACCATCTCACTTGCTTAGACTTGCGTGAAAGTATGCCTTTCAGTCCCCCTTTCTTCGCCCCTTTATCCGCAGCCTTGCTCCCCACAGCATGCTCCGCCCCTTGTTGCAGCGCACCTATATCGGCACTTCCGGGTCGGCTCATCGAAATGGGCGATCGCGATTCCCACACACGCCTCGCCTCAATGGCACCTCCTGCAGTTGAAGTCCGCCTCAGGTGCCCCTTCCCCACATGCACCTCCCCGCTCGCCGCTCCCCTCCATCCAGCATTAACAGAGGGACTACCAGGGTCCATGCTTGGTATGGCTGACGTCACCAGGCCCCGACTCGAGCTCCTCATCATCCCGTGCCGAGGCTGCCCTGCAGGCTCGGCGCCAAGCCACGACTTGGCTATGGTGTCAACACGGTTGCCCGAACTGGATTCGCTGTGTGAGCGGAACGGCGATGGTGTGTACGCACTCGGGCGGCCGGCGGGAGACAGACATGAGGGGGAGTTTGTAAGAGAGCTGGAGGGGGAGAAAGAGGAGGGCGAGAAGGAGGCGGCAGAAGGCGAGAATGAGGCGGAGGGAGAGTAGGAGTTCATGGAAGGGGAAAAGGGGAGCATGGGGGAGGAGGAAGTAGCCGGCGAGGGGGAATTGGAGCGGGAGTTGAGGGTTGACGTGCGGAAGCGGACGTCCAGGGGAGTGAAACGCAGCCGAGGCGACGGCTCTTCACTGGATGAACGGGCGATGCTGCCAACGCTGGTAGATGGAATGAGCCCCGCAGGGAGTCTCCCTGTGGCGGCAGCAAGGCGCACAGCCATGTCTCTCTCCGCCATGGCCGTTTCGAGTAGTACCTGCAGCTGCCGTGCCTCCTCTTCCGCCTGCTGCACCCTCTGCTGCTGCTGTTGCTGCTGCAAGGCGCTCATGCCTGTATTTGCCACGTCAGCAGGCGGCGATGCTGACAGGGACTCGAGCAGCGCCTCCATTTCTTTGGCCAGCGCGTCGCGCTCCTCCTTGGCCGTTATCAGCTCCTCTTTTGTCGCGACCAGCTCCTGCGTCCTCCTTTCAAGCAGCTCCGTTAAGCGTCCGTTAGCTTCGGACAACTCGTCCAGCTGACCCCTTAGTTCCACCACCTCCATCGCGATGCTCTGCCATTCTGGTGACCGAGCCTCGGCCTGAGGCCCGGAATGCTGGCACGGTCTGGCTTGGCCCGAGCCACTTGCCGAACCGGCATTGCCAAAGGCGGTCTTGGCTTGGCCGACAGTTACCAGCTGCCGCCGCAAGACCGCGATTTCGTTCTCCAGTCGCCGAACTTCGTCGCCGCCAACCGACATACAGCTGGACGTTCGCGACAAATTTCCGCTCTCCCCCTTCGCGTTCGCCGCTGCGCTTCCCCCTCTGCGCGTTCCGCCCTTCACTCGCCCCCTCTCCTCCCGCTCCGCCTCCCTCTCGCGCTCCCGCTCTCCGTCAAAACTGCTGCGCGGCTTCTCCCGCTGCGCCGTGACCGGCCGCGGATGATCGATACAGCTGTTCGTGCGAGAAAGGTGGCGCGGCGCGATCTCATCGGAGCAGACGCGAGGGATGGATAATAAGTTCCGCCGGTCCAACCCGCTCCGCTCCCGCTGCCTCTCGCGCTCGTCCTGCACCCCCGGAGCCCCGCGGGCTCCCGCTCGGCCCTCTTCCTGCGCGCTCTGCGCGCCACGCCGCGGAGCGGCGACTTGCGCAGCGCCCCCAGCCGCTCCGCCAGCTTCGTCCGAGGATCCACATTCCTCCACGGAGCCCAGCCAATCAACCATCAGGTCGTCGCATTGTTCCCACGCGCTCGCCTGGCCTTTCCTTCCATTCTTCCCGGAAGACGCGCCGCGCTCCGAGCTCTCAGAAACAGACTTCTGCGAAAGTCTCCTGCGGGGATCTTTTGGACTCGATACCCATCCCGCGAGGCTGTCTGGGCTTCCGCCGCCCGCGGCGGGGGTTTCGCTAGCGATGGATCTTTCGCCACGCCTGCTGTTGGCAATGCTGGTAACCCCACTAGTTGCCCCTACGGGACCGGAAAGTGCTGCGAAGTTTCCGCTTCCGCCGCTTCCGCTCAACTTTCCTCCAAGATTGCCGCTTCCGCCGGCTCCGATGAGCAGCCGCACCGCGATGCGCCTCGCGGCCCCGGAGGAGGCGAGCGCGGCGGATGCGCCCGCGTCACTTTCTGTAACGTTTTCTGACATTCGCGAAAGCAGCTCGCCGATTCCGAAATGCGCGAATTGATGTCTCGGATCGTTTGGCCGCGCCATGACAATAACTCTGTTCTTTGGCCCAACTCGCAATCGTGCTCCAGTGTCGGCTTCGAGAAAAAAACGATTTTGTTAGAAGCCGTGGCTTCCAAATTCCTAAGCCTGGAATCACTGCAATGGAAGAACGAAATCACGCGTCGTTACTGTGATTGAGCTATCTCGATCGCAACCGTCAGAGTCATGTGTATACAGAGGCGAAAACGACCATCGAATGTGTGTTGGCAGGGAATGCCACAAGGACATAAAGACGTAACGGAAGGATGGAAGTGGCGGGTGAAGTGCAGTGGGGAAAATGCGGATCCAAGGGTGGTGAGTGCGATGCGGAGGATTTTTTCCAGGTGAAAATCGCGGCGGAGGGATTTTGAGGTGGAAAATGCCGAAGATTTGCGGCGTGGGGAAAATGCTTAGGAGGGGGAGGAATTTGCGGCGCAGCTGTGCTTGCATGCGGAGCGGGAAATTGGAGGAGCAGCGCTGCTGACTCGAGCCATCAATTCTGATAAGACAGAAGCGTGGTCAGGTCAGTTCAAACCCCGGTTATCCTTTCTGCTGTTATTGTGATTGCTGATGCCCAAGCACGTGAGGAAGATAGAAAATTCAGGCGATCATACCTCGAGATTTTGTTGAGGTCGGCTCTGTCAAAGGCCGTTCGTCGTTGTTTTTGCCGAACAATGGAGAATTTATGGGGATGGATTCCCGTATGCTTTTCGTATGGGGTCGATGTGGCCGAAAATCCGCAACGACGTTTGTGCTGTGAAACCACATGTGTGCTCGGACCCTGTGAAACAACATGCGGACAACGCCAGAAACGCCCAAATAATCGACCATAGCGTTTGGTCGTAACAATTTTACACGCCCTTATCATCGATCACTCAATTTCTGCTTCTGGTGCTTGTGCTTGTCGATAGGGTAGCCTTGCAACAAAAATAGCGGCCTTGCTAATGGTTGTTAAAAAAGCCAAAGCTGGTTACCATACTGAGCTGGTTGCTTTCACTGCACTCCAGCTGGCAATCTGTCGTGAGTCGTTGAGAGTGGACGTTGGTCACAGTCGCGACGTAACGTGTTGACAGATAGCAACTGTTGACGGGGGATGGCACACTGGCGTTTATTGACCATGATTAGATTGGCGGATTGCGTCATGCCAAAGCGGACAACGTCGATTTTGCTGGTTGCTTCTGGGCGGGATTCAAACGTAGTTTCCAACCGCAATGCAACCCAAGCATCCCCCCCTGCCCTGACAGAAGCTCGAGGGAGCTGTTTGCAGCGAGCGAAATAACAGACAGTCGTTGGAGACCAATGGGATGATAAGGAATTGCACAAGTATTGGAGCGACGGTTTCAAAACATCTGACCCTGAAAGATTCGAGGAGAGCCCTTCCTTGAAGTCATTGTCGGGCAGCAGAAACATCTCAGGTGAATCTCACCACCACCAACAAACCCGAGGGCAGGCCTAGCTCGTCGGTAACGGCTTTGCCAAAAGTACAGCCTTCGTGTTTGTTGGAACGAGCAAGGGTGGTGGGTACTGACAGCCTCTGTCAACAGTGTAGGAAGGAGGATGAGACGAGTCAACCATACTCGTTAGAACGAAGGTTGGACCTCCTTGAATTAATATGACAAACCATGCGCATTTGCTGGAAAAACAACTAGATGAGATAAACGAGTTACGAGCCCATCAACACATATCCAGAACCTCACACGACCCACAAAACTGGGATGATGGCAACATAAAAGCTCATGCACACCCACAAAACCCTGTAGGCTGGACATATCTGGAATCACCCCAAAACTACAGCTGAAACCTGGAATGTTTGTTAGAGTATGCTACTGCTCCAGTCCACATTCTGGTACATGGAGCACACACCCAGAAAAGTACCGATAATATTGGTAAGTGTATTCATATACAGTATGGCACCTCCTAAAAACAGCATTTGTCACCCAAACCAATTACTGGCTACAATACACAGTATTAACCACATTTGTACTTTATGCGTCTAGCAAAGAACCCTTTTTCCTACAGTGCACAAGCCCATGTGCTTGGTCACACTCACTATAGCCATACCCCGCCAGAAACCCCCTCACAGCAGCCGGCGTCGTGTTCCCTGCCCGCAACAACATCCTGTCTTCTTCATAAAGGACACACGGTGCCTCCTTTGGCGGGCGGCTGAGCAACCCAGCAGCACCCCTAAATGCATGCAGCTCCCATCCCTGTACAGTCACCTTCAGTACAGCTACATGCTGGTCTGGTAAAACGAGGGAGTCTATAGGGAGGGATTCCACTGTGGTGGGAATGACAGGGGCATCTTTTGATGCGAGGGTAAGCACTGCTGCTGTCACTGCACTGTGCTCAAGATTGGATAGGATCTGACAGTGTGTGGGTTGGTGGGGAGGGATGATGGGGGAACAGGTGGGCAAGAGCTGTCTGTGATGGAAGATGCAAGGAACAAGGAAGATGGAGCACTGCTGCTACCACAACACTGTGTACGATCTGATCATGGTTGGATATGACCTGATCATGGTTGGGTGGGAGGGGCAACGGAAAGGGAGGGGTGGTGCAGGGTAGGTGGCGTTGGAGTCAACCCAAAGTCACACATCTCGCGCAAGATGTGAGACTTTTGGGTGACTTTTAGGCCGACACCACCTCCGCATCATTAGCCGGCACAGGTTGAATCTCATTAACAGACTAGTGTTACGAATGGTGCTGTTTGGTTCACAGACTCACGTTGTGGATGGTTATGCTGCCTGTAGTATCTGAACAGCAGCAAGGTAAAATCGAATGCACCGCATCACACATCTTGAGCACGTTGGCCAGCACAGGGTCGAGCCCTGCTCATCAGAGGCTTAATCACTTTGTGAGTGCTCATGCTGGCTCAGACACTCACACTGTGAATCGTGATGTTGCCCACACTGTCCGAGACAGCAGCGAGGTGCAGCTTCATTCTCTTTGCCACACGGTTCAAATGCACCGCATCACACATGTTGAGCACGTTCGCCAGAACAGGGTCCAGCGCCAACATGCGCACGCCCAAACCTTACCTTATGATCATGTCGGTGCGGGTTCACAAACTTACATTGTGAATGGTGATGTTGCTCACGCTGTCCGAGACAGCAGCCAGGTGAAGTTTCACGCGCTTCGACACACGGTTCAAATGCACCGCGTCGCACATCTTGAGCACGTTCGCCAGCACAGGGTCGAGCGCCAACACGCGCACACCCATAGCTGCTGCTGCAAAGGCTGCTCCCCCTATGCCCGCCCCCGCGTCAATGACTAGGGAGTCGGGGCGAACGGCCTTGGCCTCAATAAGCATTTCGAGTACCGACTGAAGAAGGGGGGGAAGAGAGGTGGATGGTGGGGACGGGGATATTGCGGTGAGCCTAGGGTCGCACACTAGGCAAGCTGCACTTTCTTATAAAGAGAAAAGCACGCAACATCTCCTCAAACAGCAGTCCACTTGCCAAGATCAATATATTTTTTCATAGCTTCATGGCCAAATCTCTCCATCCCTGCATTGCCAAACCTCTCCGTACCCTTCCAAACCTTCCCATACCCGCATTCCCAAACCCCTCCCCATACCCGCATTCCCAAACCCCTCCCCATACCCGCATTCCCGAAACCCTCCGTACCTGCATGGCCACAGCGAGCTCCGGCTTCAGGAACGGCCGGTCCTCCATCAGCCGAACCATATTCCTATTCGGCCGTCTCCTCGTTCCAAAGTCCAGCAACGATAAAAAGAAGTCATACTTGACGTCGTCCACCCGGTGGGCGATGACAGGGGAGGACTGGGGCGCTTGGAAGCAGTCAAAGGGGAGGACGGCGGAGACCCAGTCGTGCTGCACGGGGTCGCTCTCGAGCTTCACACAGTGCTCTGGTAACCGCTTGATGGTCTCTGGGCACATGAAGATGTAGCTGTGGGGGGGTGCGGGGGGGTGCGGGAGAGGGGGGAGCGGAAGGGGGGAGGGGGAGGGAGGGGGGAAGGAAGAGAAGGGGGGAAAGGGAAGGGGAGAAATTGGGAAGTCCAGCAGAGACAGGAAGAAGTCATACTTGACGTCGTCTACTCGGTGGGCGATGACGGGGGAGGACTGGGGAGCTTGCAGGCAGTCAAAGGGGAGGACGGCGGACACCCAGTCGTGCTGCACGGGGTCGCTCTCGAGCTTCACACAGTGCTCTGGTAACCGCTTGATGGTTTCTGGACACATGAAGATGTAGCTGTTGTGCCGGGAGGGAAGGGGGAGGGAGGGGGGCGGGGGGGGGAAGGGGGGAAGGGGGGAGGCGGGAGGGGGGAGGGAAGAAGGTATATAGGAGCAGTCAAGCCCTTGGGAGACAATGGGTGAGCTTGCAGGCAGTCAAAGGGGAGGACGGCGGACACCCAGTCGTGGTGCACGGGGTCGCTCTCTAGCTTCACACGGTGCTCTGGTAACCGCTTGATGGTCTCGGGACACATGAAGAAGTAGCTGGGGTGGGGGGGGGAGGAGGGGGAGGCGGGAGGGGTGGGAGAGGGAGAATGGAAGCAGTCAAGCCCTGGGCTGAGTTGCTCTCGAGCTTCACACGGTGCTCTGGTAACCGCTTGATGGTCTCGGGACACATGAAGATGTAGCTGGGGGGGGGGGAGGGGGGTTTGGGCGGTGTTGCTGTGGGGGGGGCTTTTGAGGCGCATGAAAATGTGTGTTGGTTGGCACAGGAGGCTAGAACGGTTGGTTGGGGGGCTGAAGCCGTTGCATGCGAGAAGCGCCGAGGAGGGGAACATTGCGAGGACAAGACGGAGGACATGCATGTCAGAGTGGTATTTTTGACTGCCCAACGTGGAGGGGGAATTACCCTGGAAAAAGAGCAGAGCCCAGCAGGACGAGGGCGATGAGGGAGAGTAACCCGATGGTTATCCATGGCAGCAGCTTCTGCAGCGTGCCCAGGTTCTGGTGAAGGTGGTTTGGGTGGAGAGCGAAGGGGGAACGGGGAAAGGGGGGGGATTGAAAGAAGGGGTAGGAATTCGAGTGAAAAAGGAGAAAGTAACCGGATGGGAATCCACTGCAGCAGCTTCTGCAACGTGCCCAGGTTCTGGTGAAGGTGGTTTGGGTGGTGGGTGTAGAACGGGGGAGAGGGAATGCAAGTGAAAAGGCGATGAGGGCGAGTAGCCCGATGGTTATCCACGGCAGCAGCTTCTGCAGCGTGCCCAGGTTCTGGTGAAGGTGGTTTGGGTGGAGAGCGGAGAGGGAACGGGGAAAGGAGGGGGATTGAAAGGAGGGGTAGGGAATCGAGTGAAGGAGAAAGAGTGACCTGATGGTTATCCACGGCAGCAGCTTCTGAAGTGTGCCTAGATTCTGGGAGAGGTGAAGAGGGATGTGGGAGAAAGGGCGGGGGTGGAAAAGCGAGCGGGGGGATCAAAAGGAGGGGGCGGTGCGGAGAGGAGAGGATGGGGTGCAAGTGGAAGAGGGACGAATATGGGGCAAGTGCGAGAGGAGCTAGAAAGAGAGAGGCAAAGAGGAGCTTTTAGGTTGGCATAAGATGAACGGAAACGAATGCAGCTTATTTCAGGCGCGCAAGCACAAGGGAGTCGCACGGGCAGGTGACGGAAATTTTGAATTGAAACAATCTGTTACACCATTAGCCTGAGAGGATTCTAGAGCCGCGCTCGTGGACTGATCCAGACGGCAAGTGACTAACAGCTGGTTCTTAAAATGCAGCGCAGTGAATCGCACATGTTTAGAATGGTGGTAATGATGATGCCCTTTCTTATCCCGGTGTTGGTGCTGCTGTTGCCCTCCGCCTGCCCCCGCCTTCCCCGGGCTGCGCATGGGGAACGTTCCGCCCATGTTGCCCCCGCGCGCGTGGGCCACGTTGCGACCGCGCGGAGTCTTGTCGTCCGCGGACGATCCTTCCATGCTGCCCTCCGAATTCATCGCCTGCGACGTCGCCCAGCGATGCGGCGACGGCGAGCGACGCCCGCCTGCGCGAGGCTCGAGTGCTGCCGCCAGCGGCGAGCTGATAAGAAATGTTACCACCTCCTAAGCGGATCTATGATTGTATGAATTTATCGTCTTTCGCGAAAGGACGCCTTAGATGCCGAAAAACAGGCTAACAGTTCATACTGGACGAGATGGCAAGCAAACTGACAACGCTAACAGAACGAATCCAACCAAAAATGGAATGCCTCCTAGCTAAGGAGAAAATAATCGAGGTGAGCTGCAGATGTAATCGGGGATTCAGGTTTCGGGGGCGACATCGATTTTGGTTTCTGGTATCTCAATATATCCGCGCTATTGGACCTAGGAGGAGTAGCCGCGACAATCTCGCCATAGTGGTCATGACTGTATATATAAACTCATACATAACTCTTCTAAAGAAACTGAATGCTGCTCTTAGCTCACATCTGTTGTTGAGGAAATGAAGTGAGGCATTCTGCCTACGACTTTCTCTAATCGTTATGGGTTGTCTGTATATAGCGAATATTCTATATCCGATTTCTGAAAATGGTCAGGATCTTGTCAGCTCTCCCGTGTATGACGTATCTAGAAATCAGTGTGCTAATATCGGCAAATCAGGGAGCTCCAAGCGGCAGTCAAGGCTCCAGCTCGGCCTCACGCCACACTCCACATGCGCAACCTCCAGGCAAAACTTGCCGCTCGTTGGGAGAGTATTGCGCGGGAAAATGTCTGACACGCAAGGTCGACTTCCATATCATCCCGCCATCGCGGCTCGCAGCATGAAACAAAAGTGCCGCAGCCAGCAGGGCGGCGGCGAAGTTCAGGGCAAGAGACAGCATAGGCTGGGCTGGGTGAAATGCTTTTTTCCAGATTCAACGACCCATCCGAGGCACCCATGAGAACCCAAGATTCGCGATTCGTCGTAATTCGCGCGAGACTTGAACGGCCTCCTCGTTCTAACTTTCGGGACGAGGTTTATTTATTAGGTCAGAAAGGACGGCAAATCCAAAATAAATTCTTACCGTACGCACTGAAGGTTCACGATACCAAAACCTAGCTTGAATTTTCTTGCTTTTGCCATTCTTCCTCTGCAGCCATTCTTGAGAGTTACTAAGATATCAGCTGTAAAGATTTTGTCACGAAGAAAGAACTCTAAGGTCACGCCATGGCGTCGACCACGTGTTATGCTGCCAGTTCAAGCTTTGCCGTTCCTTCCACACTCGCGCAAAACACCGCCACCGCTGCAAGTACCGTTCGCGCTGTTAGCAGCAACGCCATCAGGCCGACACGGAATTCAATGCAAGGGCAGACGCTGACGCAGCGCAGCACGTGCCGTGGGCCAAGCAAGCGGGTGCTGACCAATCATCGCGTGCCGCGTGGAGTGCGAGCCGCAGTAGCAACTGGTCACGCGAAGGTGGCCAAGGCAAATGGCGCGGCGATTCTTCACCGGGTGGAAGGTACGTAAAACGGAAAGTCATTTACCTAATTCTGTTTCTAACTGTCAGTGTTCATCACTATCCTCGGACCATCACGAAAGTGTGTGAAAGGATTTCAGACAGCACTCAAAATCTCAGCTGCTATTAAATCGACTGCGCAATGTCGCGTTATGTGCAAACGCGGCGAAAAGGCAACAGAAGTTTTTAAAACGGGTCATAAACGTTTATTTATCCCTTCTTTGATGAAAATAGCCTCTTCATACTTTTGCGTCTACATATTGTTCCTTAACCCCGTATCGCATCACTTCCGCGTGTTCTCGTCTCCTTACCGACATCGCAAAATTGAAACTAATCGCGCTCTCCCTCCCCGCCGCATTCCTCGCCGCGCATAACACCAGAGCTCCCGGACGGCACGGTGGTGCTGCGGTTCGCTGCGGCCGGCACGGGCGGCATGGCCGGCAGCCACGTGGAGGTGGAGCGGAACGTGGTGGAGTTCCTGCAGGAGTGCACGACGACGTACTGCCGTCTCATCGATAACGACACGATTGACCAGATCGTGGGCACCCACGTGCCTCTCCAACCGTACGTGCTGGGTTACATTTGCACGTTCGGGAGCAGGGGAGCGCGCTTACACGCACACACACGAGTCACAATCATGCCACAACAATACAACAAATGAGCTCACTGTCTCCTTATGTCCTCCCTCTTTCGTCTCTCCCCACCCGTTCCCTGCTCTTCCTCTCCCCTGCCCTCTCTATCATCACACTGCTGAGCAATTCTCTCGTTTGGTAACCACCACCACATTTAACCACCACCGCTTTCCTCTGCCCCCGCTCTCCATCTGTTCCCCCACCCTTCGCTGCTGTTCCTCTCTCCGTTCTTCCCTCGCCCACCACAGAGCCCAGCAGCTATCCCATCTGGTAACCACCACCGCTTTTCTCTGCCCCCCCTCTCCGTCTGTTCCCCCACTCTTCCCTGCTATTATCTTCCCTCCCCCACCACAGAGCCCAGCAGCTAACCCATCTGGTAACCACCACTGCCCACAACACCGTATCTGCACTCAAGGAGACTCTGTCCGGCCACACCCATCAGCACCACCACGCACCTGCCACAATCGGCCATGCCTCCGCCCGGGAAACACAGCTTACCACTCTGAAAAGCACTCCTGCACCAGCAGCAGTTGCTGCTCTTTCAGCAGCATCACCGAGATCAGCAGCAGCAGCAGCAGAGGATGAGAGTTCGAGAGCGATCCAGCTTGCGCCTTCTGCTGCTAAGGCGGTTGCGCCTGTTGTGCTTGTAGCAGCAGCGGCAGCAGTAGTGCAAGTGGCCAAGGCCATGGGTCTGCTGGGGAAGCTACCAGAAAACGCTCTCAAGGCGTTTGCACAGTGGAGCTGGCCTGCTGCAGCTGTGATTGTAGCGGTGGCTGCAGGATTGATTGTATGGAGCGGTCTCAATGGGAGGCAATCATCAGGCAAGACGTTACAGCTAACCTCAACTTAATCAGTCATTTTGCAGCTTTGGCAGCCGGGGTGCTTGTATAGGTTGTGATTAAGGGAACTGACTCGCCCGCAATTTGGTAGACTTTGCACGGTGGTGGCAATTTGGTAGACTTTGCATGGTGGTGGCTAGGGGTTATACGGTATGTGTCTGTGTGCATGTGTGTGTACGTGTGCGAGTTAAACACTCTGAAAAACTGCCTATCAAGGGCTATATAACATAGATGCACAAGTTTCAACGAGATAATATGGATACGTTTGCATTAAAGCAGTGGTATGCATTTGGCAGGGCTAGTGCCAAAAGTTTATAAAAGGGACCTGGTGGTAACCGAATTATAGGGCCACGCCACTTATGTCACGAGCGACAAGTCCTTCCAACCCCTCTCACGTCACGAGACTCGATCGTCAAAATATTATGAAAGCCATAAGTATACTGAAGGCGTTCCCTCCTCGCCACTAGCCCCATTCTCACCGCGTCCTTAGTGTGCACTACTAAAAGGCAACCACCGAGTCAGTATTTAGGCGAAACGACCATGGGCCATCGTGGTAGGTCATTCATACGTCAACCGTGCCAGCGCTTATTTTGCGTGGCTAATTCGCAGACATTCTCCACGTGTGAGATCATTGAAGCCGTTCACACCTACCCTCGCGGCTTCGCGGAGCCCCGAATCGCCTACCCTCACGCGACTTCGAGTGTGGTTGCGCTGGCGTAGCACCAGGGGTTTTTTTATCAGAGTAAATTACTCTGTTTCTCTGAAAATCAGAGTGGTTTTTAGGGGGTCACTCTGACGTGTCGGTATTTTTTTTGGAAGATAAGTTTTCTCTGATTTGTCAGGGTTCTGATTTTAGCTACTTTGAGAGACCAGTGTATATTTGCGGCGAATGTATTTTTCTCTGTACAGGGTATAGGCATTTCGACCGAGGCCCCCCCCCAATTGGTGGAAGATGGTAAGGTATACTTGAAGTTAAAACCGTCATCACAGGTAATGGTGAGCGCGTAGCACAATGGTTACAATTTTGGTAGGAGTGCAGAAGGCCTGGGTTCAATACTTGAGAGGACGTTCAGAGTTGGAAACATAGGATTTCTGATAGCTCAGAGTATATTTTTCAGAAGTTAAGTTTCCTCTGACAAATCAGCGTGATCCCAGCTACCTAGGCAGCAGCGCGATCCCAGCTACCTAGGCAGCAGCGCGATTCCTAGGCAGCAGCTACCCAGGCAGCAGCTACCCAGGCAGCAGCTACCTAGGCAGCAGCGCGATCCCAGCTACCTAGGCAGCAGCGCGATCCCAGCTAGGCAGCAGGCAGCAGCTCTTTCCTCGCTAGTGGCAGCGCGATTCCGCCACGTAGCCCGCGACCCAGCCTCTTAGCCCGCGATTCAGCCGCCCAGGCCGCGATCTAGCCGCCCAGCCCGCGATTTAGCCGCCCAGCCCGCGATCTAGCCGCCCAGCCCGTGATCTAGCCGCCTACGCCTCGATCTAGCCGCCTAGCCCGCATTTTAGCCGCTCAGCCAGCGATTTAGCCGCCCCGCCCGCGACCTAGCTGCAAAGCAGCGATCTTGCTGACCAACCGGTGATTTAGCCGCTTAGCCCGCGAACTGCAGGTAGCAGCGCGCAGCTGGGCAGTGGAACCCGCGCCGTAACAGCGAAATCCGCACCGCAGCAGCGAACATCGCGCCGTAGCAGCGAAATCAACGCCGTAGCAGCGAAATTCGCGCCGGGGCAGCGAAATCCCCGTCGTAGCAGCGACATCCACGCCTAGGCAGCAAAACCCACGATGAAGCAGCGACATCCGCGCCGTAGCAGCGAAATCCGCGCCGTAGCAGCGAAATCCGCGCCATAGCAGCGAAGCCCGCGCCGTAGCAGCGAAGTGCGCGCCGTAGCAACGAATTGCGCGCCGTAGCAGCGAAATCCGCGCCTTAGCAGCGAAACCCGCGCCGTAGCAGCGAAGTCCGCGCCGTAGCAGCGAAATCCGCCACGTAACAGTGAAACCCGCGCCGTAGCAACGAAATCCGCGCCACGGCGGAGGGATCAGCGCCCAGGCAGCTATACTCGCGCGTAGGAGCGCCATCGCAGTGAAGCTCGCGCCTAGGCAGCGACTACCGCGTGTAGGGAGGACCACAACGCGAGACCCGCGCCTAGGTACCAACACCTGCAGGTAGGAGCGTCCAGCGTATAGGGGAGTCTCCGTGCGCCAGCGACGCCCAACACCTTCGACTCACCCGGACTGCGAGCCTTATATCGAAGGCGGGAGGCGCCCCTCCGGCGCCCCCCGCAAACAGCTTACGCCATGACCAACGATCCAGACCCCCCAGACCGGGGGAGGAAGATCATCGCGAGGATTGGCCACAAGAGACCCAGGGAGGCAGCGCCGAGTATGCAATACCCACAACTCTATCGCCTCCACCACGAGGATGCACTCTGCCTTTTTGGCAAGCCCAGCAAGCGACAAAGGTATAGACCCCTCTCGACAGAGGGGGGGACAGAGGAACCACCCAAAGACACTCTCGGCGGCTTCGTAGGCGGCAGCGACACCATCTCCAACCGGGACCTGGACGTGACGGACGAGGGCGAGTGCGGTCATGGGGCGTACAGGCAAGGTACCGGTGATGACGCGGCGATGGCTGCATCGGAGGCACACCGCCGGCGACTGCAGGAGTCTCATGATAGGCGGCGGAGGGCCCCAGGAAATCCTTCGGCACGCCCAGCCCTCACAGCTCCGCGCGGGCCTCGCCTGGCCCAAAGGCAGGAACAGAGACGGAGAGCCCGGGCGGAAGGGCAGCAGTGGAGTCCAGCGGGGACACAGCCCTCGAGGCAGGAGGGGGGGCAGCAGAACTGGCTGTTGGGGGAGGCCCGGAAGCCACAGGCAAGGGAGCAGCAGATGCGGCCGGCGGGAGGGGAGCAGGAGCTGCCGGCGAGAGGGGAGCAGGAGCTGCCGGCGAGAGGGGAGCTGGAGCTGCCGGCGAGAGGGCAGCAAGAGCCGCAGGCAAGAGGGCGGCAGGCGCGGTCGGCAGGCGAGCAGCAGGTACTGCCGAAGGGAGAGCAGCAGGAGCGGCCGGCGGGAGGGCAGCTGGAGCTGCCGGCGGGGGGGCAGCAGGAGCTGCAGGCAGGAGGGCAGCGGGAGGTGCCAGCGGGAGGGCAGCAGGAGGTGCCAACGGGAGGGCAGCAGGAGGTGCCAGCGGGAGGGCAGCAGGAGGTGCCGGCGAGAGGGCAGCAGGAGGTGCCGGCGAGAGGGCAGCAGGAGGTGCCGGCGAGAGGGCAGTTGGAGGTGCCGGCGAGAGGGCAGCAGGAGCTGCCGGCTGGGGGGCAGCAAGTGGTAGAAGTGGAGATGGCCGAGCTACAGCCAGAGGTGCAGCAGGACCAATCGGGGAACCGTGCCCGGCCACACGCAGGAGGGCAACAGGAGCCGCCCGGGGTAGAGCAGCGTGAGCTGCCAAGGGAAGAGCAGCAGGAACTTCCGGCAAGGGAGCAGCAAGCAAGGGAGCAGCAAGCGGTAGAAGTGGAGATGGCCGAGCTACAGCCAGAGGCACAGCAGGACCAATCGGGAAACCAGGCCTGGCCACAGGCAGGAGGGCAGCAGGGGCCGTCCGGGGGAGAGCAGCTGGAGCTGCCAAGGGAAGAGCGGCAGAAGCCGCCGGGGGTGGGGCAGCTGCCGGCAAGGGAGCAGCAAGCCGTGGATGTGGAGATGGCCGAGCTAATGCCAGAGGTGCAGCAGGACCAATCAGGGAGCCAAGTCCGGCTGCAGGCAGGAGAGCAGCAGGAGCTGCCGGGGGAGGAGCGGCAGGAGCTGCCAACAGGAGGGCAGCTCGAGCTGTCGGGGGGAGGGCAGCAGGAGCTGTCGGAGGGGGAGCGGCGGGAGCTGCCGGCGCGGGGGCAGCTGGAGGTCGCTAGTGCGGACTCTACAAGCCAAGCGAAGAGAACCCGGGCACGGGGCCGAGGCGGGAGACGACACGCCCGTAAGACGCAAGGGCAAACTGGAAGCGGAGCTGCCGCACAGCAGGCGGAGGGGCAGCCGGGGGCGACCGAGACACCCCCGGGAGCTCCGCGGGTGGGGGGGCAGCCCTGGGTGCCCGGGGCGCCCCAAGGAGAGCAGCGGCCAGGGGAGCTGCCGGGGGTGACTGGAGCACCCCAGGGAGAGCAACAGGCAGGGGGGCAGCCGAGGGTGCCCGGAGCACCCCAGGGAGTGCAGCAGGCGGGGATCACGTCAATGGCTGGAGAGGCTCACGCCCTAGAGATCAGCGTCGCGGACCCGCTATCGCTGTCTCCATCACTGCTGGGACAGTGCGGGCGTCAAATAGGTGTGGCGGCAAGGGAGTGGGAGCGCCGCAAAACGAGTGACTACGCGCCTCTGCTTGCACGCAACCGGGGCGTGCAGTTCACCCCTTTGATAGTTGAGACGTGGGGGTGTCTCGGTGGTCGTTTTCAGCGGTGGCTTCGTCAGCAGGGGGATGCGCACGTGGGACTAGCTGTGTCGCGGGGGGCTTGTCGAGAGGACGACTCTGTGTTTTCGGCTTATCTTTTAGGGTCACTGAAGGCGCTCATTGGGGTGGCGTTACAACGGGCGCAAGCCCGTGTCATCCTGCTTCGAGCAGCGTCTTCCATGGGGGGGATTAACGTAGATTTGGTGGATCGGGAGAGGGACGATGTCGATGTGGAAGGCGGGGCTCTCTGGGTGGAGGCCCCGTACATGGTCGATACGTTGATGTGATTGAAGGGGGGGGGGGGGATGGGGTGTGGGATGGGATGTCTTGATGGGGTGTCTTGACTGGGCGTTTTGATTGGGTATCTTGAGTGGGGGTTTTATGTGTGCTGCATTTGGGTTCTTTTTGGCAGTTTCATTTTCTTTCTCCCTTTCTTTCTTCATTCCCTTTCCTTTTCAGAAACACTATGGCGGGCAAGGTTTAGGTCCAGTGGGTTTAACAATGGGAAAGATGAGCTCGTCATGTGAACAATCAAAACACATCCATGTATAAGATGTTATGTACTTACAAGCACATAATGTGAATCCCTTATACCATAAACCCTGAATTTCAGAGTTCCCTAGAAAACAGCTCTGGAAATCCGAGTAGTGAAAATCCAAAAAAAAACCCTGCGTAGCACCCTCCAGCGTGCGCCTTGGGTTCTTTTCTCTGGTGTAGTTATTAGCGGCTTATTCTACTTGTGTGTGAGAGTGGCAGGCGAGCGAGGTGGCGGGAGCATCTCAACATGTGTGACACAACCAACCCAACCCTTATCCTTCACAACAAAAGTGACTCAGGTTTTCGTCTTGGCGAAATAAAGGTGCAGACACTGTACAAAACAAACAGTAGTGCCAAATGTTTACCGCTGCTTTAATTCAGACAAGCGCCGAGGTATAATAATTACGGACGAGAGCTGTACGGTTCAAAAACTGTTTGTTCCACCTGGCACAAATTCTTACAAAATAATCAGATCTGACTAAGGTGGTATATGATTTAGGCTCGACCCATGTATGAGCCTGTGCGAGTATCTACAGTGATCATTTCTCCTTCCTCAATGAAGAGCGGCACAGACACTGTAGCTCCCGTCTCAATAGTTGCTGGCTTGGTCCCACCTGTTAGTGGAATTAATGAGGAGCAAAACGAACAGGAGGGGGAAGGGTGGGAGTGAAGAAACATGGGATAGATCAGGAAACAGTTGGAGTTTGATTATCGTGCCAACAACAGGCCCACCCAAGGCATGAAACCTCCCTCTTTTCCTGCTCTCACACTCGCACACTCAAACGAACCCCGCTTCCACCACCTCACACCCTCTCACCCCCCTCATCCACATCATCCACACTCACCTCCACCACCAGTGGAGCCTTCACATTCACCTCACTCGCTCACACTGACTCCATTCCCAACGCCTCGCTCTCCCTTCAACCCAATCACCTACTCATCATCCACTCACACCCCTCAACCCCCATCCATTGCTCTCACCTCCGCCAGCAGTGTTGCCCTTGACGCCTGAGTCGGTCTGCATGGCTTTCACTCTGAACATAATCAGGAGATCGCTCCCCTCTCCCCTCACCCCACTCACTCCCCTCACACAGCTCATCTTCTCACCTCCGTCAGCGGTGTCGCCCTTCACTCCAAAGTCGGTCTGCACGACCTTTACTTTGAGCGAGATGAGGAGATTTTGGTACGTCTCAAAGGTCACTCCCCCTTCTCCTCACCCCACTCACCTCTGCCAGCAGTGTCGCCCTTCACTCCAGGGTCGTTCTGCACGACCTTCACTTTGAAGTATGATAGGCTACTCACTCGCCACCCACTCAATCCACTCACTCTACTTACTCCCCTCACGCTCCTCTTCGACTCACCTCCGCCGGCGGTGTCGCCCTTGACCCCCGGGTCCGTCTGCACGACCTTCACTTTGAGCGTGATTGGCAGCTCCAGGTCGATCACCTTGTCGTTCCACGTCAGCACGTTACACTCCATCCCCTCTTTAAGGAACTTCACTCTATCGCCCAGTTGGGCCTTGGTCACCCGAGTCTCCTCATACGTCACCTGGGAATCAAACGAGATTGATGCACAAAGGACAAGGGGAAAACCAGGGAAGAATCCGGGACCGATTGGGAAACGAAGCTAAGCGCGAAGACGGGGAATAAGGGGAGGAGGGGACATGGAGGACACCACGAGGGCCTTGGACCTTTAGAGAGACTAGTGCAAAACGAGCAATAGGCTAGAGGCACGAAGGCCTGGAACTGGAACTGGGGGGCTCAGTTAACCGCATCATTTTATCCTCACGCAGTCAGCCACGTGTCACGTGACAGCTGGCATCGGAGGGTCTCATTTTGGTTATCATCATCACCGCACTGGCAATCGGGAGGGAGCCCGGGATATTAATCCGAAAACGATCACTCTTGATGGTAACCCGCGCTAAAGAACAATGGTTTAGTCCATACATAGTCCAAGGGCGCTGGATGAAGAGAAGAATTAAGTCATCTTATAAAAAACTGACGGAAAAGGGCAGCTCAGTCCGCCGGTGAGGCCACATGATGAAAGCCGTCCATCTTGACACGGACGGCCGTTCGGCACTTGGGATCACGATCATCATCACCGCTGCCCTCCGCGCCGCATTACGGCCACGGCCTTTAGGCCGTCATATTTAGTGGCACCTTACTTACGGCCACGGCCGCTGAGCGCACCTTACAGTGCCGCCGACACTTGCGGCATCGAGACCTCTAAGCGCACGCATGCCAAGATTTCCCTGTCGCACTCTCGCAGACGTAAAAGTTAGTCTACAATGACTACTCACCATGTCCATGAAAACGAAGTCCTCGCCGTCAAGATACGTGAACTGCTTCACGTCCTTCACCACACTCGCCTCATCCACCTGCTCGGAAAAGGAAACGCGAAGAACAAAGAGAACCAGGAAGACGATTAAGAAACTACAGATTAGGTGTGAAGTGGGGAAACGGAGGGTAGGCTCAAAGGAGAACGGTGGGAGGGAATGACAGCGTCGACGGATGGATCGGGTGTAAAGAAGTGAGACTTTGAGGTTTTGCAGACCCTGGTCCGACGGAACGAAGTAAAAAACGAAGTACGAGAGTCTTGAAAGGTTCTGATCTTGCTTTTGCTCTCGAATGAGCCTGACCGATTCGCCAGCGCGGAAGGTTCGCTCGACGGTGTTCCCGGTGATGAAATTGCGGAGCTTGGTGCGCACGAAGGCAGCTCCCTTGCCGGGCTTCACATGCAGAAACTCTGCACTGACAGCAGAGCAGAGGGTGGATCAAGGTGGAATTCTCAGATACCTTATTAACCTACAGTGGTGTAAAACAAACATCTTCATCAATCACAAGTGGGATTTTCCATCACCACCATCAACACACCTTGCACCCTCCATGGCGCTCCATCAAGCTCAATGCTGGTTCCCACGCGGAAGTCGTTGCTAGAAATTGCGAAGATTCCTGAAAAAAAAAATCAATAAAATATACAAGGATCGTTAGAGAAAAAAATATGCATCTCGGACTCAGCATGACACGACATTGTTTCAACAATGCCAAGAATCAAGGCTTACGGAGGGTTTGTCGCGAGCTTCTGTTTATCGCTACGTGTGCGACGGCGTGCGATGTCGCCTTTCGCCTCCATTCAAGGCTCGCAGCTGTCTCTGGCGATTGCAGCAGCTTCCATGAAGCTGCTGCCTGAACCGACGACCGAGCAATGCTGAGCATCTCTACTAATACGAGACCAACAGTATCCCCACCTCGCCAAGACAAGAAATAAAATAGGAGATTGAGAAACACAAGGTCACTGAACAGGGCGATTGGTACCAAAAAAAGTAGACTCCTAGACTATGACCAGTGACCGGAGTCTAGGAATTGTGTTACAACCCAGCAAGATTCCAGGGAAAAGCAAAACATAAAAAGGAGATGGAAAGGAAGGATGGCTGGTTGACTTGACGGAGAGCTTGATATCAGGCTGACTGGATGCCTTCCGTTCAGATAGACACGAGCGAAATCCACTAGGCTTTCGCAGGTTTGCCACGACGTAATCTTATTTGATAGATCTACAGGTGAGGTTCGCTAAAGCGACGCCAGTTATATGTTACCCTATGGATGTGGCGATGATATCCAATCAGAGGAATGCAACAGCGTGAACAATGGCAGCGACTACGGTGACGTGCCTCTGAGCTGGCAATTCGGAGAATGCAGGCAGTTTGCACCATCGAGATTTGTGCATTCGCAGTCAAGAAATGGGGATAAAACTTACAGTGGCACAAAACAGGCAGCTTATAAATAGATAATTATCCTAAACAAACCACACTAATTGCATATCAATACGCATGTACTACTGAACTGACATATCAAGCTTCCCATTTACATATATGCTAAGTGTCTTCTCACTGAGATGGAAGCAACATGCGTAGTGTGTTGTTGGGGGTGAGGAACCTATGAGAGAAGGGCGCTCCTGTTATCGGTGATTTGTCATTGCGCTCCATCCACTGCTCAATCATATAGCGCTCATATGTGAACCCATCAGCTGCCACCACTGGGTCTGTCATGCGCATCTGCACAATTGGGGAGAAATGCAAGGGCATTGAGGGGCACATGAATATTAGAGTAGGAGTAGGAGTAGAACAGTCAGCAACATTTCACTTACTAAGATGGTTTGAAAATGGGTATATCTTCGAGCCTGGGGTTGAACATACCTGAGAGATGGGGCACAGCAGCTGGTTGTCCACATCCGTCCTGCCCTTCTCCCCCTCCCTTCTCTCTTCCTCCTCTAGCCTCATCAACACCGGCTGCACCTCCTTTTGCAAATCAGGCCTCCTCGCCCTTGCCCTGTCAGCGCACCGCACTCCAATCTCCGCCAGCTGGCGTGCCACGTCAGCACGCCACTCCCCGCCGGACTTATCCAGCCGCGCCAAAACAGCATCCACAGCAGCAGCCCACGGCTCTGAGCACACCCCTCCCAGTCTCCCCGCTCTACGCTTCTCTGCATCTACTTTTGCTGCTGTATCCGTCAGCAGGCGATGCACCTGCTTCACCTGAGGCTCCCCCATCAGCAACTGGAGCACAATCAACCCAAACGCGTAGATATCGGATAACACAGAGATTTCACATGTTGCCACCTCCTCAGGGTCTATGTAGCCTACTGTGCCCTGCACGCGTGCGGTTACGTTGTAATCGTCTTCCGCGATCAGCCTTGCCAGGCCTACGTCTCCCAGCTTGCTCATGCGGTTACCATCGAGTAACACGTTGTCGGGTTTCAAGTCTCGGTGGGCGATGGGCGGCGAATGCTGGTGGAGGTACAGCAGTGCGCCTGAAACTTCAGAGAGTATTCGCACCCTGTCGTACCAAGCCAGGGGCTGGCGCAGGACCTGATTCACCGCACCACCAGCTACCGAACCTGCTGCCGAACTAGCAACCGAGCAGGATGTCATACCCGAGCCGGTTCCATGAAACACTGCAGAATTTCTGCTGCCATCGCCCACCCCAACTCCCCCAGCACCACTCCCACTCCTCGCACTAGCAGCCAAATATTCCTGCAGGCTGCCGCCCGGGAGGTACTCGTAGAGAATGCACATGGCATTGGGGTCTGGGCAGTGGCCCATGAGCAGCACGATGTGCGGGTGGCGCATGCGACTCAGCACGTCCACTTCCATGCTGTACTCGCTGGGTCCCTGCCACCCGCCGCCCTGCAGGCGCTTGATGGCCATGTTGCAGCCCAGCAGCCGGCCCTTGTACACCTGGCAGGGAAGTGGGGAAAGGAAGGATTGAGGAAGGAGAGGGAGCGGGAGTGAGGGTGTGAGGGAGGGAGTGAGGAAGGGCTGAGACTCAGCACGTCCACTTCCATGCTGTACTCGCTGGGGCCCTGCCACCCGCCACCTTGCAGTCGCTTGATGGCCATGTTGCAGCCCAGCAGCCGGCCCTTGTACACCTGGAGGGAGCGGAAATGAGGATTTGAAAAGAAGGAAATGTGGTTAAAGAATCTGTAATGGGGTTGGATGAAAGGAATTGGTTGAGATATACTTGGCTCTGTAGCAATGAGACAACCAAACCACGATGAATTAACCCGAAATTCTCAGACATTCACCCTGAGAGCACCCGATCACAATTAATGAATTCTAGCCGAATTACCTGTCCGAATGCGCCTCGCCCCAGCAGATTCGCGTTACTGAAATTGTCTGTCGCGCGTACGATCTGCTCCAAGCTGAACTTCCGACACTGTCCCTTTCCCTCCCCCATACCCTTCCCCCCTTCCCCCCACCTACCCTCCCCCCCATCCCCCGCGCCTCCCTCTTTTCCCCTCCCCCAATCCCACGTGTCCGCGCATCCCGTGCGGTTGCTGTTTATCGTTTCCCAGCTGTTCCTGCTTTCCCATTCACCCGCTTCCGCGCATTCCCTCCGCAACAGCTCATTCCCCGGGCCTCCCCCAAAATTCACAACGGGACTCATCCAAGGAGTTTGCGCCGAGTCGCCCGCGTCAGATGTCACAGTCATAAAACTGAAACCAGATTCGAGCTCGCTTGCGATCTCACTCCCGGTTCCCGCTGACGGGATTCTCGAACCTCGTGTCGAAAATATTTTTTGCGAAGCTTCATACGCGCCTCGAGCTTGCAACTGCGGTGGCTCTGGCTCGGCGCGCTGACAGACTCCGCCGCGCGTCACTCCTGTTCCCGCGGCGCCTCGTGAGTCGGCCCCGAAATTCGGGTAGAGCGAAACCGTGGCTGTGGCGGCCGCAGCGCCCATTGCACCGAGTGAGGCAGCTCCCGCGCTGGCATAGCGCGTAAAAGCGCGGTCGGCGGTGGGGCTTATTGGCGGCTGGTCGAGGCGAACCGCGCTGCCACCGAACTTGGGTTGTGCCTGCTTGGCGGGCGGGGGACGCCGTAGGCCAGAGGTAGCGAGGGCAGGGAGAAAAAAATATATTAGCGGTTCTACTTTTGAAGCGCCTCGAGAATACCGAGGCGCAAACCAAAAAGTGGTATGTCGTCATTTTGGATAGCGTGCTGACGGGATACAGAGCACGAAGTATATCTTTTAGGCGCCTCAAAAATAGACGCCTCGAAAATACCGAGGCGCCTAGAAAATTGGCATGTCGTCATTTTTTGGATAGTGGTGCTGACGGGATACAGAGCTCGAAGTCTATTTTTTGGGCGCCTCGAAAATAGACGCCTCAAGAATTCTAAGATGCATATACAATAGAATTTGGTATGGCGTCATGTTGGGAGCGGTGCTGACTGGTTACTGAGCTCGGGGGAGAGGAAAGCGGTGAGAAGGAACCGCAAACTCGAGATACTACTCTGGACTAAAAAGCAGGGAAAACGAACGAAAGAATGATTCTAAAGCCGAACTGTACTAGGTTCCAGTAATGGTGAACGACAATACGAAGAAGAATTACCCTCAAACTCCTCTCCGCATTTTCAGCCGCCACGTGCGCGTCAAACTCCCCCCTCATAGCGCTGCCGACGCGGTAAATTTCCGGCATTAACTGCGACGCGTCCTCGTTAGTCCCCTGCCGCAGCTTCACACTCGAAAGCGGCTTCAGCGGCCCGGAGTCCGCGGAATTGAAGCCTCCGCCTCCCGCCATTGGTCCGTACCTCTCCCCCGGTGCGCGGCTGGCGTCAGCACTATCAGTTCCAACAGGGCGGCGGTTCGCGGAAGCTACAGGAGGAACAGCAGCATAGTTTCCGGGCATGTGCTGAGAAACATCCTCGTAAGTTCCCGCGCGGATAGAATGGCCTCGATTGGCTCCAGAGAGAGCAAGAGCCGGCGGCAGGCGAGACATCATTCTACGGAAACTCAGGAACGCGAAATTAATAGTTTATGTAGAGGTAGAGCGCGTTTGGCGTTCTAGTCTAGGGGATGGGTCTGGTCGGGAATAACAGTACTACATCGTATGCTTCATGGGGAGGCTTGCGTTTGGTGTGTAATTTCAGAGTGAGGAGCTTTATATAAGCTTTTCAGGTGCTCGCTCAATTTCTCGACATACGACAAGTCACAGCACTTTTTTGCAAGAATCACGGAGGGAAGATGCGGAAAAGTGTCTGCTTCTTGACCTTCCATTCCACAACAAGTGACTCGACAAATCACGTGCGATGCGAGTGCGAGACTGCATCTGCGAGCGACCAACCACAACGGCTTTACAGTGGCACCACTTGCCTGCTGCCTCAGTCCGTCTTTACAGCAATGCTCTGTGCGCCATGTCTCTGCCAGATCATTCATGGAGGAGAGTTGCAAATGGTCCGAAATATAACGGTTCACCGTACACACTTCCTCTGAACCGCGGATAACATGCTACATACAGTACACTACTGTCATGGTGGTTGACACCAAATCAGATACCGTACCACGGGCAACAACACACAAGAAACTGGAAATGCCAGTCTGGAAAATCGCATCATCGTTCGCAATGTTGCGCGTCGTCATGTCATTTCCTGCACGCGGCAGGAACCAAAATGGTTGCAACGAAACCTGCCATGTCGTCTCATCTCACTTCACTGCCCGCCCGACAGTCACTGGTGTTGATGAGGCGAGCGGCCTTTTTTTTTTAAACGAGTCGCCCGCCAGTCATACGCTGAGCTGGAAGTGAAGATTGGTTCAGCTCCTCATCTCCCTCCCTCCCACAATTGATGTCAATAGCAAGAGAATAATGATACAGCACTTGCTATTCATGTACAAGATGTGCAAGCCAGCGCAGTGTAATATTCATATCCATTGTCACTTATGTACAACTAGATGCTTATAATAGATGGCCGATGTTTTTAAGACGATTTTTTTGTAGTATATCGTATGATTCAGCAAGAATAGCTTCGTTTCAGAGGGGCTCGGATCGTACTAGATTGGAGATTGAAATACAGGCTTTGCAGAAGGTGTGTTTGTTCTGAACACTCCCCTAGCTAACAAAGGTTTGTCTCCAATGGAGTACGTTACCTCCCAACACCTCCTCCAACGCAGCCTCTTTCCAGTTCTCGATCGATCGTTGGAACTTTCCGCAGGACTCGAATGCACTGCTCAAACTCGGATCGGATCCCGCCCGCAGAGTCCCACAAAACATATCGAGGTCGACAGCCCAGCCCTAAACACCAGGAGCTCCAAAGATATTCCACCTCCCACTCCACGCACTTGCTCCTTGTTTAGGCGCATTTAAGATTCTTTTTTATCATTCACCTCCCTCAAGTTTGAAGTTGGATCCAGCTAGCCCAGGTGTCAGTACTAGCCATGATGTTTGAATCTGCAAGTGATGGCTGGTATGCCACGCGGAAGAGAGAGAGTGGCTTCCAGGATCGCCATCATTGAGTCGGTTCATCCCGTCCACATATACTTCACAGTGGCTACTGATTTCTTGCTTGTCACGCGTGAGTGGCGATTGGAAACATCTGCAGAGACGATATTATGAATACACTATGGAACACAACTTTGCTCCAAATTCCTTGGAGCAAACGTGGTGGTACATGTGCTCTGCCCGGTGGAAGATATATAATGATAAAAGCGCGACAGCAGTCTAAGAGAAAATATACTTTCCATGTACTATGAGAAAGACGTGAGAATCCAGCAGTCTAGTGTATTCTGAAACACCCAGGTTTTGATCGCTTGTGTCTTCAACTGACCCGACCGTTTACATTGCAGTGGCAGAACCGCAGCGCCTCCAGCGAGTCGCACTGTCGTAGCCAATTGGAAACAACATACGGGGATAGGAAATTCACTTTCTCTAAAAGCTTGGCAGGGGCAGCTTGCAAGTGGCCGCACTTAGGCTGCTTCCGCGATCTGACGGTTATAAGCCGAAATGAAAGCATACAACCGCCTCCAGCCGCAAGTGTCAAAGCTGCTGGGACGAAAGGGAAAATGTCGACACGGTTTGCTCAGTTGCTAAGTATTTGGACTATAGTTTATGCCAGTACTGAATTAGCTGGGTATGCAACTCCCTGGCTCTGTGTTGTGAGTTCCAACCAGATTGCCGAGAGCACTCCATTCTTCTCTTCCCCCACAACAAGACCTCCCACACACCAAATTATTGGCTCACAGTGGCTCACCAAGTCCGACAGTGCCTGATTCAGGTGCAATCAACCTGGATTATTCCAGCTGTCACACATTCGGTTCGGTGCTCCCCGTGCTTCTAGCTTCAGACGTTGACTGGGAATCAACTTGGATTGTGTCGTCGGGTGTGACGGTCTCACACTAACTTCAAACGTCGTAGTGATAGAGCATCATAATTCTAACTTCCATCTTTCAAAGAATCTATTTTCTTCCAAATCGTTGCTACTCCCCAATGGAGTCAAGCGTACCGCCTTCCTCCTTCACGCGTTCTCGCCGCGACACTCTGGCGGCAGTAGCGGAAGCGACATCGGCTTGGGCCGACTTTTTAGAATCGAGTGACGACATGGAAGGGGGAGCGCCGTGCCGCCGAAGCATGTCGACGCCCAACCGAGGGGCGGCGGCGGCGGCTAGAGGATTGGCGGTTGGAGTTGTCGACCCTTACGCGAGCGCGGCGCTACGTGGCAGTGCAAACTCTACATTGCAGGTTCCAGGGGCTCCCAGAATTTTCGAAAGAGGATTCGAAAGCTCAAGCTCGCGAAGCTCGTCGCACAGCTCGTTTAACGAAAGAGTCGCACGGTGCGACAGCGGCCTCATGATACAATCGACGTGGTCCAGCGATTCGCTTGCGACGGGAATAGTTTCGCGATCCGTTTCAGATTCAACGGCCTCAGAAGTCTCATGCGAAGATTGCGGCGGGGATTGCGGCGCATGTGACAGATGTGTATTTGCTGCAAGGAAAACCATAAAGCTAACTCGACGCGCGAGCTTCGCGGCTCCCGATCTTGCAATTTGCCCCAACTGTCGGAGCAGCAGCGGTTGCGGCTGTGCCGACGCGGCGTTAGCGTGCGATCCGGGGTGGGTGGATAACGCGCGCTGCCGCATTCGCGATGCGGCGCTTGAGCTGGTCGAAGCGCAGCAAAGGTGGACCGTTGCTCACGAGGAGGAGTTGACGTGGCTAGAAAAGTCGCGAACCGCGCCGACTCGCCTCTCGCGGCGCGCCTCGCTCGACGCGTCGCTGTGCCGACTTCCTACAAGTTCGTCCAGGATATCCAGGAAGGCATGCAACGTGGAAGCGAAGGAGAAGGTTGAGGTGGAGACGGGTGTCAGCGCCAGCTCCGTTACAAGCAACACAAGTGCGCGCACAAAAGGGAGTCGATTGTTTTCCTCGCTGAAATCTCCCATGGTAAAGAAAAATAGGGTATTTTCATGGCTGTACAGTTCATAAACTTCGGAACATATTATTTTATTCACATGCTGTATCCACAAGCTGATATTACACAGCAGCTAGCATATACAAAATTGTTTTGCGATCACCCAGGCCTTGGAATCTTGGATAAGTCGGGTATCCAGAGGGCAAGAAGCACGGATGCTGTGGCAAACATGAGCCGACGCGGGGCCCATTTTACCACCGATGGCACCCCAGCATGGTTACCCCAGGTTGCCACCTGCATTGGGGAAATGAGGGGAGGAATTCAGGAATGGGAGAAAAGGGTAGAGGGTTATGTGCTTTCATGCGTATTTGCGTGCATCATAGCATGTGTGCTTGCACGCCTTATTGCAAGGGTGCTTGCACATGCGTCATTGCAAGTGTGCTTGCATGCATGCATCATAGAATGTGTGGTTCCATGTGCGAGCGAGCGAGAACAGAAAAGGAAGAGGGAAAGGGGAAAAAGAGCAACGGGAGATGATGGGGAGGAAGGGGAGCCAACCTGAGCGCCAGTGGTGGCACTCCAAGCCTTCACCGTGCCATCACCCGAGCCTGAGAGCAGAGAGCAGAGCAGAGAGAGCAGAGGGCAGCGAGGAGAGAGCAGAGAGCAGCAAGGAGAGGGCAGAGAGCAGGGAGCAGAGAGGAGAGAAGATTGGAGAGCGAGAGCAGAACGCAGAAAGCAACAACTGAGCTGACATGCACATTCTTGCCATCATAGGATTCTGAAAGCAGTTCGTGTCGGGTGTCAGGAGCAGCAGTGACAAGATTTGGAACAGTGAAGCGAGATATAACCCAAAGCAGAGAACGTATGAATGGGCGGCAGACGGGAATAGGCGGGTGTAGAGTATTTGAATATCTGTAAGTAGTGAGAATATTATGACTTAAATGTACCTGATACGACGTATTTGGCATCTGGGCTGAAAGAGGCCTCCAACGGGGCACCGTCAATGTCAGGTACGACACAGAGAGTGTGTAGCTGGTGGTGGGAGGGAGAGGAGGAAGCAAGGGGAGGAGTAAGGAGGGGAGGGATGGAGAGTACCATTGTTCAGGCACCAGTGAAGAGGGGGAGGAGTGGGAGGGAGGGAGGGAGGGAGGGAGGGAGGGAGGGAGGGAGGGAGGGAGGGAGGGAGGGAGGGAGGGAGGGAGGGAGGGAGGGCGGGAGGGAGGGAGGGCGGGAGGGAGGGAGGGCGGGAGGGAGGGAGGGCATGTACATTCTGTGTGACACCCTATGCCACAGTCCGCTCTACATCCCCAGTCACACCGTGTGCCACAGCCTGCGCTACAGCCCGTGCCACACCCTGTGCCACAGACCCAGACACAACTCTGGCTTTCGAGTGCATATCGCGGGTAGGTTTGGCCGTTGAGTGTGCAGCGAATTCAATAACAACCCCACTGCAGAGAATCTCAACCTATTCATATGAAAAGAAGATCGAATCACCAAGGAGCCAACCTTCTGCCCTTCGAACGCATCGAGCCGGTATATGCGGCCGTTGAGGGTGCAGACAGCTACTAGTGTATCACAGCCTTACATTACACTACATTTACAACACCTATGCGACACTGAAAAAGGACCCACCTTCTGCCCTTCGAACGCATCGAGCAGGTAGATGCGGCCGTTGAGGAGGGTGCAGGCATCCCATGCATGCTGCGCGCTCACCCTGTGCGGTCAACCCCACTCACCCTGTGCGGTCAACCCCACTCACCCTGTGCAGGGAATTTGTTGGTGCCTAAAGGTGCAGACAACCCCACTGGAGCAGGAAAAAGGACCCACCTTCTGCCCTTCAAACGCGTCCAGCAGGTATATGCGGCCGTTGAGAGTGCAGACGAGGATCTGGTTGCCATCGTTGCTGAACTTGATGGATGTCACCTCGTCCTCGTCTCCCCCCACCAGCATTGTGTCAAAGGGACCCTGTTGGAATGGAAAAGGAAATATGAGTGTTACCCTAATGATGACTGAACTTGATGGACGTCACCTCGTCCTCGTCCTCGTCCCCGCCCACCAGCATTGTATCAAAGGGACCCTGTGGGGAGGGGGAAGGGACGGGGGGGCCGGGGGTTTCAAGTTGTGGGGGGGGAGAGATTGGAGGAGAGAGGGTGGAGGATCATGGGAGGAGGAGGTGAGGGGATCTGGTTGCCGTCGTTGCTGAACTTGATGGACGTCACCTCGTCCTCGTCTCCTCCCACTAGCATCGTGTCAAAGGGACCCTGATGGGGAGGGGGAGGGGGAGTAGGATGCGGAGAAAGAGGGGGATGAATTTGGAGAGAAAGCGCAGAGAGAGAAAGAGAGAGTGGGCAGCGGAGGAGAGGAGGGGTAAAGGGGAAGAGAGGATCTGATTGCCGTCGTTGCTGAACTTGATGGATGTCAACGACGGCAACAAGCTTCCCCATCGTCCTCGTCCCCATGCATCGTGTCAAAGGGACCCTGCAGGGAGGAGGGACATCGGCGAGACCTCGAATCAACCCCCATCACCCCCATCACCCCCATCACCCCCATCACCCCACATCACCCCCATCACCCCCATCACCCCATCACCCCCATCACCCCCATCACCCCCATCACCCCCATCACCCCCATCACCCCCATCTCATCACATCACCCCCATCACCCCCATCAACCCCATCATCGCCATCACCCCCATCACCTCCATCAACCCCATCACCGCCATCACCCCCATCACCCCCATCACCCCCATCACCCCCATCACCCCCATCAACCCCATCACCGCCATCACCCCCATCACCCCCATCACATCACATCACCCCCATCTCATCACATCATCCCCATCATCCCCATCACATCACATCACCCCCATCACCCCCATCACCCCCATCACCCCCATCACATCACCCCCATCACCCCCATCACCCCCATCACCCCCATCACCCCCATCACCCCCATCACATCACCCCCATCACCCCCATCACCCCCATCACCCCCATCACCCCCATCACATCACATCACCCCCATCACCCCCATCGCCCCCATCACCCCCTCATCAGCATGTGCCAAGGGGAATCTGCGGGGAGGGGATATGGGCGATGGGAAGGTTCGTTGTGTGGTTATGCACCCAAACCCTATGTGGGCGGGAAGACAACCCAGGGTTCTTATGCATAAGAACCACGGTTGGGAATAGGCTGTGTGGATAAGCACCTAGAACCATGGTTATGTGGGTCGGAAGAAAACGGGAATTAGTGCATAGGTCTGTGGATTCATGGTTGGTCAGATGGGAGACCAAACGGACGGCCAAGATAGGAGACAAGAGGTCGCTGGATTGCTAGACACACCTTCTCGTACGAGCGAGCATCAAACAGCTTCACCGCGCCTCCCCCCATGGCCACTGCAAAGACGAGCCCCTGCTGATCGAATGCCACTGCTGGCCGCCCCCTCACTCGCATTAAGCCCTGCGTGGGGGGAAGATGGGAAGATGGGACAATACGAGAGATCCATGGGATGTGAGGAAGGATGGGCGGAGCATTGGGAAACAACGCAAGGGTGAGCAAACGAGCCCCTGCTGATCGAATGCCACTGCTGGCCGCCCCCTCACGTGCATGAGACCCTGGAGAATGAGTGGGGAAGGAAGGGTTAAGGGGATGGGAGGACGGGGAGCGGATGGGTGGAGCAGCACAGGGCAAGGGTGAGCAAACGAGCCCCTGCTGATCGAATGCTACTGCTGGCCGCCCCCTCACGTGCATGAGACCCTGGAGAATGAGTGGGGAAGGAAGGGTTAAGGGGATGGGAGGACGGGGAGCGGATGGGTGGAGCAGCACAGGGCAAGGGTGAGCAAACGAGCCCCTGCTGATCGAATGCCACTGCTGGCCGCCCCCTCACGCGCATCAGACTTTGGGGAAAGAGTGGGGATGGATGAGAGGGAGCGAGGAAGGGAGCTGGAAGTGAAAGAGAGAGGGAGGGAGTTGGAAGTGAGAGGGAGGGAGTTGGAAGTGAGAGGGAGGGAGTTGGACGTGAGAGGGAGGGAGTTGGACGTGAGTTGCGCCATAACAACATGGCGCCTAGAATCACTTGCTTCTGCTCACATATAACACCAAGCTCACAACTAACAACTTTATTTCGATACCCTAGATAGAAGCTGATCCATGGGTCAAACCCACACTTCTGAACCGTCAACCGTTGGCTGCTAACCTGACACTCGCATGTTCTGAGTTTTGATTCGACTCAAAACTCACTTCTTGAGTCGACTGAAAACTCCCATGGGTCAAACCACACTTCTGAACTGGCAACCGTATGCTGCTGACCTGGCACTCGCACGTTCTGAGGTCCCACAGTCGGACAGTGTGGTCGAGGGCTCCTGAGAGGAAGGAGTCGTTTTTGGGTGACATGCACAGGGAGACGACTCTGGCGAGGAAGGGAGAAAGTCGATTGGATGGGGGACAACAGAGCGCTGGACGGGAAATGAGTGGAACAGCATAATCGAGGGGAGAGGAGAAAAGGGCAGTGGTTCTGGAGGGATGCACAGAGAGACGACTCTGCAGGTGAGAGAGGGGCGAGAGTGCAACAGGGACAATGAGCCAAGGAGAGTGTCGAGAGAGAGGGGAAGGAGTCGTTCTTAAAGGATATGCACAGGGAGAGGACTTTGGTGAGAGATGGAAAGACTTTTGAGTAGACTCAAAAGGATATGCACAGGGAGAGGACTTTGGTGAGAGACGGAAAGACTTTTGAGTCGACTCAAAAGGATATGCACAGGGAGAGGACTTTGGTGAGAGACGGAAAGGGGGGGGGGGAAGAGGGGAGAGAAAGGGTCGGACTAGAGTTGACCAGACATTCCAATCTGGTAACGACTGGGGCACTCACTTGTCCCGATGACCTTTGAAGTAGCGTAGATAACGGTTGTCGTAGAGGGAGAGATAGCGCAGCGATTCTGGTGGTGGTGGGGGGGGGGGGGGGGGGGGGGGGAAATGCAAAGAGAGGGAGGAGGGAGAAAGCGAGGTAGGGAGGCCACTTTTACGAAGCATCTTATAAACAGAAACGAAACGCACCATCCAAGCAGAGGAACAGGGAAATGCCAGAGGAATTGGAGCACAGCAAATGGAGTGGGGAATTACAACCAGGTATGTCGTCACTCAGGAAAGCACTACCAGCCATTTCCATTCCACCCCCACCATCTGAAACTTACCATCCAGAACATACCATCCAGATCCCACCATCCAGAACATACCATCCCGAACATACCATCCAGAACATACCATCCAGAACCCACCATCCAGATCCCACCATCCAGATCCCACAATCCAGAACGTACCATCCAAGCCGTTTTTGGAGGAGTAGAGCACGGCGGAGGGGTGGTGGGTGAAGATGACCTGATCCACACCTACCCACCCCCCCCGACCACCTTTAACGTACCATCCCAGCCGTTTTTGGAGGATTAGAGCACGGCGGAGGGGTGGTGAGTTCGAACCAGCTGTGTTGTCACTCAAGAAAGCACTACCAGCCATTTCCAAACTCACTCAACCATCCAGATAAATAACTTACCATCCCAGCCGTTTTTTGGAGGAGTAGAGCACGGCTGAGGGGTGGTGAGTGAAGACCACCTGATCCACTCCATACTTGCGGCTGTGAATCGTCTTCACCAGGCTGACGTGGCACAGGAAGAGGGTAACCAGCCACACCGTGCAGGATCATGCCATGTACAATGTTATGCCATGCCATGCCGTGCCGTGCCGTGCCATGCGGTGCCGAGCAGTCAAAGACATCAAATTGATCCAACATGTGCATATCAATAATCAATTGAGCATGTCATTAACGTTTAAGAAGAGAAATGACCTGGAGAGAGTGGTTGCATGAAAAGACGACCTGGTTTGCTTTCTAGAGCAAACATGCAAGGAGCATCACGTCATGCTTACGTGGCATTTGACGTGTCATAGACTCGGATGGACTCGTCATCACTAGCCGTCACGAGAAGGTCCTCCGTCCGATGAAAATCCATCGAGTTGATCCGACCGTTCTTCTCAAATGGAAACCAACAGGGATGGAAGGCCAGTGAGGGTATGTCAAGTGGGAAGGTGGAAGGAAGAAGTTTCAGAAAACCAACGGCATAGGGAAGAACACACAGACGTGGACATTAGATAATACAAGACATCAGTCTCACTGAGAGAAGAGGACTGTGGAGGAGGGAAACCGAGGAACTAGTCATACTTCAGAAGAGAAAGACAAGGGGAGGACTAGGAGAGCATGCGCAATCAGCGACGAGAATGAGCGGGCGTACCATACGTTAGACAAAGTTGGAGGGAGGCGTTATACTGTGCATCAGTTGCGAAAAAAAACGGAGACGCATCACACTCGCGAAGAAAACGAGCGAGCGTACATAGTCCTCGAGTACAGATGACACGGAGCCATACTTATGAGCATTCCGTAACGGAGGGAACGGGCGGTCGTACATAGTCGTTAAACATAAAACGACGAGACGCGAGATTGCGGAGCAACATAAGAGAGGAGTGAGAGCGAGCGTACATAGTCCTTGAAGAGCGCGCCGACAGCCATGCTGTTGACGACCCCATCTGACAGAGCTAGAGGCATCGCGACCCTCTATCTCGGCGTATAAAATTTTGTCAGTACAAGAATAACGTTTCACTCTTCCCTCGTTTTATCCGGATCGCGAGATTCGTTTGGTGTGCTCTGCAGTTGTCAGTCGAGCTAAAGCCGTTCCCGAGCCTAGCTATTTGGATCCGGGATTACGATCGGCACACAAGGATGCTACACGTAGTTAAGTCTGAGAGATTGAAGAGACAGGAGTGCGGGAGATGTCAGGTATGACAAGGCTTGAAGTTGACGAGTCTCTCCAAGCACACCCCAGAAAGATCAGTTTAGGGCGTGTCCAGTTCGTTCACGGCGGGCTTTTTAGTGCCGACACACGTCTCGAGGTTCAAAATTAATCCCTGTACCTAAAAACGAATGCATTGTGAGTTGAGTCCAACCATCTGTAATTTCAGGAGCGCGGACACGTTACCCGTCACACGAATCAACAGTGCTCTGACCGCGTTCGAAACGAGGTAACAGTTTTTCTCGTCAATCATAGCTAACGAACTTTTGGGCACGCGCAGGGGGTGTTGGCGAGTGTAGCGAGCCCCTGGCGAAATCGTGCAAGCGATTCAGGGGGTACTTACTGTAGTGGCCAGGACGCGGTGCTGCACCCTTGTTCGCGTCCCGCTGATTCCAGTAACGTGAGTCAGACGACTCGAGGTACGTGCACGGGGCGTGCCGTCTTGTGAACGAAAGCTGATTGTGTCCGCAGAACACGTTCAATACAGTGTTACATAAAAATATGTGGTAACTGAGCGGGTTTACGAACAGTAAATGTACGAGCTAGACACCCCCTTAGTAGAGATGGTTGTTACGGGTGCAATGAATCGAAGTAGCGAGAATTGCACTAAGGTGTCAAACGAGTACAAAATGTGAGCGAAGGCATGAGCGAACATTTATACGCGAAACATGCAAACGGTAACGCGGTGCGTGCGAGCTAGCTAGTGCTATGCTGGCAGCGAGGCTCGGGCTAGTCCCGAAGCGTAGGCCGACCGGTCGGGCCAGCAGTGCGAGGTTTGGTGAAATAGTGCGCGCGAAGTTGGCGAAGCCCCGTTAGCAGTAACGGGCGAACAACGGCTGCTGCTGTACGCGATGTTGCAGGGCGCGCTAAGGAATATCGAGAAAATTCCTTACACTACCCACCCCCCAAGAAGCCCCCTCCGCTACGCGAGTGCGTGTATATCGCGGAAACCCCGGCTCCTCAGGTACACTTGCAGGGCAGGGTGGTTTTCGATGTTGGCCAGGGGTACCCAGCTATTCTCAGTTGGCATGCGGTCCTTCCAGCGAACGAGGAATTCAATCCTCCTGATTCCCGTGGGGTGTCGAATCCGATGGCTCAGGATTTTTTTCGGGCTCGATGATCGGCTCCGATGCAGGGCGAGTCATGGATGGCGGGCGGTGACGAGGCAGTTGGCTTGTGGTTGGGATGTATGGGTGAAGCAGGCTGACGTGGAATGAAGGGCTGATGTACCAGTCCGTCGGCAACAGTAAGTGGGCTGTCACTGGTGTAATCATGTGGCTGATTTGAAATGGTCCACAGTAGCGCGGCCGTATTTTCGGTACGACGGGCAGTCTTAAGTTCTGTGTGTCGAGCAGTACGTAGTCTCCTGACTGGTACGTGACTGGGCGGCGGTGGCGATCAGCGTTGCGCTTAGCGATGACATTGGCTTTGTTAATTGCTTCAGCGGCTCTGGTGCGGGCAGCTTGCAGAATTTCGGCGAATTGCTGTGCACGTGGCGTTGGGTTGTCCGGGCTCGGCGTCATGGGCACTGTAGGGTTCTACCCGTAGTTCAGGTAGAAAGTGTCGAACTATATGCCTATGTCATAATAAAATGTAGGCTTTAGTGGGGTAGCTAATCTAAGGTATAGGTTTTATTACTTGTACCCAACTTTCTCGATAGTGCAACCACCCTTTTCCTTCCCTTACTCTCGACATGGTATTAAGAGCAAAATAGGTCCTTAGGAACGTTTTAGGACTGTTTTTCAGGGCCCACCAACCGTTTTCCGCCGGTTACCGCGTTACCCCGCCCCTTGCCTACACTGCCCTGAGTCGTGCAGCCCTCGCGCTCGCCTCTGCTGGCCCTCGTGCAGCCCGCTAGCAGCCCGCCTGCTGCCTCGTCAGCCCCGCGCGTAGCTCGCTAGCTGCCTCGTCAGGCCCGCGCGCCGCCCCGCAGCCCTCGCGCTGCCTTCTCCTGCCCCGCGCGCCGCTCCGCAGCCCTCGTGCTGCCTTCTACTGCCCCGCGCGCCGCCTCTCAGCCCTCGCGCTACTTGTACTGACCCGCGAGCGCGCAGCCAGCCCGCTGCCTTGTCAGCCCCGTGCGACGCCCGCACAGCCCGCCCGCTGCCTCGTCAGCCCCGCGCACTGCCCTCCCACTGCCTTAAGCAGTGCTCGTACTACCCTCCCACTGCCTTAACAGCCCTCGTGCTGCCTTAACAGCCCTCCCACTGCCTTAACAGCCCTCGTGCTGCCTTAGTAGCCCTCGTGCTGCCTTAGTAGCCATCGTACTGCCCGAGCAGCCCTCGTACTGCCCTTCCTCCGCCCTTGTTGCTCGCGCCCTTTGCCTGCTGCCTACTGCCTTTGCCTACTGCCTTTGCCTGCACTGCGATTATGGCGACACTTAATGTTCTCGCGTTTGAGCCTGACGGTCGCCCGATAGAGTTTACCACGTGGCTAGACGATCTCCAACTGTTTCTTCTGACTGATGCCAAAGACGGCGTTTCACTGTTCGATTACGCGTCTGGCACTGCCGTTGCTCCTGCTGACGATGCTACCGCTCTCGAACACTCACAGTGGCAGACTTGCGATGCTGCTGCACACCTAGCTATTCAAAATCATCTGCCGATCACTGAGCGCGCGCATTTCAGCCAGCACAAAACTGCTAAGGCACTGTATGACGCTGTAGTTGCACGCTACTCCTCCCCGGCCACTGCAGCCCCAGGTCGGCTCATGCTACCCTATCTGTTCCCAGACCTGTCCTCGTTTACCACTGCTGAGGACCTCATCTCTCACCTTCGCGCTAGTGACACTTGCTTTCGTGCCGCCCTTCCAGCCGAATTCTGCGCCGAGAACCCCCCCCCCCCCCCCCCCCCGATGTACTTCACTCTCTATTTCCTCGTCACCCGCCTCCCTGACACTCTTAGCTCCGTCAGGGACCACTTCCTAGCCCTAGACCCTACCACTCTCACTGTCGCCGACTTCCAGAAGCACCTCCTAGCAGCAGAGAAGAACATCCTCGCTGTAGGTGCTGTTCGTGGTACTCCTCGCACTCCCCTCTTTGAGGGGTGCTCCCCCTCCCCTCTTACCCCCTCCTATGCCTCCGCAGCTGCTGCTGTCGACCTCCTTGGTGCTGAGAAGGTCGTAGCTGCTTCCGCTCCTAGTGGGAAGCGCAGCGGCTCCAGGGGAGGCAGGGGTGGCAGGGGTGGCGGACGTGGCGATGGAGGGGGCGGTGGTGGAGGCGGCGGGGGAGGTGGAGGTGGTGGGGGTGGTCGTGGGGGTGGAGGTGGTGGTGGGGGCGGTGGTGGTGCCGGGAGCAGTGGCTGTGGCAGCGGCGGTGGTGGCGGAGGGGGGAGTGGTGGTGGCGGCGGTGGTGGGGGCTTGGGTGACACCAGTGGTGGCCAGGGGCAGCAGCAGCAGCAGCAGCCGCAGCAGCGTCAGCGCCAGACCCCCACTTCCCAGCAGCTTCTTGACTGGTATGCCGGGCGTGGGGCGTCTGGGGGTCCTGGTCGCTGCCCCTATATCATTCGCGCAGGTCCCCGCGCTGGTCGCTAGTGCACCGGCTTTCACACTGAGTACCGCTGCTTCGCTAGGCTTAGCGACGCCTGGCGCGTCAAGTTTCCTGATGCTACTGAGTTCCCCAACAGGGCAGATCTGCTTAGGCGTGATGTACCTATCTTTGATCTTGACTATGATGCTATT